ACAGCTCAACATGAAGTGGCCCTGAGAGTTTCGTTGCTCCGAGATTGGGTTGTTGCCATCAAAGTTTAATGCAAAACCTCTATTGTTGACAATTGTCACTCTCTGCAAAGACCATTGATGTTCGATACTGGACGTTGGGACCTTGTACGGAGCATATATCCTTACTTGGCCAAATTACCGGCCCTGCAGGCGGTGGACGGATCACTAGTCCGGAAACCCAGATCACCGTGTTTGACGTTTCGACAGCCTTCCGTACCGCCACCCTCACTACCACCCGCGCGTCAACGCCAACATGTCGTTCCCCGGACCCCCCGGGCCCAGACTCGCCTGACTCACGATCAGATCTATCGCGGCCGTCTGGCAGGATCTAAGCCTTCAAGCCGCGCTCGCGACATGATACCGAGTTACGGAATCTCAGCAGCGTGGCACTACCGAGGTAGGGGGAGGCCGTTCCAACGGTCTAATATCCCGACGAATAGGCCAAAGGCCACCAAGGGGAAGTGTGTACTTTCGATCTTGCACAAGCACTTACCGAGCTTGTCGAAGCAACATCGCCGATGAAGGTTTCTGTCCCCTGCTAGATGCCCATATTAAAGAAAGTGACAGCCCCAAGATCGCTTATTGCATGATGAATAGCAAGGCTTCCGAGCCAATAACAGCCTCAGGATGTTTTTACCATAGTACGAGATTCCGAATCCGATACAGAACTCACAGCTCGTATACTTGTGTTACAGGGGTCCCAACGTTTCCTCTGTGAAATTATAGCTAGATTCGCTCGCGTATATACTCCGACGATTATTCGGAAACCACATTCTGCCCGGGCGTGCGACTGCGCCCACATGCACACCATGAATGGCGCTACCCTGCTCGAGCCCGCGAGTCAGGGATTCGGACCGATCAAACGAGCAATCCTCGGCGAAGTCCCGGAAGCGAAATTCTTAGGAAAGGCCGGGGGCGGCGGGACGCCTGTTCCCGAGCGCAGAACGCGACGGCGCGGGTTAGGGGGACAATGACAACAGTACATGATTTCTGCAGAGCAGGCTGCTCCGTGCAAATGATATCCCGGGCCCGAGAATGCAGCGATATATGGCGCAAGATGGGATCTACATTACGGTGCGCGCAGCTGGGAGGAGATAAAAAAGTGGAGGTGGCGGTGGCGATTGCCGCTACCTCCGCACGAACGCTATACCCACACACGTCCTGGAACTCGGTGTTGGCCGTGTGTATTTCCGTTTGGCTCGCGCGCGCGCGCACACAACAACAAACCCGTGGGCAACATGGTTTTGCCGTTTGCGAACGGTTCGTGTAAACTGATAGAAAAGAGGCAAGAGCGGGGAAGGTGCGGCGGGAGGGGGAGAGGCGAGGGAATGGAAATGCGAACGCGCTTTTACTGTACCTCTTAGTGTTTGTTGCAGCCACCCACGTACCGTAGGGGTCGTCTGAGGGGCTATGGTGAATACGTCTTCAACTTTTGGAGCTCTGCACTAAGGGGGGCAAGGAAGTTGGTTGAGCAATCAAAGAAAGCAAGAAACGAGCAATAACGACACCGATTGATTGAATGATTGAATGATTGACATGAAACAATTGAGGCCGTCGCAGCACCATGACGTGAGAAGAGGATCTCGGTTTCGTTCCCCTTCCCCGCGCGTTGGGTCCGCGAAAGCCAAGGAAGAAGGTCCCCTAAGTACGTATAGCCGTTGGGGAAGGCAAGGCTTCGTGACAATCTACTAACCACGTCCTGCGATCAGTACGTACATAGGGACAAGTTCAGTATTAGCCGCTTCCCCCGGCGCCCCCCTCTGCCTCTCCTTTGGTGCAGTATCTTGCCTGACAGCGCTGCTGCAAGTGTAAGCCTCGTGACTGGATCCCCCCCAACACCCCTACTACTGGCCCGGGGGCGCACACCTTCTCTTCTTCCCTGATTTTGTGTGCGGCAACCGGTTACAACCAGCATCAAGATCAAGCCCAGGCCATGAATACGTACCTAGCCTGCTATGTGGGGGTCGAGTTTGTATAGAACGGCGCCAAGTGTCGCTAACATACCTACTACTGGTCACGGGTGCTTAACCCACACCATTTGCTCAAGACTTGAGGACTCTATGCACATGTAACGTCATTTTATCCTACCCACGAGAGAGAGAGAGAGCATCTCTTATTACCCTTCACCCTGACTTGTATCAAGCGGCATGCGTCTGTTCGAAACGGCGTTAGTGACACACCCCCGCCTTGCAGTGCTTATATGCACGTCCCCGCGCCCTCGATCTCTTCCTCTCTCTACGTGTGCGTCAAGCCACTTTGGATTTCCGAGCCTATGAGGCGCTTTGGAACGATTTCCCGAGGCCAAGACCAGCTACTGGAACTAGCCGGCTGTCAGATGCAAACGAGGTAGGATGTGCAAAAGAGCATGAAACATGCAACATGCAACAGGGAAACATGGACATGTACGCAAAACTGTTGGCATTCGGTGTTGGCGTTGGGTGTTCGCGCCGGCGTTGACGCGGACGCCGACGCAGCCGTGGGAGAACTTATTAGCGCACGCGGTTCGCCCCGGCGAACATATATAAGACTTGGGTTGCGAATGTCAAGGCGACGCCAAGTAAGAGGTGTTGGCCTACAAAGGCGCATTGGACGAGCCCTGTAGGGTACTTTTCTTTTTGGGTTTATGTGCTCTTGCTAGCACACAGTAAAGTAAAGTAAATATTGTGGCTCCTCGACAGCGGTACCGTTCGACACCGGCGGTCCGGCACGCCTGACTTTCCGAGTCATCTTCGATGGAGCGAACATTGGCCGGATGGTCACGTGCTATGCTGTGTTGGCTTGATCTGACTGGACGTCTTTACCTGGCTTCTGGGGTGCGCCATACGCGTACCGGTGTGAGAGAGCGGTTTGACAGCGGTACTACGGTACTTGTGAGCTCTTAACAGAACTAAAATTTGCCCCGGAAGGTTGCTGCTCGGCACAATTTGTGGGTCGTCTCAAATGAAGTGGAGACTTCGTCTGTGATCAAGTCGTTGCACTTCTGTTGTACGTCCGCCAGTCCAGGTCTAAAGCGACCGGCGCCGAAGCCAACCGATATGGAGGTGATACGAGTCTTTGGTCGATGACGCTGACATTGTCAGCGTCCCCGCCGGTGCGAGTCATGTAAAGCCTATCGAACGCTACCGATGTGAGTTGGCTTCTGCAGCACGAGGGATCCCGCGGCGGATGCGAGCCGAAAGTCAGATGACCCTTGGGCTTCGTTGCCGCTCCCCAAGGTTGTGATTAACGTACAGAGCATACTAAGAAGCTCGAAACACGACCTCGTAGGGAGTGCCAGCGGCGAGAACTCGGAAACGAAGGCATTTGTAGCGTAGCACTGACTGCATGGCTTCTGGTCGAGCTTCTTAAGTACAAATGCATGGGGCGTTTCTTGCAGTGAGTTGCTCTTGCCCCACAAGGGTCCATTTTAGACCCTGATAGAGGGGCTCGCAGTCATGCTTCCGCACTGGAACATCAGAGCTGAGGGGCGATCTACTAACAAGTTGACCGTTTCTTGATGTCAACAAGACATAGGACAGCATGGCCGGTGCAAGGGACATAACAGGCCACCATCCGGTTGCGCTAGACCAGCTGTATAACAGTGACATTGTCAGGTGCCCCCTCAAGGCGAGCCCCGCAAGTCATATCACACTGCAAGCGTGGAATTTGTGAGCTGAGCTTGGGAGTCGGTAACCCTTGCAGCGGTAGACCCTTGGCTCCAGGTCTCGATAGCTTTATCGCGACGCTTACCACACTAACTCCACCTCACTGCGTCTTGAGGTCTCGAGCCGTTTGCCAGGAGCTCCGTACTAACAATGGCATACAGGCGCAACGGCAAGAGTTGGTTTGCCAGATGGGGCCTCGAAGTGGCTCTAGAGAAGGCTCCATGGCCTTGAGAAGCGAGACGATTGCTACTCCAACGTTCACGTCTATCTGGCTTAGTGCATCATCAGCCAAAGCTACTCACCGCCGCAGGCGGGAGCCTGTCCTCGCGCTTGCGCTCTTGCTGGAGGAAGATCCACGGGCGAAAGAAACTTACTGGGTGGTGTGGGACGCTACCGTTCGCTGTCCGCTAGAGCGTCGACCGTGGCATGTGATGATTCCTGGAAACAAGGTTTCTTTGATGTTCACCTGGGACCGCATTTTCGGGGAGTGAGTACTGAGGCCCATAATAGCGGGAAGGGTCACCAGGCTCGGGTGGATCGAGCCGACGCTGAGATCGATAGTGTGGCGGAGCGCCTGGCGGAAGCGGTTTGCGGAAGCGGTTTGCACAGTGGCGCGTGACCGCAGTGCGCATCTCGGGGTCGCAGTCGTTGCTGGCATAGAACAACCATGTCATTGGCGAGTTGGCGAGATGGCGAGACGCCGGACAGATGAATGTCTTAGCATGTTGATGGGCGTTCGCAGGCTTCGAGGACTCGAGAGCTGAGAGAGTCGGTGAAGCGCGGTTAAGGTTTGGCGGCAGTGAATTGCCGTTCGGGACTCGCGTGCAGAGTTTCTTGGCTAATCCTCGCCACAAGTAGAAACCGTCGAGGCCGTGTCGGACTCCTTCTCCGTACAAGCCACCGGGCCCGGTAAGCTAAGTTTCGGATGTCCAAACAGTACAAAACGAGTAAGCGTGACTGACTGCGTGGTCGTGCTTGCTCACAGGTCCACAGCGGCGGCCGAAAACCGCAGGCTACTTCCAATAATGTATTGCAGTTGTTACTGCCGGACCTTGTCAAAGACCAGAGTCTAATCGAAGGCTCATTTGCGTAATACCGCCACCTACACATATGCCAACAGGGGAGCAGTACTTCTATTGGTCTCATTCGGCTGTTGCTATCTTCGCCAGCCGCCTGCTCTGAATCGACTGAAGACTGGCAGAACCAACCAGTGTTCCTCTACTTCCATGCGAGTACAATACACAATTTGAAGCGAATGCTTCTTCATATTCATCCCGTGCTCACCCAGTGCATTGCTACTCACTTGCCAGCCCTCACCTACTGACGATTCCGCATCGAAGGGGGAACATATCTGCCGCCGGTGCTGCCTGCAGGCTTCCGCACGGGAGCCTCGTCTCCACTAGTACCCTCTCGCGACTCCTGACGTCCCTCATCGCGCATGTGTCTGGGCTGCCAACGGCCGGTGCCAGAAGCATTCGCCGGACTGGCATTGCGGGGAGGTAGATCACGTTCTGGGCTCTCTACCGGTCGCGCACCACCTTGACGCAGGTGAGGAGGCACATAGCCACTTCTTGCCAGCGCAGCTGAAGCATCGGAGGTTGAGCCACGGCCCGGAGCAGTGGCACTTTCGCCTTCGGTGACACCTGCAGCCTCTTTCGCAGCTTGACGGTCGCGCCAGCCGCCACCGCCGGTTCTCGCAGCAAGATTGAGACGTGGAGCAGTGCGTTCGTTGGAATCGGTGCGACTGTCCATGGCAGGTGCCTCTCGGCGGATAAAGCCTCCGCTCGCAGGACGTTCCTCACCACCAGTACGTCTCGCAGCTCTTCTGGCGATCGCTTCCTCTTCGCGTTGCATCTGCTTCTTTGCAGCTTCGTCACGCTCAGCCCGTTCAGCTTCTGCTTTGGCGCGACGCTCGGCTCTCTGTCGCTCCTTCTCCTCTTCTTCCCGCGCCTTTCGCTCGGCTTCTTCTGCGAGACGCTCCTCTTCTTCACGACGAAGACGCTCGTCCTCCTCAGCCTGCTGGCGCGCCCTTGCCTTCTCCTCGTGATGTTCTCTGATTCTCTTGCGCTTCTCTTCTTCGAACTCCTTTTCGGCCTTACGACGAAGCTTCTCAAAGTCGGCTGCACGACGTTGAGTGATAGAAGACTTGAACTCGTCGTACGGTTGCACAAGGCGTGTCAGCCGGTGCTTAAGCGCGACCACCTGTTCGTGCTTCTCTTTGGCCTCAGAGAGTGTGACCGCCTTGTTCTCTTCCCAAGCTTTGTAGTCAGCCTCGCGTTGACGAGCATAGTCGTCTTCGAGGTGCTTGACTTCCTCGCGACGGAAGGCTCTCTCGAGGTGATCAATGCGTTTCGCTGTAATACGAACCCGATTGTCTCGCTCGTTCTTGTCTTTCTCGAGCTGGGTAAGCTTGAGCATGCGCACTGCATTGGAGTCGAGGTTTTCTAAATCAACATCCTCGAGGTCGATCTTCATAGTGCCCTTGAGCTCTGCGAGTTGCTTCTCCATTTCTTGACGACGGATGCGAGCTTGCTCATCTCGGACGCGCTTGAGCTCGCGGGCCTTGGTCTCATCGCGGAGACGCTGAGACTCGGCTTCCGCTTGCTGTTGAGCTCGAATGCGACGACGTGTCTCTTCCTCGCGCTGTTTGCGAGATAGAGCTTCCGAAGCAGCTTCCTTTTTCTTCTCAATCACAGTCCGACGCTCGAGAGTGGCCAAGTGCTCTTGTTCGGCACCAGATTCAGCGCGGGCAAGAGCAGACTCACGGGCGGCGAGACGAGCTTGATTGTAGGATGAGTCGACGTACATGCAGGTGATGTGCAAGGTCTTTGCAAGTCGAGAAAGCTGAGTGCGGGCGATTTCGGTAGGGGTGTGCTGCAGGCGTTGGACGGAAGAGCTATCCGCATCTGCAGAAGCAGTAAGAGCTTTGGATGATGAGAAGACGTCTTGGTCAAAGTTGAGAGTTCCAGAGACGTGATCCAACCGGATGGCCAATTCACCCTTTTTGCAGCCATTCATAATGAACTTTTCAATGGTAGCAGGAGTGACCTGGAATGGTTCGGGGAATTGAGCCAGCTTGAAAACGAATCCTAACTCAACGGACTCGTAGACTTGCGAAAGTTGCTGGAATAGGCGGGTGAGAATGACCTGTTGCAGAGGCTGAACGTACTGAACCATCTCGGGATCATTGCCAATTCGTTCGAGAATGGGCGAGATCCTTCTGCAGATGGACAGCGGATGAAAGTCCACTTCGAGAATGTTGTAAAGATCACGGATCTCAGGAGAAGCTTTCTTGAGAAGGCCTTTGAGCTGCGCATCCTTGAACAAAATGGCTCGTGTTGGGGCCGATGGCATGTTGAGCAGGTTTGTCAGGCGTGTCGTCTTCTTACGAGCCTCGTCAACATCCACGAGACCACGCGACCGCGAAGTACTAATCACCGGAATGGCCAGAGCAGACAGAAGGACGAAAGAAGCCACCTTGGTAAGGTGAGCATCGGTGACTGTTGGGTTGTCTTTCTTGGGGCTCTGACCAGATGCAACCACAGCTTGAGACTGGCGGAGAAGTGTGTAGTACTTGTTGTAGGCGGCAGCATGGAAGAGGAAATTGTCGGACACCAGGAATATCTTGGTGAGCTTTTCGAAGTAATTGGCCATCATCACGTTTTTGGCTGGACGCTTCGACAGGGTGAGGAGCATATGAATATCCTCAACGCTGCGGAAAGCTTCCTGCCACAACTCCAACTCATCAGCAACGTTAAGCTGCCGAAAGCGCGTTTCCAGATGTCGCTGGAGAGTATCCGGCTCATTCAGGTTGATGGCATGCATTTGCGACGAGTATTTGGCAGCATTCTGAACATGGTTGCGAAGAAGCTCGCAAAGTCGACGAAACTCGGTCTTACGGGCATACTTGAGGCAGAAGTCGAAAGCTTGATGGGCGGTAGCCTGATAGAGAATCTCGAGACGGGCATTGTTCTTGAGAATCTCGAGCACTGTTCGATAGGTTTCCCAAAGAAATTTTAGCCATGGGGTGACGATAGCACGGTCGGTGCGATCCTTTGATTGTTCGCCGGATACGGTCGCAAGAAGAATGCTTTCCGGACTGTTGGTGACTTCCAGATCGTCATCGAGGTTGCTGACAGTCTGCGCAGCAGCGCTGTCAAGATTGGATTGAACTTGATCGGCTTTAACCTGCGCCTCCTGGACTTTCGCCTCGGCCAGTTCGATGAATTTTTTCAATACCAACTGCGGTTGTCAGCAGGGATCGCATCTCGGGAAAGGGATGCTGAACGTACCTCGATAGTCCCTACGTTGGTATTCTGCGCGATGTTCTTGTACTGATAAAGACCATCTTTGGCAGATTTTCCTTTTCTGAGATCCACGCAAAGTTCGACAAACAGGAGCATCACCGGCTCCAAGGAGGCGATCGGGCTGTTCCGGGTTCGCTTAGAGGTGACATGCTCGTGGAGGACATTGAGCGCAGCCTGAGACTGGTCGACGGCGATGAGTTCTTGAGCCCGCTGTGTAAAGATCGATTAGCATAGCGCCGTGGAAGATAGGCCCTACAATGAAGCCATCAAGGATGACCTTACCTTGAGCACATTCTCAGGTTTAATATGCGGTGGTGGCGGCATCTTAGGCGACTGGGCCTGCAAAGCAGTCTTTGAGAGAAGGCTAGGTGCACCTAGGAATGAGTCTCTCGAGACCTTGCAGCAGTCTGTCCTAGAGATGGCAAGTAGGGGACTTGAGGTTGTCGCTACAGCGTGCGTCACGGATGCCTGTGAGTGAACACCGAATAAAAAACCTTGGCAATTTCGCACACTTTCTCGGCTAACTTTCTCCTTTCTTGTGCCGGCTTTTCATTAATCCGTACCTCCACCTTCCCCACCACTCACGCTAGAACATAGAAAGTTTAGCGTCATTTAAGAGCTACGGTGGCCCACAATGGGCAGTGAATACGACTACATGGTAAACTCCCTCCTGAACCTTCCTGCAACACCTTCCACTCTTCCACCTCGACCTGCTGATCGCAAAACCAGTCTCGCGGGGCGTTCAAGGGCCCACCTGGCTATCGAAACCAGTGCGCCAACCTTCCCCAAAACCCTGACGCCCGCGACCTTGTCGAGACTGTTATCGGTCACCAGTACTCAGACAACCTCTCCACCACCAACACCTTGATCCCGGCTTATCAAGCACCGATTCAAGCTCCAGCGGCGACCACTCCGGCTTCAGCTACCGCTCCGACCCACGCATTCACCCTCAACACCACACCTCCTCTCTCCCGTCGAATCAAAGACAAAATCATCCAGACCAAGAATCGATCGATCAACAAGATCAAAGGTTTCTGGAACTATGCCTGCTGCGTATGCTGTACGTGATGGCGGCGATGCCAAGTCGAAGAAGCAGTCGATGGCCGACCTCAAGTTGCGCCGTCTGCAGGAGTTGAATAGCCGCCTGAAGGAAGATCTCGATCGTCCTCGCGTCAAGGTCGCTGAAGCCTCCATCTCGTGAGTAGCTGTCCCTCCTCTAACTTGCAATTACGCTGACAGTTCGAACAGCCTCATCAACTACTGCAACCAGACCCGCGACTACATGGTGCCTTCTGTTTGGGGACAGGTTGATAAGAAGGAAGACCCATACAACCCACAGGCTGGTGGCTCCGACGGATGCTGTGTCGTTATGTGAGGAGTTAATACAATCTTCTCTTTTGCCTTTCAGAGTCACAAAGTGACCAAGTTATGCATTGGCAGCGGCGCAACAGGACAGTTTCTACCAGACGGCAAGAATTGCGGGTACGGCATGTTGTAATTATGACCGACTCAGCCAGTGCCAGTCAATGAAAATTCTTTGAAAACATTTCCCTTGTCTCTGTACTTGTCCACGAAGCACTCCCTCTTAGCCGTTGACCATCCATACGGCCAACGAGCTGTCACCGCTCCCATAATGGGGCACCCGTTCGATCATGCATACACTGTTGCCAGTTCAGCCTTTCGGGGCAGCACTCATATTTTGGACGGCTGGAAGAGCTTTCCCTCCAATTTGACGTGGTGAACAGTATCACCGTTGCCAGTTACCCGCGATTCTCACTGCACCCTTCACCGACCACCTCGTCGGCGAAGCTTCACCACCACATGTCAACGAAGTGACCTCAAGTAACGGATCATATTAACTGCCCACCTTTCCCCCCTCTCTTACTCATTCTCCTGTTCCACCGTTCGGAAGGCCGGGGCTGGAAGTGGTACAGATTAACAATACATATCTACAAGTCTCATGCAAGATCACTCCCTCCAGCCCATTTGCAAACGTCAAGAAAGGCTACTCAACCAACCATCCCCCGTTCTCCAGCCATATCCGTCTGCCAGAAGCGAACGGTCGACAAACCCTGAGTCAAGGGCAACACCGACTTAAGGTCTGCAAGTAGGGAAGAAACGCACTCCGCTCGTCAATCTGTGAGCTTCATAACTGACTACCTTTGTACCAACTACAGTAGAAGCCCGCAACACCCACAACCAAATCCAAACAGTATGTAGCATCCCAGAAAAATTGCAGGAATTCCCGCCCAACCCAATCAAGAGCTCAACTGCAGTTTTTTGACAGCTTGCGCAAAGGTCTGGGATGAACCCTGCGCTCTCCTTTCACGAACGTCTGCGACGGAGCTTGAAGTGGAGATCGCCTGGAGCAAAAAAGCGGCCCTCGGCTCGGCGGACCCTACCCTGAGGTACTAACTCAATACCTCCGTACCCCGTCCGGAGTTGCTCGGAGTACTTCGTACCGGGACTTTCCTCACCGCCCCTATAAGGATTTTCCGTATTTTGTAACTTTGGGGCGCTCTAGGGTGCTTATTTAACTGCACGTGGAGGCGATGGGACAGGGAGGACTGGGGCGCATGAGATATCGGAATAAGATTGGCGTGTCAGCAGCGCGGATGGCATTAGTGCATTGCCGCTCTCAGACGAAGACCGTGGGGACGCAGGGGGCATGAATAGTAAGGGAAGTATCAAACGATTTGGGGGTTTTCTATCTTCGGTTGTGCGGTGCCTGTGAGCTGCGAGTGTATTGAGCCTTATGGGCTTGTGCGAGGGGAATGACTGCTGCATGGCGTTTGGGAGGTGAGTCTAGCACGAGCCGTGGGGTGACAAGTATTCGAGGCGTCAATGATCGCGGAGTTGGCTCATGTATCTGGAAATGGTCGTGAATGCGCTTCGCACTGTGCGTCGGTAGAGTAGCACCTCTGAGAAGACCTTACTAAGAATTCAGGGCATGGATTGCAGTGCGAACCATGCGCAGGTCGAGGAGCCTAGATGAGCATGCGGGTCCCGAAAGTGCCTCGTTTGCTCAGCCGCCTCGTTGCCTTTCGTAGTTCCATGCGGGCTTTTTGGCCGTCTCTGTGCCTCTTCGTCCGCGCGCTGCTTGAGCTGCGGAAGAGCGACGAGGTCGATATGATCAATCGTCGATATTACGGGTGTTGCTGTACTTGAACGGGCATTGTCACGTCACGGAGAAGCGACTATGTTCTTTGCCCTCAAGGACCAGAGCGCATCAGTGTCGTTGGCGGCAGCGGCGACAGAAACCAGCTTATAATGAACCAAACCATGAATTCGAACAGCAGAGATATCCTATATCTTATAACCTAGTCACTATCCATTCCATGCTCGCCGTCGCTGAAGGGGTATCTTTACCATTAACATTAAAATCCAAGCAACACTTTTCCGTTCCCTTTCGTAATTTTGTATTCATTTCTCCTCGTGCCCACTCATCCCATAACCCAGGACCTCATCAGTGATACCAAAAGGTAAGGTTGTGTGCGTGCCTGCCTCATGTAGTCTCAAAGAACCAGGAGTATGCGCTGTGTCATTGTTCCCGAAAGTGAAGGTAGATGTTCGCTGAGCTTCGACTAGGACACATCCTCCTCGCCGTAAGCATCGGTGTCTGTGTGCTCCTCTTCGTCGTCGTCGTCGTCACCTTTCATGGTCATCTCGGCGTTGAGCTGCTTTGGATGGACCTCGATTGTATCCTCAATGTCCTCACTTTCATCATCGCCGGTATAGTCATACGACTTGCGCGTCGCTACGCCCCTCAATCTGTGGCTCCATCGACTGCCCTCCACGATCGCCGAGCTAGTGGCAGGAAACCTCGCAGGTTTGCTCTTCCGCCTGACCGGCTCACCAAGCTCGCTCTGGCTGTCCATATTGTTGTTGTCACCGCCCCGCAGTTCTGTCAGCCAGTACCTGTCATCCAGCCCGCTGGCGACGAGCTCATGGTCGAGTGCCCACTGCAGAAAGCCCTCGTCCAACCCTTCTTCGTCCTGGGTGCGACCTTCCTTCTCATAGTGCCGCGCAACATGCTCCATCCTAGCCTCCCACACTCTGAGACCTTTCTCGTCGGCGCCGTATTCGTCAGCACTGAATTCATCCTCACAGAAGCCACATCCGATAATCTCTCCGGGCCCGCCACCAGGTGCACCCCGCCTCCACACCCAACAATCGTCTCTAATACCATCTATCCACTCGTCAAGCTTGTTCCGGTCGCGAACACTCATCTCATTATACTCCTTACGCCCCCATTCAGCTGGCTTGTGCATACGTCTGCAGTGCTGTGTGAACAGGTCTTTCCGGTTGAAGTCATTATAGCCTCTTATCTTAGTAATGTTGCTTGGATGGTCCAATGCGCAGGCGCCTTCATTACAGCGATAGTACCCGAGCCGCAAATGCTGCGAGAGTGTGTGTCGCTTCCACTCGTTCTTACTGGGAAACACTGACAGGCAGCCAAAGTGGTGGAATGGGCAAGGAAGAGGACTCTGGCGACTTTTGGCGATGCCGGGAGTGAGGGCGGCAACGATGGCGGAAGAGGTGGAAGATTTGTTGCCGCGTTTGTTCTTCTTGGACTTGGACGATGTTTTCACCTTAGAAGGGGCGGTGGAGGACGACGTGGTGCGCGTGTGGGACGGGTTGACCGTTGCAGATGATGTGGAGTGTTTGTGTATGCGGGCGTTGTCACCACGGACGCCGAGCGACTGAAGCTGCGTCTTGGAGTAGGGGACAGGTCCCTGGTATGTGCGGCGAGGGTGATTGCTGCTAGTGTGCGTACGGATGGGCTCGGGTTGGAAGTCTGTGCCGGCGTCGTGCTTTACCACGTCATGGAGATAGCCAGCATCGTCTTCGGCGGGCGCGTCGACTGACAGGCAGTCATCATCATCATCATCATCATCATCATCAACGGACTGGCCAACGCCAGAGTCGGTGTGTTCGGCTTGGTCAAAATCAAGCTCCTGAGGTAGAGGCATCTTAGTATCAACGGTATCGTTTGCCTCCGTCATGTCATCTTCCTGGTACGGATTGCGGGTGAACTCAAAAGCCCTGGGATGAAACGTCTGAGTTGCAAGTTTTGGCGCGGGTGAGAACAGACTGTTTTGGAGCGTTGCTGTAGGCAGACTTGGGTTCCAAAATTCATGAGAATGAGGTTCGGAAGTAGGTAAGGGATAAAAGCTGTTGTCACTACCCATGGTAGGAATGACAGCAGGTGTGATATCCGGACTCATGGTGTATGTTGGTGACCCAGAATCAGTGCTGGAGAGGGAGAACCCCGACATTGGGGAATGTTGTCTGTTGACCAATTGCCCTGGATAGAACGAGTAGCTGTTAACATTCATGTTGTGCAGGAACGGCAACGGGGGCGAGATTTTCTGAGGTCGCTGGTTAAAGCCGTGAGCTTCAGGATCATAAGCAGTGGGAGACCAATCCAGAGGTGGCATCTGACGAGTCCTCGACAGTTCCAAGGCTGGATGGCCAGGATACCAGTCTAGATTGCTGGGATAGTCGTTGTCCATTGGGTCGAGTTCCAGAGTAAAGTCGTCGGTCTCATCAAAGCCAGATGGAGAATGCTCGTAAGGCCTGGAGTTGCTGAACATCGATGACATGCCGGCGGTGGTTTTCGATAGACTGACGGTGATATATCAATGATGAAAATGAGCAGTGAAATAGAAGGAGCAATGCTGAAATTGGGGGCGAAGTATAATAATATCAGGTTGCGTTGCTCGGAGCGAATCAGGTCACTCTCAGGCTACGCGCCTCCGTCTCAAGATGCATGGACAGTGAAGACGGGGGCGAAGATGAGACACGATGCTGCGGTGAAGGGGGATTTGGGCAGGTAGGATTGGGACCACGAATCTCATATCGCTTTCCACGGGGCTTTGGTCTGGACATTGCGAACCGCGCCCAGCCATCCGCTCAGAAGCAGCTCTTCAACGCAGCAGAGCCTCAACTAGACTCAAACCAGATCGAGCTTGAACTGGGAGGATGATGAGCTGTATCCATGCCCCGGAGTAGACAAGGGTGGAGGCATCCCTAACCGCTTTTGCGGACTACTGACTCTGTGATAGCGTTGTCACTGGCGGCGAGAGGTGCAGGGCCACGCGATAGTGGGCTCAACTAGCCTGCATGGCGAGTTGGCAGCAGAGATTTCCGCACTCTGCCAGAGCGTAGTCCGTGGGTACGCCAAACCGGTGTAGGTGGAGAGGGTTGCCTCGTGCGTTCAAAAGCGAGCTTCAGCCAATGATTGGGGGCCTTTTCTGCCGTCCAGCCCTCATGCGACCCATTTAGCGTAACAAATCACTTGCTGCTTTTGGATCGTAACTCATTGTGGTGCTCGCTTGATTGCTGCAGAAGCTGCATAGAGCAAGCACAAGTTTCATGCCCGAAGAGTCACCAGAAGTCTCGGTCGACAATGGAAGGGGTATCTGCTTCCTGAGTCCAGGCCGGAAACAGACTCGTCGAATCTGTTACCCCAGAGCTCGATTGGAACACCAAGAAGTTCGTATACGAGAACCGGGGCGTTCTAGACAAAGGCCCAATGGGTTAAGCTGAAAAGGGTGCCGGTGGCAGGATCGTCTCGGACCGGGCTTGCCGCCCACGAGGTGTCTCGAACAGACGGCGCCAAGCTCTGCTGGGCTTAAATCATCGTCGCATTTGCAGCATTTTTGGATAAAGATCTGTGACAATGAGAGGGACGATCCTAGCCCTGAGAAGCTGAAATTCTGAGAGCAAGGACGGCCGGCGTTGCGGGTGGTGTGAAGCGAGCTGCAGCTAGGACACGTCAACTACTCCGAGTAGAGGTGGTGGTGACACCACCATCTCGGCTCCTGCATCGCAATGGTACTTCTGCGCAATCGAAGGGCCACAAAGAGCCGCGGAGTTCCATTCGGTTGCCTGTGACGCAGGATTAGGTGGCCAACATGCTTTCTAGACGAGGAGATTGAAATGGGATCGACATTCAGGAAAGAACTTTTGCTCAGCTTGGTGGGGCCGCGTGAAAGGCCACCGACCGTACATCCCAGGTCAATAACATTAACAGATGTCTGGGTGTGTCCGAGAAAGAGAGATGGCTCGCTTCAGGGGTGCTCCAATAGTCTGCCACAGGGAATGCCTGCGAGCCAGGGTATGTCCTTCAGGTTTCACCTCCTGTCCGTCCTCGTCCTTGAAGCGAACTGTTTCCCTCCTACCATGACGCATTAGCGCTCTCACCGTACAGCAGTAGTCGGTCGACGAAGGTATTTGGGAAGCAATTGGGGGCTGACTCGTAGTATTTTCAGCACTACAAGCCATGACACTCCTGCCGTCGAGCAGTGCCAAAGCACATGACAGGTGTCAGTCTGGCCTCCAGGTCTCGCTAGGGCGGGCAATGATTTAGGTGCCTCCAAGCGATGCTTGAAAACAAACCACGATCCCAAGGCAAGCGGCAACTACTGCCCGATCGTTACTCTTTGTGAAAAGGTCGGAAAATGCTTTGGCGGGGCCGTGGACAGTTCAACCCTGGTGCTCGCTTCCAAATTCGTGGGAGACAACATGGCTGGCCGGTAAGTTCCTGTTACAACTACCAGTTCGAGCTAATACCCGTACTCCGTGCCGCCGAGGGCGATGAAGGGTTCGTTCCTTGTCTCAAAGCTAATCTGGTTACTAAGAGGCGCCCAGGGCTTTGAGGAACGTGCCGAAGAGCCCATTCTTCAGCCACATCGAGTTTTAGCGCCAACAATCATGTACTTATGTACGGCAACGCCCCTGCTTAACGTCCCCACAATGCGTGTGCTCTCTCAGTCGAAGCTGCTCAGCATTATCTCGTCCCTTGCAACAAGCCGATGGTGTGCTTGCAATCCTAGTTTAGCCCCCGAGTTCAACGCACTGCATGTCTCGGACCCAGCCTGCTCCGACCGCTACCGTCCATTTGGGTTTTGCAGGTCAGATCTCCCGCACTCGAATTCGCATACCATCGTTATCGAACCAATCGTAATCGTCACTGCTGGACTGATGCTCTGCAGATCTAGGTGCGGACAGAGGCCCAGGACCATCCGTGTAAGCCACTGTCGATGTGCTAGTCCTTCCCACGTGTCCGCCCCTGCCTCTTGCATCTTCCCCTCCACCGATCAGCACCAGTGTCTCTTCATCAGAATTAGGGTATGGAGCCGACAAGTCGTCACGCGACGGTCTCGATAGACTTGGACGCAGGCCTGATTCTGCATTAGCTGCCCATCCATTATGTCCACCGCAGGGAAGCGTGAACTGACCGCTGCTACGGCGTGCAGGATGCTCCCGATATGGACTTCTTGGTCTTCTAGCCGGTCGTGCCGGTCGTGCCGCGTACCAGTCGTGCTCCGTGTCTGTGCTGTAGTTCTGGTATGGTTCTTGGAGATTAGGGGTCCTCGGTCTTGGAGTGCTGCGCGGTGGTATGCGTCTCTTAATGTATTCGACCGTCCGCTCCGTAAGCCAGGGCGCTCGAAGACCTGAATCTGAGTATTGGCACCGAGTGGGAGGGGGAGCAGGAGTAGGGGCTCGTTGGACTCTTCGAACACTACACAGCATCAGCGGCTGCCTCGAACGGCAGAGTAATGACTTACGACCTGACATCAATATCATTCTCGTCATACTCGGAAGTGTAGCCAGATTCTTCTTCGTCCACGCAGATCACGCGACGCGTTGGGCGGGGTCTAGGTCGTCTTACGATCTCGAGCTCCTCCACACTTGGAGAACGTCGCCGAGGCACAAGCACACTTCGGGATCGCATCGACTGATCGTTCTCAATAGAGCTTGACCTGGACATAGAACGTCGGCGTTGACGATACCCATCATCGAGATAGGTGTCATCGTCGGACGCAACAGGGCGGCTGCGAGACCGACCACGGCAATTCGAGCCACTCTTTGTGCGATGGCCAACGGAAGAGGCGCGGCTGAAGCCTCTAGAGTTGCGGCGATGCGGACGAGCTTGATGAACGTAGCTGTCTGTACTGACGATGCTCTCGTCTTCGCTGTCGGTGGCCGCATCGCGACAATTGCGACAGATTGTTATGCCTGGCAGCTGACCTGGCGCAAGTGGGTGCTTGTAGTGGTATCTGGTAGACCGAAACCGGCCACAAACAGCGCACTTGTATTTGAGGTCTTCTTGAGTGGGATATCGTGGTGGACTAATGGCTCCGGCTCCCTGTGGCAGAGGTTGTCCTTGAAAGCCGCCCACTGGCTGCGTTAGGCCTGGAGGAAGGTTATGCGTGGATAGGTGCCGCTGCAACGGGTTGTACACTTGCGCTGTGTTGTAGCCGAGTTGAGCCGAATACCCGCCGAACGGCTGCTGAGGGTTATATTGCGTAGCATGCATTTGTTGGCGTTGGGGAATAGGCTGGATGAACGGGGGCACGCCAGCCAGTGGAGGACCGCCGTTTGCGTCGGATGGATATCTCTGTGGATCAGGTTTGAGGATGCCACGCGGCTGCTTACTGCTCGGGTCATCGTGATGAGGCTGCATATTGGGAGGGTGGATAGTTGAGCAGCTGGTGTTTCGGAAAGGGCAAAATATTTGCGGACCATCTGCGGCTGCTGTGTTGATGGCGGCGCGTTGCGTGCTGGCTCGCTTGAAATCTTTCCAGAACGGTGACGGACCGTGCCACAGATCGTGGACAGCCTCCCGAAAGATGGCCTTGAAAGAAGGGAGTGCTGGTGGCTGCTTCTTCCTGACGTAGAAATGATGGCCGTCCGGTCCGGTTTCGATCCAGTTTTCGGTCTTCTCAAATGGGTTGGTCATGAGAGCAGCGTTGATCAGCCAGAGACACTAACTGATTCATGTGAGACATCAGAGGAGAGGAAAGAGTAGGTAAGTTCGGATCCAGGTGAAGTTAGGCAATGTCAGGTGCAGCTTGATTGATAGAGAAGTGGTTGGGTCTGAAAACTGTTTGAGCATATGTCATGAGCAACCTCGAGAAATGGCGAAGACAGCAGTGACTTCAAGATGGGAACACCTTGTCACTGCAGCGACGAGTCACAGCTTACCTATTGTGTCGCATCTCGCATGACACAAATCATCGTCCTGTCGCTTGACCTTGCAATTGCTCACAGTCGACCCCATATTATCGTCCTGATTGCCCTTCGTTCCAACCGTCAAGACAATCTGCTCACCTCCAAGCTCTCTGGCAGCTCTTCTGTCAATTGCCCTCCACATCAGCCACCCAGTCTTGCAATACAGATATACAGCGATTACTCTGGTGGAGTGTCGACTTCGCTCTACTACGTGTTCAAGCTGGAGTCACGATCGACGTGGCATTGTTGCGACCATTCTACCTCCGCCATGTCCCAGACTTGAAGACACGAGTGCTGTGGTTCGATGACAATGCACGAGCGGCAGTAGCAAGGACGTTAAAAAGAGCTTTCGGTCGAGAGTCGTGAATACGTAGCCCGGCACCCTGCGTCTTCGCCCCACCCAATCCACTAAGGCACAAGGGTGTCGTGTGCCGTGCCCGGCATTGACGATATACTTATCATCAGCAAAGTACTACAATGAATTAGAACAAGGTAGAATTATCGACCACATTCTGTCTGAGACATCGACCAGTGCACTGGACATCTGGCCTCTGCTTGCAGGCGTGGTGTACAGCAACGAGACTCCAGCCTAGATGTTCGGAACTTCCGCAATCACGAAGCTTGGCCACGGTGTAAAGTTTCGCTGTTTTTGGCATGACTAACGTTGACTGGGCGGGATCCGGCGACGTAATTGTACCGGAATCCTCACCTTGGCGCAGCAAGGCTGAGCATCTTGAGAAGTTGGCAGCGACACGACCGTCCACGTATGTGTCGATGGCGCGGCTAACGGACTTCTTCTTAGCCACGATGATGCTCGTCTGCATATAGCATTTCGTTCCCTCGAAGTTGTGCTGAAATTCGTCTGTATTCCAGCGTCGTGCCGACAGCACTGTGCTTCACCGCGCTCAGCCTCCAACATGCCCTTAAACGCCCCCGATCTCCAGAACTACCGAAAGGATGTAGCGAGCAAGGGTTCTGCACTTGGCGGCACTGGCCGCGAAACCCTTATCAAGCCCTATCTGCCAGAACCTCACAAGCATCGAAAACCAGCTCCTCCATCCCCCATGGAGACTGCAAAGAAATCGAAGCCTGCACGTAGAGGCCGCAAGCAAAGGATACGACCCTTTCTGCGACAGAAGTTCCACTTCCTCATATATTTTGTCATTCAAGTCATCTATGGCATTATCATCCGCTTTTACCATGGCTGGCACGCCGTGTCCGACCGCATCGTTGCGATCATGCACTACCACCACCGCAGCCCGGAGTACATCCAACGAGACGTCAAAGACCTCAGCCGCATACCGGAACACCTCAGCGTCATCCTGAGATACAAAGTCGAAGAAGATGGTGCACTAGAATCTCTCATGGACGAAGTGGCCGAGCTGTCTGCCTGGTCTGCGGCCGCAGGCATACCAACATTGAGCATCTACGAGAAATCCGGCATCCTCAAGTCGTATACCTCCTCCCTGCAGGACCTTGTCGACCAGAAGCTAGTCTCATACTTCGGGCCCGCGCCCGCTGCCCCAAGCTCAAAGATTTACTCGTCCAACCAAACTTTGCACAGCCCCTCGCCAGAGCACAATAGTCGTGCAAACAGCCAAAGTGGACGCAGACATATCAATCTCCTCCTGCTTTCCGCAGCGGACGGCAGAGATACGCTCGTCGATCTGACCCGCACACTTACAGAGATGGCGCAGGCAAAGAAGATTCGTCCCCGGGACATAACCTCCGACCTCATCAACACCGAGATCTCCGCTACCACCGCTGTTCCAGGCTCTCAGGCGCCATCTACCAACGCCAAGAAGGAAGTTGGTGCGGGCGAGCCGGAGCTGGTTATCGTCTTCGGGCCTTACGTCAAGTTGGAAGGATATCCACCATGGCAGATTCGACTGTCCGAGATCTTCTGCGTGGGCGGGGACCCGAGCCAGGGCAATGTACCTGTGGAATATCAAGGATTCTTGCGAGGATTGTGGAAGTTCGCAGGTGCTGAGATGCGCTTTGGCAGATAGAATCTGGGCATTAATTGAACTATCAATCTGCCGCTTGAAGGCTGCGTCTGCGTTGCTCGTTCTACGGACCATTTTGAAACTTCTAGTTCTTCACGTGGAGCCTGATTCAGTCAAGATCGACTTGGTGCGATCCGGGACCGATATCCTGCCGTTTCCCTATTCTTGTCAGCCAAGTATTCATGTCGAAGATACCGCCACTGACTCTTGGACCATGTGCTGCACTCATCCCATCACACTTGTCTAGAAGCAACTTTGCCGTGGCGACCATCTGGTAGCCCTGACTGATATGAAGTCCAGTCCAAAAATAGTAGTAAAACACCAAGCATGCGATCATGCTAGCCCCTGTTATTCGTTCAGTCATCATAATCATCAGCATAAGCGTCGTAGCATTCCCACAGATTATCGTCATTGCGTTCAGCCATGAGCACGTGCAGACTACGCTCATAGACATACATCGTGATGGCTGAGGCGGGGGCAGCCTGAGTGGCAAATTAGCATAGGCTTGTGCATCAACAGCAACAGAAAGTACCTTGATCAAGCTGACAGTCAGGCCGCGGTACCACCCACGTACACCTTCCTTACGCCAGATAGAGTGCAAGCCGCGCCAGACACCGGCATAGATGGGAATGTTGGTGTGGACGTAGCGAGTACGCATGGGTCCTTGTACTTGCAGTCGCTTCCGCACCAGGTCAAAGGGGAAGGTTGCAGTCTTCGCCAGAACACTGGCCAGAACGCCCGCAACAGCATCACCTGAGCTCAACGGCAAGTTCTTCCCTCCAAGGTGCTGGTGGAAAAGCTCGTAGCTGCTGAAGAACAGCCCCATGTACGGCACGATGGTGCCCACGGCGGCCGACAATCCCCGAAAATAGCCCCGTGGACCCTCGTCTCTTGCAATGTCCTTGACTGCGCCCAGAAGCCCGGTATAGATGCGATCAGTCCCCTGTGCCGCGAACCGCGTGCGTAGCAAGTCTAACGGATACGTTATGGTCGTCGCGAGTGCGCCCGCTGAAGCCCCGCTGACGAAACTCTCGGCACTGCTCGGCATCTTGACTGGGAGTGCTTGCTGCATCTGCGTGAAGCCTCTGTATGCCACGAACTGCATGCCGCCGTAACAGACATACATCAATTCGGCCGGAATATTGCCCTTCCACAGCGCACGGATGCCCTCTTGCTTCGCGATGGCGCGCATGGTGTGTAGAGCACCTTTGTACGTGGGGCCCTTGATGCCGTCGCATGACAACGGGTCGGAGAGGGAGTGCGGCTGCAGCTGCAGGCGGATCTTGACGACGTCGAGCGGCGCGATGCAGAAGCGCGAGATCAGGCCTGCAAAGCCGCCGGCGAGGATGACTTGGGCGCGCGTGCCCTCGTCCTTGACCTGCTCGACGCTGGGCGACATCGAGAGGCTTCGCCCGGTGGGCTACTGTGTCGGTGGGAAGATAGACAAGTGAGCTGGAATGCTTTCAGGGAAATACGTTGAGTCGAGATGGGGTATTGCATAGAGGGAAAGTTAGCCGACAGAGGTAGCCAAATGAGTGGGCACGTGAATGGCCAATTAACGACGCGATTTCAGGCGCGTCGCGGCCAGAAAGCGTCAGCGATTTTCTGGGGGGAAGACTCCTCCTGCAATGTACAGCAGTCAATGTACTTCACTTTAACTACATTTAGTACTACCCTCGCCGCCACGATCTGTGCAGAGACAGTTCTGCTCACTAGTTATTGTCCGGCGCTGCTGTATATTCACAAGTGAAGACTGTCGAAACTCCCTCCTGCAATAACGCAATGAGCTCGCCACCTGGCTCCTTCCCTTAACCTGCAATTGACGGCGATCCCTGCATGGTCAGCCTGCAGGACTTGAAATTAGGGGCAGACACTGCTGGATCGATGACTGACCACGCATCTTCTCGTGTCCAACCACTGTCCCGCAACTGGTCGCCTGCTGCCAAGGCGGGCTCTACTTCTGATGCCCCAAGGCTAGCCCCCAACACAAGGCCTTCTCCCGCGACGAGCTCGAAGGAAATGCCTCCCTCTACATCGGCAAGGCAAAGCACACTGACTCCAGTCAAAAGCGCACCCACTGCTCGCCCTCGAGGTCCACGGCAGACCAGTCTCACTTCCTGGTTCGGATCTTCGCCCGCTGCTGGATCAACCCCTGCCCAGGATGTCGTGACTAACAGTAATTTGTTTCTTCCAGAGACTTCAAAAACATCTCGTCGTCCAGATGCTGAGCCGCCGACGAAAAAGCCACGTCTGAGTCTGGACGAGGAGGACGACTGGCTGTCGCCGCAGGCCCAGGCTTCGGTTGATCTTCTTCCGCCTAACTCAAGCGCACCCCGGTCCAGCCCTAGCAAGGTGAGATCAACGGAGAAACGGAGAGGTGGATTCATTGTGGATTCGGACGATTCAGATGCAGGAAATGATGATGAGGATTCTTTGCCTGAAGATTTGCCCGCAACTCAAAACGACTCTTTGTTCGGAGATGGTTGTGAGGCTGATGAGTCTGCTCGGCCTGTGACTGAACCGCGATCAGAGTCCCCACAAGATGGTACGACCAAAGCTTCGCTCATGTTACGACCCAAAGAGCCTCTTCAGCTTTCCGGCACCTTCGACGATTCTGCCGAAACCAAGACGCATCATGATGATACACTACCAATCGCACTGGATGGCACAGTGGATCCTGAGCGTCCCCCACTTATACGTCAAGATACTAGTCTTTATACTCCTGGAGATTTCGGTGACGAAGATTTTGAGCAAGATGAATTTTATGAGGAAGGCGAGGAGTTTATGGAGAGACGTTGGATGGAAGACCAAGCTGCCATGGAAGCAGCTTTTGACGAAGACTCAAAATCAGAGAGTGGCACTGAGAGTGTGCGTACGCCAAATGATGATTTCGATCTACCTGGTACGCCGGACCAGGAGAGTGTTGCATCTTGTCCCATCTGCAGTGGTAGCCTAGCAGACCTGACAGAAGCGCAGGCATCAAGTCATGTCAACGCTTGTCTTGACGGGACTGCGCCTCCGCTACCAAAGATCACGCAAGACTCTTCAGCCACTATGGCGGGACCCGAATCCAGGCCAGCATCTCCGTTCAAACAGCTTACCAAGCCGGCCCATCGCTTTCAGCGAGCTGCCATTGCACGACCACCTCAAAACAATCCCTTCAGCGCCGCTAAAGACAACAAGGCAGGTAGCTCAGCATTCAGTAGGCTCATGTCCGGCCATGCTGAAGATCTTGCTTGGGCCGAGGCAGCTGCTAATGAGAAGGACTCCCGCGGTAAGCCGTCGTACCAGCGGACTTGTCCCTTCTACAAGATCATGCCTGGTTTGAGTATCTGTGTGGACGCCTTCCGCTACGGTAAAGTCGAAGGCCAGAACGCCTACTTCCTCAGCCATTTTCACAGCGACCACTACATCGGTCTCACTGCCAGCTGGTCTCATGGCCCAATCTACGCAAGTAAGGTCACCTGTAATCTCATGCGCCAGTGTCTCAAGGTCAACCCAAAGTATATCAAGCCTCTCGAGTTTGAGAAGAAATATGAGGTGCCTGACACGAAAGGTGTGTTTGTGACCATGATACCAGCCAACCACTGTCCGGGCTCCTCACTGTACCTCTTCGAAAAGGTCATTGGCAAGAATCGAGATGGAAGCGACCGCATGACGCGAGTCCTTCACTGCGGCGACTTCCGCGCTTGTCCTGCGCACGTGAACCATCCACTCATACGGCCCAACGTCGTCGATGCCGTGAGTGGCGCCACCAAAGAGCAGTGGATCGACACCTGCTACCTCGATACGACCTATCTGACTCCCAAATACGCGTTTCCCTCTCAGACTGATGTCATCGATGCATGCGCAGCCATGTGCGTGTCCCTGTCCAACGAAATAGCGGATCCCAGCGACGCATGGGAATCCACCAAGAACTCACGGATGGGACCTACAATGTCCAAGTTCCTGGAAGCTGGGGACGCCGGCAAACCCAAGCTCGAGCCGGAGGAAGAGGACAGTAAAGCTGACCTCAAACCTCGCGGCCGACTCTTGGTTGTAACCGGCACATACAGCATTGGCAAGGAGCGCATCTGTCTAGGAATCGCCAAAGCACTGAAATCCAAGATCTACGCCCCGCCCAACAAAATGGCCATCTGTCGTGCCCTCGAGGACAGAGAACTAAACGCCCACCTCACCAGCAACAAGTTCGAAGCCCAAGTACACATGCAGACGCTATTCGAGATCCGCGCCGAGACGCTGCACGACTATCTAGTGCCACTCAAGCCGCACTTCAGCCGCATCGTAGGCTTCCGGCCAACGGGCTGGAACTACAAGCCTCCAAGCAGCAGATTCACCGAGAATCCTGCTGTCGATATGATCCTCAACAGTGACGGATGGAAGAGCCGCTTCGGCATGCGCGATCTGGTGCCCCAGCGAGGCAGCACCAGGGAGTCGAACTGTTTTGGCGTGCCGTACAGCGAGCACAGCTCGTTTCGCGAATTGACAATGTTCTGCTGCGCGCTGCGCATCAAGAAGGTAGTACCGACGGTCAATGTGGGGAGCGCGCGGAGTAGGGAGAAGATGAAGAAGTGGATTGAGAAATGGGATATGGAGAAAAAGAAGAAGGGCCTGTTCCAATGGGAGATGGGAGGTGGTGGGAGTGGTGGAGATACGGAGCGTTTTGAAGGTCTTCATTATGGTGTGTAGAGTGACTCAAGTTAACGGTTACTGTCAGTTCTAACCTCATATTTGTCCGGTTTCTCCATCGCAGCTGTCGACTGTGGACGTGTGTTTGAGCACGGCAGGGGAATGCTTTGGGTAGTCCTTGTGGGAGACTACTGGAGAGTCGTGCGACTGAGAGCGATCGATGCTAGGCTTTGCACGAAAATGAGAGGCAAACTTTCTGCGTGAAGCAGATCAATTGACGTTGACACACCTGCATGTCCGTATAGATGGCTCTCTGCTTCGCGTCTAAGCTGAAGCCATTGCCTACCTCCACGTCTCGACTTTCACTCTTCTTCTCGCTGCTGTCCATAGCTTCGCCTACCATAGCTCGACGTGGCAAGCTTGTTGGGAGCGCGACTGGGACTCGATTTTCGACGCTCACCACTCCCCGCAGTGTATAACGCACGAGACTGCCACGGCGTTTTGCCCCTACAGCCATCAGGCCCTCTTGCTGATCGTGATCCTCATGGGTAGCATAAGACGTAGCTGAAGACTCGTCATTACAGTGGTATAATGCCTTCTCGGTAATTTTCCCCTCCACTCTCAGCCTTTCCGCTGCGCCTGTGCATGCGCGTTCGCCGCCTCCCGCCTTGTAGCGTCCTCCAAAAGCCCCCGATCCACTTTGTCGACGGGTAGATGCACGTAGCGCACGACGCTGCCGCGGATGAAGATGTTCTTCACGGACGAAAGGTGCGGGTACTTGACTTCGTCGAGGACGATGATGTCGTCGAGCTTGATGTTGAGGTACTGGTCGACGGACTTCAGAGTGCCGCGGATGGAGATGTCGTTTTTGAGCTCGACGGTGACGGTCGTCTGGGTGAGGGTTTTGAAGAAGGAGAAAAAGAGCATTGTGGCGGCTGGAGTGATGAGATTGAAAGGAAGGAGGGACCGGGCGGGGTGTGGGGGATGAAAGAGCAGCTCGCTGCGCGTGAGGAGGTGCGCGTCGCTATGTGAGAGAGTTTCTAGGCGCTCGAGAGGGACGGAGTGCGAATTAGACTGAAGTCGATCTCGTTATGGTGTTGAAGAAGTGCCCGTACGGAGCATCTGCTTGAGTGCAGTTGGTGGTAGAATTGATGCATGACTCAAGTTTCAGCCAAGGCCTGACTCGCGCAGCTTCCTCCCCGTGTCGGAGACGTTGGGTGACGAGGGTGGTCTTACCAATGTACTCTTGTTGATGGGGTTCTGAAGCCTCCTGCAAATGATGATGATTGAGTTTGAACGCAAATCCTGTGCCTCGACAGGCTGGGTCCCGTCGAGCGACGCTCACAAAATGGGTTATCACATGCAAGTGCGACCAAGCAAGACTTGTCCATTTCATGGGCACGTCCACTTGGGACGACCGCTCTTCCGAGCAGAGCGGCAAATGCAGTGCATGTTGCATACTAGCGTCCATACACAGCAGGACCAGTAATCTATTTGTGAAGGTAAAGACATGCTTGCTGTTCGTGTCGCTCAGCGCGCTGCCCACACCATTGGGCGCCCTGAAAATGCGCCACGAAACCGACGCAGTATCACCTTGCAGGCTGCCCGGAATCGGGGCTGAGCAGTTGCATTGACAGAGACAGCCTATCAGTCCACATTTTTCCTACGCAATCAGGGCTGGTCCCCGTGTCACATATGCTGCTGAAGATGTCCGTACTTTGGATCACCTGAAAACCGGTGACGCCCCCGCATCCCTGCCTGCTGTGCCTGCTCCTTCGTCCAACATCAGTTCAATTCTATGAGTATACGAACCCTTCCAAGATCGGGCGTTTGATGACTGCGATCTATCTTCTGCTCTCAACCCAAATAGCGTGGCCAACTCTCTGCTGCTATGTCTAGCCTCGCCGACAGCTTGACCTCTATCGGGCCTTCCCAGCCTGATCTGACTTCCACAGATGAATCAGACGAAGCTTGGGACCTAGAATGTGTCGACCTCAAAGGCATCGACGCTCTGAGCGTTTCCCAACTGAAGAGCTCACTGATCGCGTGGATGAAAAAGCAGCGTGCTACCGAAGCGGAGCTGGAGGTCACAAAGGCTACTCGGCGTAGAGCAACCATGCGGATGCAAGACGAGATCCTCGAACTCAAGAGAGAGCTGTGGGTAGCCGGTAGAGCTGCCGACGTGGCCCGCCGAGAAAGGGTGCGAGGCGAGCTTCGTGCCGAGATCGAGAAGGAGCTCGCCATCCCACCAAAGCTGCCACCAGTAAAGCTGGAGGACGCCATTGGCCGCCACTTTCTGATCCCCTTCGACAAGTGCAAGCAATGGAGAGTAAGCGCGCAATAGCCATGATATACCTGGTCTTCCACTGACAACGTCCCAAGGACATGCAACTCCTGATCGAAAAGGCCTTCGACCACGTCGAGGGCCTGAGCTGTCACGTCTACACCGGTCGCTACGACCTGCTTGGCCCAGACAACGAAATTCTCATGGCCGAGTACTGGGAGCAGGCTGTCCGACCAGGCATGACCATCAAGCAGATGCTCTGGCCAATCCGAGAACGCAGCCGCTCGACATCACATCGACGTTCTCCCGCTTCCGGCGTCGAGATCATCGATCTGAACCCTCCAGCCTCCATGTCCTCCTCAACATCTTCCGCTGGCTTCCTGGAACGCCGCAGATCCATCGATGTCCTGGACAGGAGCCGTGCCTCTTCGCCAGGTTGTGACGACGCTTTCGTGACCTCGCTCTCCGAAATCTTGGGGAACAGCAGCCTCGCCGAGAAGGAGACGAAGAAGGAGGGGATGGATGAACTCGACTCCTATGACGTCGTCGCCTATGAGGATGTCCTGCCGGGCAACCGTCCCGCTGCTAGATCAAAGGATAAGAGGCCGAAACGTACACGGTCTACCTACGGCCTCCCGTGCGCGTTCTGAGATCGTGAACCTTCTGAACCGTGCCATGTGCTTTGTCAGGAGAGGAACAATCGCAAGGACCCGAGTGCCGGCCAGCAAGATACTGCGGCTCAACTTGTTTGGGCAGCGATTCTTTTGGGTTACAGGAAAACTTCTTTCGGCCATTGAATTGATATCTTTCACACTTGCTTCCGACCTTTCGTAGAAAATAAGCGTGCCTGCAGGGCGAATCCCGCTCGTGCTTTTTGCAGTGAGAGAAACGTCCAGCCCATCCCAGTGAACGCTGCTACTATAATAGCAAGCCATAACCTCTAAAATAAGCCAACACCAACGCCATCGCTATGCCCGTGGTGTGCCATACCATGCTATGCTAATCCACATCATCATCATCACCCGAACCAACAAAATTCCTCAGATCACAGTCCACGCACCGTAAAAAGCATCCAATAGACCCTTCCCACCGAGACAATGATGCTGTACATGGTGACTTTCGCTCATCTTCCTCCACAATCCTTTTTGTGTTCACCGACTCACAACTTGGCCTTCAAGTTCGCCTCTCCGCCCTCCTCAACGCCAACTATCACAAGCACGGCGATGTCATCCACCTTTCCGCCGCGCCACCCTTCTTCGGGATAGTATTTTCGGAGCGCTTTTGCAAACGGGCCGTCCCTCTTCTCGTTCAGACTTGCGTTCTTGGCCTCGCCGACAATCGTCGCAGCCAATATCCCTTGCAGAGTCTCTGGCATTTGCGACTCTTTGGACCCTTTCTCCCGACTGACCAGGTCCCGTATATGGTCCGAAACTGCAAAGCCCTGCTCGCCGTGCTCGCCGTGCAGCTCCCATGCGCCACTGCCGCGCATGATGCCGCCGACGATCTTGAGCAAGTCCTGTGCATCCAAGTTATCCCAGACGCCGTCTGTTGCCAGCACCAGCACATCACCATGGCTGATACCGAGGTCGAAATCCTCCGCACTGCCTGGTTTGTCGTCGATGGGGACGCCACCGAAGATATGCGCCTGCCGCAGTATCTCCGGCGGCGTGAGACTCAGCTGATAGGGCGTATTGAAGGCGTGTGTTTGTGGTTCACTGAGGTGCTGCACGCGCCCAAGCCGCAATTGCACGAAACCCGAGTCTCCTAAATTGGCGATGCGCATACGTCCTGAAGGGTCGATGACGCCCACACAGGCCGTGGTACCGCCGCCAACCATGTCCGGGTCGTTGATCAACTGCTGGTAGCCACGTGCGAGAAGTCGTTTTGGGCTCAGGCTTGGCTCGGAATCTGAAGCGTTGAAGGACTGAGCCAGCGACGACATGTATGTGCACAGGCCGTGACTAAAATCGGCGGGATCGATGCCCCGGTCAGTCCAGCCACCAACGCCATCGGCGATGGCAAAAGCAGTAGATTGCGGAGTAGTAGAATGGGAGTGGCTACCAACGGGAGCCACAAAATAGGCATCTTGTCCAGAATCGGGACGGCTGCGGCGCTTTTCTTGGAGGGACGAGCCTCGCTGTGCGCCGAGAGACTGTCCGCTGCTGGCGCTGAATTCTTGTGTGTTGGCATCGGGCCGGAAACGGCGGCCTTTGCCGCTGCTGGAGGCGGCGATGTGAAGGGAGATATGGGGGATCGAGGTGCTGGATGGCGAGGACGAGGCGTGACTTGAGGAACTGAAGGCTCTTGCTGGTACGTGTGAGGTGGACGTTGAGACGCGGTAAGGGGACGAGCTGCGTCGGATGGATGAGGAGAGATCTGTGAAGACGCGGTAAGCACGGGTGACATCTGTACGAATAGGTTTGCCCGCACGGTTTGGTGGGTTGCTCAGAAGAAGGGAGCGAGTCAGGAAGACCGAATGTCGACGCACGTTTGCCACAGCGGCAGACATGGCGAGCGAGAGAGTACTGTTAAAAGACGAGGGAAGTGCAGCCTCGATGCTGGTGACGACGGACGGGTTGTAGTAGAGAATAGTGAAGATTACGACATGGCCGAGGAGGAGGAACAGGAGCGAGCGAAGCAGAAGGCCGCACTGCATGGAGTGGGTGCCAGTATGTTGGCGATATCAAGCACTTGACGAAGACTACGCAGAGGCGCAGTAGTTGTGCTCGCCAGAAAGTTTTTATGGAGATGGAGAGTTGCTCTTCTCGCGACTCGGAGTCGGCCAGATTCGCTCATCACTCCACACTGGGATCAATCGCTGTCTAAACGGGGCGACCTCTAGACGCATCTCGTATTTTTCTTCGATCGCAACCGCTTCTGCATCTGCTTCCTATACACACCATTCCGTCACCATGTATGCGACAAGAGCGCTGCGAATGCCGATTCTGAAGCGCTCATCATATTACGAGAACGATTACCGGCAATCACCCGCCCTCATTCGAGCACGTCGGCCCTATATCTTCAAGAATGCGATCACGGGTGTTGCCATCATGAGCTTTGCACTCGGCGTCTGTGAGTCAGGTAGTCTGGGATGAGGTGCTGAAGCTGACGCGGGCGCAGTTGCATTTACTCTCAAGGCCGTCGGCCAAGATACGTTCGAGGATGTTGTCGTTCCAGATGCCACGAGTCAGCCACCTAAGACGCCCAATGTGCAGGCCGGAGGGCGGTAGTGCAGTCGGAACGAGACACAGGATTCCAGCAAGCTACAGCTTCAGCGCCCTTGACGAAATTGACTGTGGTTTGAGTACTACAAGCTTGGCCAAGCAATACAGGAAGAATGAAGGACTGTTTGCCCGGCATTAGAATCAGTTTTAATTCGGATCAAGACTACAGCTGTGGCTGTGTGGCAGACGGCAGACGGCAGAAGGCAGGCATCGCTGCCGAGAATTGTCTCTATTCAGTGTACACATAACCAGGGCGCAGCCGCCCACTGATTCATAATCATTAAAATCGCGCCATCGCAAAGCCTGGTCCGGTCGTTATACCTGGCGCTCTCGCCGAAATAGTTGACCTGTCTGCCACGCTGTCGGTAAGCGTTATGGCTGCCCGCGAAGGCGAAGCAGCTGTTCCCAGTCGTGACGCTAGTGGCGACGAGTTGCCGATTTGTGCAGACTCATGTATCTGCCCATCAGGAGCGCTCGTGATATGGCGGCGAGTGTCAAATGGGGAGGTAGAGTTTTGTCGACCGTTAAGCGGATAGGTCGTATTGGGCGGTTGCTCGGCGATAACTGAGCTGTCGTGAGGTGTGTTCAATTGCGACGATGGGTATTCCGCAATGGTCGAGGCCGAGCCCATCAAGGCGGATTTCTCTCCAAGCCGCTGCTGGTTGGCGGGCGTGAGGTAAGTGGTGTCGTGGAGAGGGGAGCGATTGGAGTTCTGTCGACTTATCCCGAGTCTATGCATGGGATGCTGCGCATTCGCCCAAGGGTTCTTCTCCAGGAACTGCTCCTCCGCAGCGGGAGCAGAGATGTTGCTGAAAGTGCTGGTAACACGCTGTACGGGCCGAGGTTGCCGGTTCTGACTTGAGACCTGCGAATTGATGAGTGGCGGCCTGATGTCCTTGTTGATCATACTTACACCTGTCTTAAGACCCATCTTGGCCAGATCGTCCTCCATTTCCTTCGTACTTGATTGCGCAAGGTCTGGTGCTGCTGGGAAGCCGACATATTTGGCCACACCTGAGAGAATGGACACTTCCTTGTTGTACGCCGTCTGTTGAGTGATCTGCTTTGATCGCTTGGTGGCAAATGGTATGCCATAGTTCGCTGTAGACTGTTCAGACTTGAAGCGCTCCCGCTGAATGCGGTAAAAGTGCTCGCTGAGCCTGTCCAAATGCTTCTCGCGAACATCTCTCATAGTCTGGAAGAACGCGCTATGCACTTGTGCTCGTTCAGACATACTCTTGACCTTCAAGGCACCAATCTTAAAGACCAGGAGCTTCTGCTCAGTCTCAAACTTTTCGTCTCGGTGTTTGCGGACAGCTTCTAATTGCTTGAGGAGCTCGGGATGCGATGGGACCGATTCTGCTAATTGCTGTAGCTCATGGTTAATAGCCGCGATGCGCTCGTCGTAGAGTCGGTCTCGCAATGTGGCAAAATGTTTCTCAAGCACGCTCAGTCCATCCATGGCTGCCATTCTTCTGGCTTGTTCTTCCTCGCTCTTTACAACAGCTTCAGCGTCGTCTACCTCAGCATCATCGCTGTCTGCATCAGCATCAGGCTCTTCATCGGCCTCTTGTTCAGTATCCTGTGCTTCGTCCTTGCCTCGTCTTCGGGACGAAACCCGGCTCGGTGGAGTTCGTTTCTTGCCTTTGAGTTGATCAACGTCTTTTTCTACGCCGTTCTGCCGATCGTCGTCTTCCTCGCTCAGCTCTTCGTCGGGCACTCTGGCTTCGGCGACCGGTTCGAGTGTGCCCTCACGGCTCTCTCGACTTGGTCCTTCTTCAGGCTCTGATTCGCGATCTGATTTCGCGTCGTCACTCGCAACGGAATGTGTCCTGCGTCTGCGGCTGCGAGTCTTCTCTTCTTCCTCTTGTTCATCGTCTTGCCGCTTCCTTTTACCAGGTGATAGCTGAAGAGAGCGATCTACTGCTGGTTCTGCATCTTCGTTATCGGCGGGCGCGTCGCTGAGATCGTCGTCCGAATCGTCGTGAGAAGAAATGGGAGAGGAGATGGCGCTCTCTGTAAGGCTCTCGATTTCGGGTCTCTCGTTCGGACTGTGATTCAGGAGGACGGGTTTTGCTAGCTTGCTGGGCGTAGCAACGAAAGACTTCCTGTGGCCAGGTTTGTCAGGCGACTCTTCCAGTCGCTCTGTCTCAGCCTCTGAGTCATTATCGGCCACTGTTGGTCGGTCTGGTGTTTCGTTTTGTGGCGCATCGTCCATGTCCTCATCGTCGTCCTCGTCGTCGTCGTCGATGTCATCGTCAGCATCGTCGCCGGCCTCATCGGGCCCTTCGTCGTCGAGCTCGCCGTCGAGCTCGCTGAGACTGCTCGAACGATTGTCATCCTCCTGGGTCACGGGTGCGTTCGCAGCTGTTGCAAGTGTCGATAATGCGAGAAGAGAGTCTGCGGCAGAATCCATGTTGTGTGCGCCAGCTTAAATTGCAGGCGCAGCGAGGGACGCTTGAGCTTTCAGCAGCTCTGCGCTGCAAAATCGTGACGTCTCCTGTAGAGGCAGGAGCTGGCAGTAGTGAGAAGTCCTCGTTGTGATTATTACTTGCTCATTCAAGTCCACAGTCTGTGAAGCTTTTCGGATCGGGGGTGGGAGAGGGGCGCATGCGCGCCTATGCAGATGCGACTCGAATGAACGTTCAAGGCCTGTTATCGAGTCGGCTATGCGCGAAGCTTAGTACGTGATGGCTGCTGGGGCGAAAGAGGACAGGGCCGGATTTGTTGGACAAGTGATTCTGGGCTAGATTCGTTGTAGCTGGAAGATTGGGAGTTTGACGGTGTGGGTGAGGGTAGCGCAGTCCACTGGGAACGAGCTTCTCACGAGGTTTACGCTCACGAATGGAGAAGAGACAGCTCTCTCAGAGTACTTGATCTTCGAATTGAATGAATTAAAACGCGTTTCCAGCAGGTGGCAGGCAGTTGAAGCGCAGAGGGAGGCCGTGCACAAGAGGAGACGCAGGACCTCTACCGATGTCATTTCCGCAGTCCACTGCCTGCGACCCAGGAACCATCTGGCCTATTCGCTCCACCGTAGCCGTGCGGAGAAAAAATTTCAGTCTCCAATTGAAACTTGGACGTACTCGAAGCAGCATTCTGACCTGTTCTTGATATCAAACCAATATTGAAGGTCTCACAACGTCAGACTTCAGGAGCAGTCATCTTCAGCTCTACAGGATGGGCAAGAAGTCATCGAAGGCCACCAAACAGGTGGAGTCCAAAGACCAGCCCACGGTCTCTGGCTCGTCCACCGCCTTTGACCCAACCTTGTCGTCGCTATTCGCCTCGAGTTTGGGACCCGTCAAAGTCCCAGAAAAACCTGTGACCAAGCCCATCAAAGAGTCCCGACAGTCCGTTACACCTCCAGAGTTGCCAACACCCGAGGAGACACCATCGGATTCAGAGTCGAGCTCCGAGCCAGACGATCTTCAGGCGTCAAAAGCTCGAGTCAAGCGTGATGAAGAGCGACCAAGGAAGCGACGACGGGTCGACAACGAGGAACTTGAGGACGTTTACTTCCGCAGGCTTGCCAAAGAAGAGGAACGTGACTTGCAGCAGCGCCAAGAACAGCAGGATGATGGAGATGAAGTCAGCGACAGTCCGTCTAATGATCTCGAGGACCTTAGCGAGAATGAGAGTGAGGCTGGGGTTGCTTCAGTCCTCCCTGTCCACGAGTCCTTGACAGGTGCTAAAGCCCAAGAACTGGCCGATGAAACGAAGCGCACAATCTTTCTCTCAAACGTGTCCACGACCGCAATCAAAGACAAAGCTTCAAAGAAAGCGCTTCTGACGCTTCTTGAATCTGCGATACCAAAAGACACCTCTGACAAAATAGAGTCCATCCGCTTCCGTTCGACGCCTTACGCCAGCGGCACAGGCCCTAAGCGCGCGGCTTTTGCTACCAAAGCTCTTATGGATGAGACAGCTGCATCTACTCATGCTTACGTTGTACTATCGACTGAGATCGCCGCAAAGGCAATCGCCGCAAAACTCAATGGCTCGGTGGTACTCGATCGCCACCTACATATTGACCAGCTTGGCGCACCTTCGCAGACCGTGCACCGCCGTTGTGTATTTGTGGGGAACCTGCCTTTTGTTGATGAGGAAACCCTCGAGGCCAATGATGAGGAAAATCCCCGCAAGCGACCTAAAGCCAAGATGCGAGCTGATGCAGAAGAAGGACTCTGGAGGACTTTTGCCAAAGCTGGTAAGGTTGAGAACGTACGCATGGTTCGCGACAAGGCTACCCGCATCGGCAAGGGGTTTGCTTATGTGCAATTTGCCGACGAGAATGCGGTCGAAGCGGCACTACTCATGAATGACAAGAAATTCCCTCCACTCCTGCCTCGCAAGCTACGCGTCATGCGGGCGAAGAAGCCAGCTACGAAGCCCACTTCCAATGCGAAGCGGCCCCAGGCACGCAACAGACGCAATGAAGTTCAGGGTCGCGGCAAGGCTGTGCAAAAGTCACGCGACCGTGACGCAACGAAAGGCAAAGGCCTAAGGGGAGGCAATCAGGCCAAGGGGATTGTCTTCGAAGGTTACCGAGCGTCGAAGCCGGTCGCGAAAGACAAGGTCAGCAAGTCGAAACCCAAGAAACGTCCAGTGAACAGGAGCGCAAAGAGAGGGGCGGAGTTCAAGGCCGGTGGCGGCAAGAAAAAGCGCGACATGAAGAAGTAATCAACAGCGGCAAATGCCCTCAATCACACAAGGAGCCTTTATGAACGTCTAATCCAAATGCATGCCCTCGTCTTCGTCCTTGCCCTCCCACAGAATGATACGGTTGACCACGGCGTGGACATTGCAGACAGCAACCACTAGCCAAGCCACAACTAGCAGAACCGTCATGGCACTCGTCACAGCCTTGACGCCATCGCTCTGCAAAACGTTCCCAATGTTGATGGCAGCCAGCGTCATACCGGCATTAGGGAATATGAATGCCCACCAATTGAGTGTGAAGCCCATCTTCTGCTTGCCAAACGCCCCCGCAGCCACGGCAACCGAAGACAGGGCGAAGAACCAGAACGCCACCAGCCAGAGGAAGATGCCAGCCATGACTGCCACGATCTTCACGATGTCGCCCACCGCGACGGTATTGACCGACAGCCAGCCCGCCGGAATCACAGTCGACGCCACATTGCCCAGGCTCACCAGTGCCGCACTCGTGTATCCGACGGGCCCAACGCCGATAAACATCCCTGGCCGGGTACTCGGGTCGGGTAGATGGCTGCTCATAAGACGTAAGAAGTAAATGGTATACATAAACACCGCCACTGTCCATCCCAGACCCTGGACCATGACCGCCGATACCCATATAGATAGCCGATGGTGGGCCTCTGGTTGGGTCTGCACCATGATGGCTGCGAGCGGCCCAACGACGAGAAACGAATACACGGGCATGACCCAGGCCGGCATGGCGCTGTCCACGGGTAGGCGCTCCGCCACGAACAGCGTGGCGTACTGGAAAATTGCCACGAGCAAGCTGCACGCGATGTAGATCCAGTAGAGGACGCGCAGCGCGCTCACCAACCACGGTCCACACACCGGCACGCCATAGGTCTGCGTCAGATTCAGGATCAACGCGACACTGACCCAGAAGGAGCCGAAGAACAGGGCTTCCTTAGGATGGTGCAGGGAGCGAATAAAGACTCGAGGCCGGCGAAGGAAACGGTAGGCGATGGCGCAGCAGAAGAGCATGAATAGCACCAGATCCAGAATGAAGAAGATCTTGGCTATCACGTCCAGGCCGGAGAAGCGGAATGGCGTGTTGGCGAGCACGACAGCGACGGCTCCTGTGGACATAGTGCAGGCAAACCAACACCAGGTGAAGTGCTGGAGGCGCTCCGTGGGGCTGGCATACTGGGGCTTGGGCTTGTAGCGGAGAGGAGGGTCGTGGTAGTGTGATTTCTCGTTTGGCTGGACAGCGGTGCCGTCGCTAGTACGACTGCTGCCATCGTGTGCGTTGGCGGTGCCATTCTCGAGGTCTGGGGCTTGCTTCTCGCTGTCGTCCATAGCTTGCGACGCTGTACTTATGTAGGCTGTGCAGCGCTCGAATGGAATCGGAAGCTGTCTTCACCTCAGGGTTTTTCGCAGCCGTGTTTGCCATTTGCCATCATATCGTGCCTCGACGAAAGCAAGTCTTCCGCTTCTCTAAATACATATAGTTCTTGCCTCACCCTTGGCTCAACTCAGCAAGAGTTGGAAAAGAAGGGCACAAACAAGCCAGGATGAGGTCATGCCGCAATCTGGTCTGAATGTTGAAAGCTTCCCGGTGGGGAACGAAGGGTTCACTCTCCGTTGCACCCGTTTCCACCCCCAAGACGCCCGCCGCGTGGCTGCTCGGTAGGCTCTGCCGTACTCATGGTAGAAATGGGGAATCGGGACAAGATGGAAGGCCGGGCAGGGCTGCTCAAGATCTGCTGTTGTTCCACGATCTGAGCTCCGTGGAGAGGAACGGCTGCGTCCGAGATTGCGGGCGGCTGTGGCGTTCATGACTGTTTAGCTGCATAGGGCTTCATCGTCAGAATACTCTCGCCAGCAGCTAGAGCGCCTACTCTGATGATTCGGTAATGGACTGTCAGCTATGCTTCATGGCAACACAATGCTGCCAGCGAGAACAGTCGTGGTGTCGCTTTGATGCCCCCGCGATACTTAAATGAACCCCCGCCTCCCAGGCGTTGACGAAGTAGGTGCACAAAGTGCGCTCAAAGCCACCGTACAAGGATCGTGTCTGGCGCTGGACGGCTCCCAACTTGTCGAATCATGGCTTGCTAACAATCATCGTCCTCAAGGAACCATCCCAGCTTCGTAGACAACAAACTCCATATGCGCAAGAAGGGTGTGCTTGACAAGCACCTAAACTGCAATAATCACAGGTCCCGATGCCCTGTGTGAGGTAGGTATGCAGAAGTCATTCCGTAGCTAGGTATGTACGCCGTGCATCACAGCGCCCCGGATGCCTGCACGCGCATCACTTTTCATCAGTCATCTATAACACCGGAGATTTCCAGTCAACCGACGTTTCGAGTATGACCACTGTACATCGGAAAAGTGTGCGTGTCCGGGCTCCAATCTACCGATGCACAGCAGCGCGGGGATGACTCTCCACGTTCGCTTCGAGACACACGCTTTTTCCAGCCGACTTCATTATCATGTTACTCGGCTTGAAGCCAAGTTCCTTCCTGTGAAGCATTGATACTTTCCCCGATTTCGCCCCCGTCCCTCGACTCTGAAGGGTCTTCAGCTGCTCTCACACCAGGCCTATACTGGTTCTCATCCTCTCTACACCACAACGGCCTCCATCAGGCCAGTTGCTAAGGTATCGACCAGAGTAGACCCAGTGAGAAGAGGTCTGATTCCCACTCTTGCCGACGCTAACGGTATCTGGACGCCGATAGCCTCCGAAAGATCCTGACACATGGACTGACGCCTACGAATGGCGCCATCTGCTTTTCTTCCGAGAAAGCGGCTGAGTGCACTGAATCTGAGCACGGATTCAGTGGTGCTGAGCCTTGACTAGGTTGAGCGGCACCTGAACAGTACTCGGGCGACCTTTCACTCTGTGTGCTGGATGCTGGTGTCAAACTCCTGGAAGAAGACCGGGCTGACCTCTTCTGCCTCACATTGTCTGACACTATGCAACACCACTATGAGCCCGGCTCAAAGGAAGCAGACGAGTTCATGGCTGCTCTTGATGCCAAATTTGGCCAGCTTGTCCAGCACGTCTGCCGTCGCTATAACAGGTAACCATGGCATGAGCGAGAAAATCAACGATGATGGCACACCCAATGTGCTCTTTTTAGAGGACGTCTTGAACCACAAGTACAGGCCGGGCTTAGCAAAAGTCACCTGTACCATCACGGTGCCTTGGGCTCTTTCGTTCGGGTCCATCTCAAAGAGCAGCCCTCAGTCATGACTGGCATCGTCAATTTTGATTACCCCCGGTGGGCTTGGCATAGCCTTACCCCTTTTCCCCTTCCGCCTTGTCGTTTCGCCCCGGCCACCGCTCGACCGGCTCGACCGTATCCACGCAACGACTCAATGGAGCTTTCCCAAAAACCTAGACACAGCACCACAGCTCAAAGGGGTCTACTACTGTGTTCCTTTGAAAGCGTGATTTATTGAAGGTTGGATCCGCAAGGTCCAGACTGCAGAGAGTCCGCCAGTCTCGGCGTGAGATCGGGCACGACGGGAGTCTAACCGGGGTGCTCGAAGCGGCTACAGGCTGGAGTGAAAGTCGTGCTGACGCACGAAAAAGGTGCCCAGGGTCTCATTGATGCCAGCAAGGTCGGGGGTGGCTTGCAGATTTGTTGCAACATCAAGGAGGTCCGCGCCGTGGAACTGATCCTGCACTTCCGACCACTCTTGAGGAGCTGCCTTCGCATGAGAACGGAAATCGCGACTGTAAAAGGTTTAAGAAATAAGAGCTTTTGGTATTTGGAACAAAGAGGTTTCACCAGAAGACAGCTCAATGAAGTCAGTGTCGGCCAGTTGGGTGAAAAGCCACGCTATGGTGCTGTCCTCTCCTGGGTGTCGAACTTGCAGAGGTGCATGCTCAACCTCCCCAGCCGAAACCCCAGCAAAAGTCACATACAAAGATGAGCACAGTGCGAAATGCGCTCGCTCTTTAGAGCACTTCATTGTCTATGGACAGGCGGCCCAGGAGTAGACACAGCTCACCACCCATACAATACATAGTCATTCCTCCCGTACTAGCGTCTATTCGCACACATGAAGCGCCGGCGAGTCTTGAGATCCGAAGCCCACCCTATGCAGCCATCGAGCTCGATAGAACGAGCCACAACAATATCTCCAGAAATCCGAATATTCATGCCACCATTAGATCGTATCCGCCGCACTCCTCCCACACTGCCTTCCATGCCGATCTCCCTTTTCCGCCTTGGGTTTATGATATGTCTGCTATGCACTAAACACCTGTCCATGCTTCCCAGAACCGAATGAGTGTAGACTATTCTGCGACTAGCCTACACTCTCTATTTTGCAGCTCCAACATATTCACTGAGAAAGCAGCAAGATGCTTGATCAGTAGTCGCGATAAGATTCCTGGCCATACATGCCCTGCTGCATCTCGCGCAGCTGGTGCGGCGGAGGCATTGGCTGAGGCATAGGCGGCGCCACACCATGCTGGCTCCAGCCCGAGGGCACGGGTTCTCGCATTCTTCGCTCTGAAGATACATTAGCATATAGTCCGCATAAATCATTGGTTCTGCCGGGTTTTGCCCGTCGGCTCGGCCAACCACCAGGGAAAATGGATGTGACTTACCTTTCTCGAAATCTCCCCATCGTTTCATAGTAATCTTGCTACTGTCGAACTCACCCTCATATTCGATCCCCGCCGTCTTAGTCTTTTCGCCAGCCGTCTTGCGTGTATCACCCCAGCTGAAATCATCGAACTTCCAATAGGCGTAGACCGGCAGGACAAAGTTCCAGATGGGTAGCGAGAGGAGGTAGATTAACATCCACAAGACATAGCTCCATCGGTGCGCCGTCAAGACAATGAGCACGGCCGGCAGACCCAAAATGAGTGCGAGGAGGACGAGCGGAATGACGGGTACAGGTCGGCTAACAATAGAGATGATAATAAGGTAGACCGTGAACGAGATGGCAGCTGGTAGGACCAGGGTACCAACAAGCTCAATGAAGACAACGAATTGCATGCTGAAGCAAAAGGTGCCGCACAGGTCGCGTACAAGGACCAGCTCCATGAGGTTGTGCACCGTGGAATTGATCCATCTGCGACGCTGGGACAGAAGCACGGCAAATTTCTCCGGAACGGTAGTCTTGCAAACTGCTTGCGGCACAAAGACCTGTTTGCGTTTCGGGAAAGTCTTGAGCATGAGTGTGGACAGGTATCTGTCTTCACCGAGAAGAAGCAAGTTCTTCTTGTGCAACGTGTCGACGACGTTCTCGGAGTAGTGCTCGACCACGTCGGGGTTGGCGAGGATAGGCACCCAATAGTTCTGACCTCCTTTCGGTGCTTTAATGCGGTACATGCAGAAGCAACCGGGCAAGCACGTCACGCCACCGAAGACGGATTCGAACGATTTCGACAGATGATGCGAGATGAAGTATTCAAAGACCTGAATCATGGACACCCAAGAGGCACGCTTGTTGGCGATCTTGGTTTCGCCGCAAAGGCCCATGACTTCAGGATCCTTGACCATAGCAGATATCATGTGAGTTAGGGAATCCGGGAAGACCTTGGTGTCGGCATCAACCATCAGCACCGTCTCGTAAAAGTCGGGCGACATGCCGGTGACACGCCAGAGTCCATTGAACATCTCGTACTCGAGCTCGGTCATGCGCTCATCGAACATGACTTTCTGGAGGAAGGACATCAGGATAATTTGGGAGTCTCGCTTGCCGCGATTGCCAGGCTTTGACTTGGTGGCCTCCTCGGGAGTACCACACTTGACAACGACCATCATCGGCACGCGCTGTTGCTTCTCGGGCGGAATGCGTGAGTTGCGACCATAATCGTAGAATCCAGCATAAATCTTTGCCATGCTGTGACGCTTGGAGCCAGAGGCGACAGCAACGTAGGAGAAGGCCTGAACGTCTTCTGGCAGAGTCACAAAGTCACCCACCATGCTCAGAATAATATCGGGAGTTGTCAGAGTTTCGCCTTTGCCCTTGATCATGCCGTCGCAAATAGCGACTATAGCTTTGTGACTGTTGGGATAGTCCGTGGTGGCAATGGAGTCGAGCGTAGTACGAATGCCTTCCTCACCCTCGGAGTATGCTGTCACCAGGCAAAGGGTATGGGCCAGGGGGTAGCCGAAAGGCTGCCATTCAGGTGGTGGCTGTGGAACCACGTTTTCGTGAATGAAGCCGTGAGGACCGTTGGTATCGTCCATCACCTGCGAGAAACGGGTGTCTTGGCCAGACAGCATTAAGCTGGACCGGCTTGCGCCGACACTCATCCTGGTCGGTGTATCCAGGGTATTAGTGCTGACGTTGAAGCCGTGTTTGTACAGAGATCCTGGACGAGCCGTACCAGTGTTTCCTTGGCTTGTAGTCATGGTGGTAAGGGGGGCCTTGAATACCTTGGAGGTACGTTCCACAGCGTAGGGACTGGTGAAGCGCGATGTCTGGGGAAACAGAGCACTACCGCGCTTGCTCATACGATTGTCAGAGCCCGACACAGTGCTGGCAGGATCAGTAATCCTGGGTGCCTGCTTGTAAATATCATCCGACCATTCTTCAATTTGCTTGCGGCGTTTTTTGGCATCTGAAGACTGTGATGTTTTGGCTGCCGCAAAGCGTCGAGACAGGAACCACTGGAAGGTCAAAGCCAGGAAAAATTTCGCCAGTACGATCGACAGGATGAAGACCAGAGACACGTAGAGCACGACCTTGGACGCAATGCAGCCAACAGTTTCTGTGTCGATTGATCCGACTCTGATGATCTCACTCAAGCATTTGCCAACCTTCTTATCGCGCGAGCTAACGAGGACGTGAGTGAGGTCAACGCCACGGATTTCTGGGTTATTGCGCATGTCATCAAATTGTGCGGGCCACGCCACCTGACTGTCGTTGAACCATCTGAGCAGATCAAGATCGATGACAGAGTTCGAATAGACAGCCAAATTCCTGCTCGAGTTCTTGACATCATCCCAGGTAAAGAAAACTTCTCCTGCCTTCCTAAGGTTATAGAACGACTCTCGGGACTTTCCGGTGGTGTGACAAGCATAGCCCAAGTAGTACTCATTTGTTGTGTTTGGCTGCGAGGATCCGTCCTGGTTAAAGGCCTTGCAAGGGAAGTACCAGGCTAGATCACCCTCACTGTTTGTGGGGACATCGGAGCCGGGAGCGAGAGTGATGAGATCTTTGCAATGGCCATTGACCTGCTGAAACATAAAACTTCCGTCTTGACCACCATACCTGTGGGGCAGGTCGTAGAGAACATTGGTATCAATCGGAATACCCCTAGCAGCCGGATGCAGAGAACCGTCCAGATTGTACGCCTCGCCATGGAAAATCATGTATCCACTATCGACTTTGTTGATTTTCAGTCGCAGTCCCGGCTGTCCACAAACAGCTTGCGTAAAGCCGAAAGTCAGGAAACCGACCGCAGCGCAGATGAGGACAATAAGACTGATAAGACCCATCTTCTCTCTCCAGGCTCTCCGTTGCGCCTTAGCGGGCATTCCAAAGCATTTGAGAACGACATCGGGAATCCAGAATGTGACGGCTGCACAGTAAACGTTCCAGGCCGAAGGAGGCTTGATGGTATCGAGCTCTTTCTGGCGTCTTTTCTCTTCTTCAGTCAGCTTTACTGTTTCTTTTCTTGTAAGCTTGCGGGGCGGTCGCTTCTTGCCCATTGGTTCAATATTGCCAGGTGCACGAGCGACACGCGGATCGTCGGTGTAAGGGCCATCATCGAGGGGTCTTGCATTCGTACTATCGGAGCTGGCTGTGCGTGCATCGGCATACTCTTCAATGATCGGGTCATTTCCGGTGGAAGAGGGAAAAACTTCCATATTCTGGGCATGTTTGCGGTAGTGGTAGTTTGGATGTGAAGGGTCAATCCGATTTCGTTCAGGGCGGATGAGAGACTTTTTCCTGCCTAGGTCGCTGACCGTGCCAGGCCCTGACATGATGGGCTCTACGTCTTCCGCCCTGGATCCGAAGGAGCCCGCAGACTCTTGCTGGTAATATTGTGGTCTTCGTCGCTGTGAAGTACTATAGGGAGATTCTGGAGCTGGACTTCGACTGTAGCCCCCCGTTTCGATATCATGCGGACGATGGCGTGGTGATTCGGTGTAAGGAGATGTACCTTTTTCGCGGGTTGGCGAAGTAGCCGGCCGCGGCCGACGCGGAGGCGACATAACTGTGAAGAATGCCGCACGGAGCACAATCCCTTGCAGGGAACAACAAAGCGCTGGTCACTGCTTGTACTTATATAGCAGCGCTGGCTACTCTGACAACATTTATCTTCCCTCGATGCTAGCTGTTGCAATTCCTGCCAGTTGGATACAGTCTAACTCGGGCTGGGTTGGACTGGAAAGTTCTCGGGTGCGGTATGGTCTCAAACGAGGGATGGAACAAGGCTCAATGGAATTGCTTCGGCGTTGGCTTCGAGGAGCGAGTGTGTGCGGAGGCGCCGAACAATGGATAGAAAGTGAAAGTACGACCCTGTATGAATTGCGTTGAGGAGGAGGTACAAAAGATCAGTCGCCCTGTGGTGAAGTCTTCTGGTTGGTGTTGGGTGGCGTTGTTCAAGGAGAGACACTGCTGCACACTAGCCCCAATCCAGAGAGGTGTCTCTTCTCCTTAGCAACCGCCCAACGCCTGTCGCCCATTGGCGCGATCCGCCCCTCCACCGACCGAAAAAACAAGCGCTTGCTGCGCCTGGCGCTACGGAGATACTCTATGCAAAATATGGAGAGGGAGAGTCGACACGATTTCCACTACGAATTATGCGAACGCTACATTAGATGGCAGGTCGGCCACAATCGTGGAAGGGAGTCGTCAAACAAAAAGCTCGTTCAGAGACTGGTTCACGTCACAGAAGGAGGCGTAGGTGATCCTATTGTAGTCAGCCTGTCCAGTCTACACGTGTATATTTAGATCCGTTGGTTGCCCCGGTCAACGATGATATCCTGCCCAGGAAGAGATTTCGTCTGGCCAGCCTCCTTACTGTTCACCAGTATCGGCGTGGGCAGATAGACAAAGGGAAATGACCGTCCCTTGCGGTACTCACTCTAGCTGTTCGAATGCCCCATAGTCTGCAGACGATGATCCAGCCTGGAATGGAATCAGCATGCATGCAGGTGGCTGTGACAACGGTTCCGCGCTGCAAGGCAACGCCGACCGAATCCGAACACCAAGCTGTGCTCCGTCAGATGGATCACTCACATCGTATGATGTAAGAGCTTGCGTTGAATTTGCTCGCTTGCTTACTTGCGTGCAAAGCGTCGTAATCTTTTGAGACATGCCGAGCACATGCTGCGAGGCCCGTGCCTGGTTGGGAAGCGCCTGCTGGGCCGCTGTTACTTGGTTCTGCCACGGTTCCAAGATCCGGCGGGCCGGGGTGTCTGCATAAAGGGCTGCTGCCGAAAAGCTACGCTGATCTTATGCACGAGTGTTCGTCAGGACCCCTGAGTTAAGGAGTATTTGTTTTTGCATCATTCCCATATCAATTTCTATAGCGCGTTTGTAGGCCGAGCATATGCCGTCTTCTGTTGCTTTGCGGTGAGCCTTCCAAGGACGCGAGCGAGCTACCTTCAAGACTTGCGGGGTAAGCCCTGAGCCATCCCTAGCCCGTCGCTTGAACGCCTGGGCATCGGCGGCAACCCTGCCTGGATCGCCTTCGACACTTGGCACATCCTGCAACACTCTTTTTACGACCATCAGTCGACGTATCCCTTCCTTGAGTTGGAGGCGGCTCATGCTCTCTTTTCCAACCGCTACCGATACTCGTTCACTCTCTACCAGCCTGCCCGTGCCTTGCCCAGCCGTGACTGGCATTCCACACGCAAAACCAATCGTCAAAGCCCCGGCCTGCGTACACTAGCCATCTCCTGTCATTCTCTTCGAGCGTCCGAGCCATTCAGTCACGAGAACCAGGTCTGTGGTGCTGAACTCATCACAACTCCATCCTGAGCATTCCTCTCCTACGAAGCATTCGTACACCCAACAGCACAATGGCCGATATCTCGACCAAGACGCTTCCGCCTACACCTCCCCCACCCATATACTCTCCACCACTGCACAGGTCTTCGAGCAACGACATTTCTCCCGAGCCACCAAGGTCCCCTCTTGAAAACACCTATACCCCCAACCATGGCCCATCAGGCGCAAGACCTACCATTGCCACAGTGCCTCCGGAACTAGCAAACAACATGGGCGCAGCCGCCGATATTCAGGTGCACGCTCCAGAGTCGGCCTTTGTCGAACAAAGAAGTCAGAGGTCTCCGGTGCCCATCATTCACACCCAAGAATATTCCTTCGACACACATCGTCTCTCGCCCGCGCCTCAAAACTACTCCAGAAGAAAGCCTCTCGACGAAAGAAACCGCAATATCTCGGAACCAGCCCATCGGCGCGGGCTTTCAGAAGGCCCGCAAGCATCTCTGTCGCGAAAAGAACTTGACCCGCAGAATACGTCAGTGCGGCACCTCTCTGCATCCTATGCGGAGACTGAGCCGCCAGTAGAAAACTTCGAGCCATTGCGCTACTTTCATCAGCCCCAAGAAGAACCGGACATGAGGGCGTTGGATAAACGTGCATCCAAATTAACTATTGGCACATTCCAGAGTGATGGGTCAGGCGGCAGTGACCCCACCAAATACCATCTGCAAGATCCAGCCGGTGCAAGGAACACCTTCTTGGGGGGGAACCTAGGCAGACCGGACTCGATTGTTTCCACGGGCTCCGATCCCCGAGGTCGTACGAACTCTCCCCATCTCTCACCAGGCAGGCCGACCTCGAGAAATTCCAGATCACCGGACAGCCGGCCACTGTCCTACGTTGATCTGTTGAACGTTCCCTACCCGCAGAATGCACCCAGTGGGGCCGAGAACCTAGTGAACACTGGTCTGCGAAATGTTGTCGGCAACAATGCATCCCTTTTATCCACGCGTAAGACGCTTGACATGTACAGGGCCAACGTGAAAAAGACGAACGACCCAGCCATTCAATATGAGTTCGCTGTGTTCATGGTGGGAGCTGCACAAGAGGAGGGTTTAGAAGCAGACTTAGTGGAGGCACAGCCCAAGACAAAATCGTCGCCTCGGGATGACCTGTTGAAAGAGGCGAAGCTGATCCTGCAGAAGTTGAGCGACCGCTCGTATCCATTTGCACAGTACTATTTGGGCGACGGTTATGCTTCGGGATTGTTCAACAAAGGCCGTGAGGACTGGGAGCGAGCCTTTCCGCTTTTCTTGGCTGCTTCAAAACACGGTCATGCAGAAGCGGGCTACCGAACAGCGTTGTGTTACGAATATGGCTGGGGTTGCAGAATGGAGCCAATGAAGGCTGTCCAGTTTTATCAACAAGCAGCCAGTAAAAACCACCCTGGTGCCATGCTTCGATTGGGACGCGCATGTCTCAGTGGGGAGATGGGCCTGACGAAGCGATATCGAGAAGGCATCCGATGGCTGAAGCGCGGTGCCGAATCGGCAGATCATCAATACAACCAGGCTCCATTCGATTTGGGTCAGCTACACGAGGAAGGGTTTGGGCCAGATGTCTTTAAAGACGAGGCGTATGCTGCACAGCTCTACACCAAGGCAGCTGACCTAGGTCACATCGAAGCCAACTTCCGCTTGGGCGAGGCTTACGAATATGGCCAGCTCAGCTGTCCCAAAGACCCAGCTCTTAGTATTCATTTCTATACCGGAGCGGCTGAACAGGGTCATGCACCTTCGCAAATGGCACTCTGTGCTTGGTATATGATCGGGGTTGAAAATGTGCTCGAGAAGGACGAGAGCGAAGCCTATGAGTGGGCAAAGCGCGCCGCTGCACAAGGTCTACCGAAAGCGCAGTACACACTAGGATACTTCACCGAGATGGGCATAGGATGTCGGAGAGATCCTCTTGAAGCCAACGTGTGGTACGTGCGAGCAGCGGATCAAGGTGAACAGCGTGCGAAGCATCGGATTGCCGCCATTCAGGCTGCTTCAACAGGGGCCGATCCAATAACAGCGGCGGCTGGAACGAAAGCGAGCGGGCAAGGTATGTTCGCTTCCGTCGGAACGCGGAATGTATACTGACAAGCTCCCAGGCGGCGAGAAGAAGAAGAAATTCGGGTTGTTCTAGGAGAATGCACTTGGCGTCACGAGTACACTCCGGGCCTCGAAGCTCAAACACAGCCAAGCATACATGTCCCCTGGAAGGGTCCTGCCTTGCACATGCTGTCAGTACGATCAGAAGCTCATGGCACGCAGAGGCTGGGCATGTAAGGTCTATAAGGCAGATCAAGTTCTTTGGAATTCGACTGACGAGATGGTATGGTGGCATGAACATTCGCATAAGAACAGGTGAAACACGCATAGCGATGGATGAGAAGCGAGCATTCAAGCATCAATGGATTGTCTGCTTGCGCGAAGCTAGCCCAGACAGACCTGCATAAGCGATGGTCATTATCAATCAGCCGGCGTTGCTGTTTGTTTTTAGGCGGGATTGGTTAAGATGTGTCAACTTGTAGAGCATCCACTAGACGGCGACGATCTCAATAATGATGAACGATGCGGGGCATTTCTCACCTTGACCAGGACTTTGCTCGTTTTTGACATCGCTTGCTTGCATGAACTATCATTGATGAACGCCGGAGAAAGAGGCTGGCATTCGGATTTTCGGATAAGGGTGCCGACATTCTGTTGGAAGGCCTGCGAGGCCACCTCGGGAGGCTTGCAAGCTATTCTTCTTCCAGGCATAGTAGATGGCGCCCCCAGCAGCGGTGAGAGCCTGAGCGGCTAGGCTGGGCCAGGATGATGGCGAAATCCAACCCGGCGGCGTTTACTCTCGCGCTTGTGGGCCTTGGTCCTAAGCCCCTGCAGCCGCCATTGCCAACCACCTCGCCAACACGATCCCCTTCCGCTACACATCTTCACCGCTCAGGTGCAATATCGCCTTCGACGAAACTATCGTCTCCATTTTGGTGTCACATTGGCGTCTCGCTCTGCCGCAATGGCGCTTTCGAATGGACATCCTTCCATTCGAGATGATTGCTCGCTTCCTCACGTCGAGCGCCAATGACGCCCATAGTCTTGGGACGTCATGCATCGCGTCGACCCAGAGCGGTCAAGTATCATGCAAGCGTGCTGTAGCTAAACTAAACATCGGTCTGCCAACCGCCGACCGACAGGTGTGCTTTATGAAGCTGTCGAGCTCCCACGTTGCCTGTCGAGTCAACCTCGGACGACAGCACGGCAAGTTGAGTACTCTCTTTTTAGCACATGCCTGCAGACTGCTGGCAACCTCACTACTGATCGTCGGGTCATGACCATTCGCTAGCTCCTGCCTGTCCGTGCCACGTACGGCGTCACGAGATCTCAACCTCTGGCATCGACATTGCTACCCGATCAGCTGTCCAATTGCCCTTGCAGCAGCATCACAGACCAACCTAAAGTCTATTGCAGCGACCATGCTGGACCATGGCCGGTGCCCATCGATCGCTTCACGTGCTTCAAAGGTGTCGCCAGTAGTCTTCGTCAAGATCCAAAGCATGTCTCTACCTGGGAACGTCCTGGACAATGCAAGTACTGCCCTACACGACGGCACCAAAACAAAGTCACAGGCACTGTTTGTGAGAGTCGACTCCATCACCAACAAAGGCAATTATCGCCCAAAGACAAGCCATTGCGAGTACAAGGCCCTTGAAACTCAGTCTGCTTCCATGCCGGACGACTGTTCTCATCCGAGGCTGAACACTGCGCGCGCCTCGATTGCATGCGCTTGTGTTCCTTCTCGTACCAGCAGCCTTGCTCATACGCCCAACAAGCAGAAACACATGCCGAAACGCCGCAACACCATAACTCTACACTACCGGAACTGCAAGCAGTTCTCGTCTATTGACGAAATGCTTGCTTTCTCCTCTGATTCAGACAAGGAACAGAAGATGCTGTCTAGAACGCTGTCAAGGCAGCAGCATACAGAGAACTATAACACCTTTCCCCGTCAACGGCGCCCATCGCCGAGCGGACCTTCAACGAATGCCCCAACTCTTGGTCAGGAGACTATTTCGCCCATACGGCAAGAGCCAGCCTCTCAACCTCCTGCGATTCCACTTCGGTCTTCTTCCTCGTTACCACTGCTCTCTGACCCTACTTCACGAGAGCACAGTCGAGCCCCATCACCGCCTCCAGCCTATGCGCACACATTCCCCACCACGGCTTTATGCCTCTCACACGACCCATCACCCCCAGACTCGTCCCACTCACAGTTTTTGGCCTCCACAGCCCCGACAAGGCCATCGCTGCATCAGCCTCACACCTTCTCGTGGACCTCCGACGCCACCCGTCGCCAAGAGTACGCGAAGATCGACCGGGCGTATTCCGGTTTCAGGGGACTGTGTAGAAAGATGCTTCCGGTATGTTTCCGATATGGTAGAAGGAATTTTTGGGACGGGCCAGCGGGTGACCGTGACGATGATAGTGTGAGGCGGTATCGAGTGCGCTTGTCGGATGCGCCTGGAATGCTCGAGGAGAAATTGGGCTTGGTGTCTGGCAAGGGAAGAGGTTTGAGCTGTTTCTAGGCTGTGCACCTGCTGCTGATCGAGACTCGATTTGGTGAGCGAAAACATGAGCCACTGCTCGGTGTGAGGGAATCGCGGTCACAGCCGCAACACAGCGTGATAGGCTCATACCAAGTCTGGCCTTGCAAAGCTCAGCCTACCGCGACAATCGAGCTGGTTAATGTGACAAAGTCGGCGCTGCCAAGAGTGGTGGTAGCAATAACGACGCCTGACATAGGCGCCTGAGCTTCTCAAATCAACATGAACGGACGGCTTGCGGAGGATCTACCGCACGAGGAAGGCTTTCGAAAAACCCAATCTCTTTAGACGTTCCGACCACCACCAGGAGCGAGCTTGGAAAACAGAACAGGTCGGCTGGACCACCAAGACAGGTGCTGTTATCATTTACAACGAAATTAAGCAAAGACGAAAACGAAGCTGCCTCACCAGTACCAGCCAGAGAACATACGACCAAAGACTAGCTGACTGAACGAACGCGCGAACGACCTTTCCTTGTGAGACGAGACGAAACGAAACTTGACATCTCCAAACGCTGACGAAGCGCACGAATGAGACATGTGAAATGAATGAATTTGGCGCCTCGAAAGGTAGCCTTCCCGCGCATCGAAGGCGACACTCGCGTGGTGTGCACAAGCTCAATCTGGTATGGTATGGGATAGCGAAGTACGCTGCAAATAACGACGCGAGAAACGACGACAGAGGGAGAGGGCGAGATGGGACTGGGCGAGGAACTACAGTACAGCGCGGGTCCGATGAAGATAGGGATCATGTAAATATGCGATTTGGCCACGTCAGTCGCAAGTACGACTAGATAGGAGAAGCACTTTGCCATTATTGCCTGACGGGCATCCATAGGGCATAGCCTTTGATGGCCTTCAACGACGAGAGGAAACGGCCTAGATCTCTCCCTCCTCCGCATCTCCCGCTCTTCCTCGCACCCTTCCTCTCCCCCCTCACTGGGTTTCTTGAAGAGATCAAGGTACCAGATACCAGCCCCTGCTGCACAACACGCAGATCCTACCTGACCTTTTCACAAGCGGAAAGCTCGACCTCTGGAGAGACCGGTCTGTCACGTTCCATATGACATATAACCAGCATAAGCTTAGCATGCAGCAGCATCCGCATATCTGGAGGTGGACGGTGGTAGATCGATACAGACAGAAAATTACGCACGGACTACTACTACTACTACTATTACTATCATCTCTCAGCTCGCGTAACTAAAGCTCCAGGCATCAAGCTTGAAGCGCTTCTCCTTGCAGCGCGTCTCTTTCTTCCGCTCTGCCTGCTGCTGGGCTTGTTCACACCCACCACCGTCTCTGTCAGCAGCAGCAGCACTATTACCAGCATGAGCAGCACCCCGTTCCCTGCACTTTTCCTCGTCCTCACTGACCCCCTCCCGAGGCTGCCCTCCTTTCCCCTGCATCACCTCCTCCTCCCCCTCCCCTTCATCACCTACACCGCCTCCAGCCCCTACCTGCTCTGCAAAGACATCCCGCCCCTCCAAGAACCGCACCAGCCACTCTCCCAACCGTTCCCGCGTGTTCCAGCTCAGGTGCTTGCTCACCCACGCGAAAGCGGCGGCCGTCCAGACGCGGCGGCCGTGCTCGGCGCTGTGGTCCGTGATGTGGAGTAGCCACATGATGTTGGATGCGTTGATTGGTGTTGGGTCGGGGCTGGGGTCTGGAGGGAATGGGTGGTGCTGGGGATAGGTGTGGGCAGAGTGTGATTTGGAGGATGAGGGGGAGGCCGTCGTTGCTGTGGTTTGGGGTCGGGTCGGCGGTGGGGAGGCGGTACTGGTATTGTCTGTGCTGCTGTTTGATGGGGCGGTGGCGAGGGAGGGGCGTGTTGAAGATGAAGCTGTCGCTGCAGCTGCCGTTCCTGGAGGTGTTGGTGGCGGAGGGGCCCGCATTGAATGCGTAGAGAATGCTTTAACGGACGGATTGGAGTCGCTTGACGAAGTGGACCGTTTCAGCGGCGTGATGCCAGGTTGGAAGTGAGGGGATTGTTGCTGCTTCGGACAGAGCTTGGTGACCGATCGATTAAGGTCGTGTATGGCCATGGTCAGGGAAGCGTACTGCAGTTTGGAGATGTGTTCGACGAAGAGGAACGCTAAAGTGATGAGGCAGGTGAGCTGTGTTACCTGTTCCAGTCGCTGTGGTGCAGTTGGTTCCTGCTCTGCGCTTCCTGGCGGCTTAGGCGACCGAGTGAGGATCATGTGAAGCGGCGTTCCAGGTTCCAGGTAGAATGTCTGTCCTGTGCGCGTTACCGAAGATGTCTGCTCGCCGGTTCCAGTCTTTAAGGTCGGGCCATCGGTTGCTAAAGCGTCTGCACGACATGGTCGTAGATACTGAGAAGCAGACACCATCTCCCAGATCCTCCACACTCTGCCCAGGAACTTGTCAAACTCAGAAGTCAACCCCGGCAGATCCGCCCCATCCCATATGTACGAATCTGGAGAAGTCCCGTAGATACATTCGAAGAATACCATGACCCGCGACAGATACAAGTTCTTGACCGCCAAGGGGCCCCCAGTAACCCGCAGGATCCTCCTCACCGCGCGGAAGTGCATGCCCGAAGACCGCTCCTCACCCGTCCTCCGATCCAAGGTGCCAATAGAGATGATGCTCGCAACCAAATTGTCCTTTCGCGCCGACGACGCCGGCTTGGCGTTCAGCAGGCGGATCTGCGTGAGTGCCTCGCCCTTGTGCCGCATCATGGCCAGCTCGAGGTCCTTTTTCTGGACGTCGTTCGCATACTTGCTGAGGGACAGCCGGTACAGGGCGGAGCGGGCGAGGATAACCTGGAAGCATGCGGGCGTGGAGAGCCCGATGGAGAAGTTGGTAGCGACCGGGTGAGGACGGAGTAGGGGCGAGAAGCCATAAGTAACTTTAGGGTAGTGCTGGAGGTAGAAGGTGACGAGGTGTTCTTGAAAACGGTTCAGAGTGACGGGTAGGGCGGCGAATGGGTCGAGGAGGTCGGAGAAGGGTAGGATGGAATGGCGGAGGAAGTCCAGGATCTTTTGGTCGTTGGTGCCGCGACCAGAGGCATCGACCTGGGCTTGATGCAGGGCATGTTTCGAGGGGTCGTCGTCGTCCTCTCGCTTGATGAGCCTGTCATCTTCGGGGAAGGCCAAGGTAGTGAGAATCGTTGGACGGTTCTGTGTCAGTGAGACAATGGGAAGAGGGGAGGTTGGTAGGGTCAATATATTGGTGGTGGCGTTGACGTCCATAACGTCAGCCAGCACATTGTCACCCAGCTCGCAGCAAGTCTGAGTAGCAAAAGTCAGCAAGACCCAGCATGGCGGGGAGCATGTGAGTCCCCCAGAGAAGTTATTATTGACGTTGACGCATGAATTGATCGCCCGGCCATGTGCTCGGATCTGTCAGAGGTAGCAATGATGTTCACCCCCACGGTACATCGATCATGCCGGTCGATCGATAGAGGCGGCCTGGCGGATGATCGGCTGCAGCTTTAGGGCAAGTCAGTTCGAAATCTACCTAGCTTTGGCGAGAAATACGATCTTCTTGCAGGAGGATCTGCAAGGTCTGCCAGATGTGCATCCAATGAGTGAACGACGATGGCATCTCAGAATAGAGACTGGGCTTTCGCGGATCTGCCCCCGCCTGGAACATCCTTGTATCCGGGGCCCCGTCTCGCTTATTTCACTGGCTACGGGGCGCCCGGAACACAGTGCAGACCGGCTTGCGTACTAGTATTCCAAAAGCTCATCTCTGTTTGCATGCGAGGAACCTATTTGGTCACCACATCGATAGCCTTGAAACGCTTAGTTGACCAAAATCTCGCTTCATCCGTATCTATTACCCGGCTCGAGCCTCACTTCCAACCTTTTCGCCGACCTCTCCAGAGCCGCCTTGTCGGCCTGGGTTTCCTCGTCTTTCCAGATGTCCTGCACCGCCATCTTCCTTCCATCACTCCACGCTGTAGCCGCCAGAAATGCGAGAGGGGAGCTTTTCCATAGATCTTCGCCCCATGAGTGTATCACGGTTGCCACGAAGAAGGCTACCGATACGGCAAACACCACCGCCGTGGGGGTCAACCATACCCAGTGAACCTTCAGGTACAGCTCGTCCTGGAGCTGGATGCCTAGCGCCGTCGCCCCGCCACAAGTATCCGGCGCACTGCGCGCGTAGTCCGTAACCACGGTGGCCATGGATGCCCAGGCGCGATCCACGCTGGCAAAGCTCCCCAACTCCTCACTCATGAGGTCCTCGCTCTTGAACAGGCCGTACATAGCCTGGATCACATCGTTCTCAAAGCTGTGGCGATTCGAGGCAATTGACGACCCACTGCCGATAACGAAACTATCGAACGAGTTTGCGAACGCGAGAGAGGACATGTCGGGGAGTCGGTAGACGCAAGGGTTGTCGCCAGCGATGTTGTCGCCTGGCGGAGGTGTGATCGGGGCGCCGTCGACGTAACATGGATCAACCGGAATCGTGATATTGCTGGCCAAGTCGAGGCTGTCGCCAACTATGAGGGATTTAGCCCATGTCGAATTGATCAGTCGTTCTCGAAACTCGCCCGCTTCGATCGAAGACTCGTATGTCTTGACGCAGAAGCGTACCTTGCATTGGGTGGCTCTGGGCGGCCGGTAAACCTTTGTATCTCTCGGATCTGTGACAGCTTTCCACTCGTAGACGATTGGGTCCGTCATCCTGTCGACAGAGGTGACGCTCGAGTCGTCTGTCAGATTGAAGACATCATCAACTGTCGAATTGATCGTCCCGTATGCGCTAAGTGCGCGACCACCACCAGGCCACAGCTTCGCACAACTATACGACTTGGTGCATTCCTCTCCTGCTATGGTCTCGTTGGAAGTGGTGTTCAGGAAGATCAGCTCATCGGATCTGTCAAAGCATTCTGTGCAGAGGCCGAGACTTTGGTACATCCCAAATGTACAATTGCCGCTTGGACAGTTTGGCCGCAAGCCTGATAAGGTCGTTGTTTGTACAAAACCGTTGTATATGCTCCCTGGGCGTGAGTGAGATCATGGCGCCGATAGTCCAGCTCGAAAACTCACCTAGCATTGTCAAATCCACCTTATTCAAACCCGCACCGCCACCCAAACCAACGTTCTGGTAGTATGAGCTGTTGCACACTGGCATCGTTGCGTTACTCGGCAGCTCCACCTGGCGAACCACGACTTCAACCGTCTGCTGAATTGACGGGCCGATGATGAAGGCAGCCAGGACTGTCAAAGCGCCAATATAGCCCAAGTACCAAGTCCGTGCCGTCATCAATAGACGCCTTGCACCCCAAGCTCCTCTGGATGCCTCGTCCCAAATGACCAAATCAATGAGTCGACGGCTGCGCTTGAACCACGACCACTTGAGCTGTGAGAGGCATTCGGCGATGACAATACCAATGGCACCCTTCATGACCGTGACAATTATCGACAGAACAGCGTTGACCGTGAATCCTGCTCCCCAATCCGGCACCGGTCCGCCGTCGAGGGAGATCAGAAGGCCTATGATGCCGCCAAAGCATCCGATCACCATCGCCACGCTGAGCAGCTCCCACGACCAGCCCCACGATCCTTTATGCCGGGGCTGTGGGCGTGTGCGTCCATCCCCTGGCGAGGACACAGCGTCGTTGCTCGAGGGCCGTGGCAAGATCTCGTATTGCGAGTCCCTGACAAGTAGCCTGCGCTTTATCGGTTGGCCTCGCCGTGTTGCGTCTGCTGTGTCGGGAGCATCTGGATTCCATTGGACTAGGCTGTAGTCACTTCCGGTATCGATACGATGTGGCACTGTCATGTTAGAGCAACACCAAAGAGGCACGAGACCTAGATGATTACTTGTAGCGCATCACCGTCGACGAGGTCGCACAGATGCACTACGAGTCGGATTGCTTGGTCTTCATGTAACATATGTACTTGAGGTACGGCTGTTGACTAGGGATTACGGCCGCTCAAGCGAGATTAGTACCTATTATGGGTAACGCCGTTTCAAAAGGTGTAGTCTGGGGGTTTGGCCACATTGACTTGCGACACAATAATTGTTTCAGACACCGAGCGTCGCTGCGGACTCTTCTAGCTTGAATACTGGTATGGATAACCACTGAGCTCTGTCAAATTTCGAGCGTACTGGTGTGCATTGGATCTTACGAGGGCTTCCATCTGTCGCAGACAGCCAGCAGCTTTTTTGAAGCTCTTAAAAATAGTTTTCTTTGGAGACTGGGTCTGCCGCTAGAGATGATGTTCCTGCAGCCAAGAATGAAGCGAGAGTACACTACGCCGCATGCCATTGCTTCCACGTTGGCGGCTTCCATGATTCTTGTGGTGGTCTTACTTCGACTTCAGGTTCAGGAGTGCCATCAATCCGGAAAGCAAGTGGTGTTAGGCAGCTGATATGCGCATGTGCAGGTGCAGAGTGAACGCCGTGGCCTATGTTGGAAGAGCTGGTTATGGGCAAGATTCGAGGCGCGGTGCGCTCGACGATATTCGAGGACGTAGCAAGCGATGCGTCGAGGTAACATTTGAACGGTATGGAGAACCTACCCTCCACAGCCTGTCGCTGGCCGATCAGGGTACGCAGACGTAGCTCAAATCCCTCGAGCTGCGGCTGCGCTGATAGTGATACTGATAGCCAAGGGATCTAATGTTGAGCAAAGAGACCCGGCCCTCGAGCGGATTTCTTGACTGCCAAATTGCAGAAGCAGCGCATGTCCTCCAGCGGCGCTTCTGAACCTCGTTTGACCATAGAAGCCAGCGTAACCGTCGTTGAGGCGTCCAAAGCGGACCCCGGTTGTTGATACTATGGGTGAAGGGCTCGCAATCTTTTAGCGGAGTGTGACCGACCGGCGCAGGACAGTTGAGTTGCTGCTGCCTAGTTTGGGCATTCCGGCGCCGACGAGGTTTGAGTGATGCTCATTGTTCAAAATTCCTCAGAGGATGGCATCGTGCTGGCTAATTTCAACAACTTCTCCATGTCCAGTGGGCGCCTGGATGTCTGCGAGGCTCATTTCTTCGACGCCAATAGTTGTACCTTTGTCCGTCTTGAAGATAGTCTCGCCCTTCAACAGGCGAGCGATGTTCATTCGGACCGGGTACATAAGACCAGGAGAGGAGGCAGCGTAGCTGTCTTCGCCTTGATTGTTCTCGATATCGCTCCACCTAGAAGGATTACCGGCTGGACGGTGAAGGCCTATCAATGCGGGGGAAGGTCCAATGCAGTTGAAATCGTCGGTCTTGTCACGGCACATGTCTCCTAGACCGATATCGACTGGTCCGTTGTTGGGCAGCATTGAAAGGTTGTACAGAATCTTCATGGCTCCAGCCAGGGTCACAGCATAGGCGTTAGTGCAAACACCGTAATACTGCGAATAGACCAGACGAGGCTGCAAATCTTCGGGCCAGTAGTCGTAATCTGGAAGGGCAACAGCAGTCCGGATGTCACGCGGCTCGGTGGTGGGATCATGAGGGATGACAAAGCGCCGGTTGTCCCAGGGATCAGGTCGACTGCCGCAATGACCGATCCACAGCATATCCCAGCCGTCGCCATATGGAGAGTGGTGTGGCTCATCGTCGGTCTGATTCAGGATCCATCGTGAACCCCGGGCGAATTGCACGAGCTGAGATTTGAGGGACACGTCCCAATCTGCGTCGTCCTCGAAGATAAGAGCTGAAGAAACCTTGCGGTTGACGATGTCTCGCAAGACATCCATGTGAGCTCGCCAACAGCCGACGACTCCAGGCTTCAGATCCATGGTGTAAGGTAGGGCTTGTGGCGAAACCGAAGATCCATCAACACCATCCACTATTTGGACCACGAAATCTGACATGGTGCTGGCGACAGCCCAGGCATCGCGCTTGTCGCTTCTTGATGACATGGAAATGACCTTGATTTCTTGGAACTGCATTGGGTCAGCACGGGGATCTATCAGCGTGAGCAGGCACTTACGCCCAGCGTTGCATTTCGAACGCGCAAGAGGTCTGTGCCATTCTGCTTTGCATCGTCCAGCAAATTAGGGCCGAAGTTGGCGGGGAGTAGATGACGCGACGCTCGAAAGGTGGTCAGGATGAAGACTGTGATGCCCAGTGCCAGAACAATGAATATGTAACGTGCCATAGAGGACTGCATCTCTGCACAAGCTCATAAGAGCAGCGCTGAGAGAGAAGACACCCGAGTGTCAGACATGAGCGACGTTTTGGATAGGGGCAACATCTGATTCGAGGTGTGGTCAAGATTAACTTGCTGCAATAGTGCATCTCCGAAAAAGGACCGGCAGAGACAAAGTGCGACCGCATGCGTACGGGAAGAGCGACAATTATCACTGCAGGCGCCTGGGCGCAGAGGTCCAGAGCCCTGGAGGCCCAGTCTGGCCTGCTTCTTTCCGGTGGGATGGATGACACAACATCTCTAGCATCTCCAGCAGCGCGGCTGGCTGCACACGACCAAAGGTTCTGGTGATTTCCAGATTTCCGACTTTTGTGTAATCAGTTGCCCCAAGGCTAGCGTCGTGGCTGGAGTTCGGTCAGTATGACCCTAGGCGAACCAGTCGGAGATCAAGCCCGGGGCGTGCCCCTTGCAACCGTTCACTCGGCTAGCTATTTTTGAGGCCTGACTAGGCGACTTGTAGGCCGCTAGAAGACTGACCCTGGCTCGTATCTTTTTTAATGCCACTCCTGATTTCAGGTCTGCCAGACCCCAACGCCCTAAAGCACTCGTTTCGCTGTGCTCAGACAAAGATCCGAGACCCCACTAACTCTGTGCAGGGTCAGCTGATGGGAACGAGTAAGCCATAAGCCACTGCAGCGTTGGCGTCTTTACTCTGTGCCTTCTACACCAATCCGTTTGAGTCAATACCAAGCACGTCAAAATGCAGGAGAGACCCAGTATCATATTAGCGTGCCACATGTCGCGCCAGCCGAGCTCAAATTTGAAGGCTTGAAATATCTTACCTGAGTATCGATAGCAAGTACACCAAGGGGGGATCCAGAACCCGGGGCCGGCATCACATTCATCAACATGGGATTATCCTGCCCCTCCTTCATCTCTTCCATTCCTCTCGTTTGCCAAGTGAGCGGGGGGCGTCCATCACGTGCGTGCACCTTGTCCACGTCGATGGAGAGCCGACGCCAACGCCAACGCCGCATTGGGAATATCTTTGTCTAACCCTTCGACCGCTGTCACTTCTGGAATGTCTCTCACCAGTTGGCCACTTTGCTGACGGCCATTCCTTTCTTCGCGCCTTCCGTGGCACCACACTCGTTTATGCCTTCTCTCTGATTTCATCGCCTTCCAGTCACTCCTTCACCATCGTCGCTCGCTTTGACTCTCACTATTGCTGTACCAACAACTGACGCTCATTCATACATTGTTGTATCCTTTCAACACACTGACGACAACATGACGGACGCCGTAGCCACCATTGGTGGAGTCCCTACCAGATACCTCTCCCTCGTCGTTCTCGTCATCCAGAACTCGGCCCTGGTCCTCACCATGCGCTACAGCCGCATCCTCCCTGGCCCGCAATACCTCTCCTCAACCGCTGTGGTCATGTCCGAACTGATCAAATGCGTCATCTGCCTCCTCGTCCACCTACACGAACAACGTACCAATTCCCACTCTCCCTCACTACCGCTACTATCGGACTCCAGCTCGAGCACCACTGCCCCGCGCTATACTCTGTCTCAGCTCTTCACCGACATCTTCTCCGTACGATCCGGCTTCCTCAAACTCCTCATCCCTGCAATCCTCTACACTCTGCAGAACAACCTGCAATTCGTGGCGGCAACAAATCTTGACGCTGCCACGTTCCAAGTCACCTATCAGTGCAAGATCCTCACAACTGCTCTCTTTGCCGTCCTTCTACTCCGCCAATCTCTTACCCCATTAAAGTGGCTGTCCCTCTTTGTCCTCACCATGGGTGTCGCTTGCGTCCAGATCCCATCAGCCGGAACACCGACATCCTTCCACCAAGGTTCCTACCCGCTCGGCATTCTTGCCGTTGCCATTGCCTGCCTCTGCTCAGGCTTCGCAGGCGTCTATTTTGAGAAGGTGCTAAAATCCTCGTCGTCTTCTACACCGTCCACCTCCCTATGGGTGCGCAACATCCAGCTCTCCGTGGGCTGCCTAGCCATAGCACTGACTGGCACCTTCATCTGGGACGGACGTGCCATCGCTCAAGGTGGCTTCTTTCAAGGTTACCGCCCCATTACTGTGGTGACCATTTGTATCCAGGCCGCAGGAGGACTAATTGTTGCGCTCGTCATCAAATACGCGGACAACATTCTCAAGGGCTTCGCTACGAGTCTCTCAATCATCTTGAGCACAGTCGTGAGCGTATTTGTGTTTCAGTTTGTTGTTACCATTTACTTTCTCATCGGCACAGTCCTTGTCTTCTCTGCGACCTACATGTACTCGATTCCGGACAAGAAGCCTACCGCTACCGAGCAAGATCTTGCAATTCGAGACAGAGATGAAGCGAAAGGAGACGAGGGCACGCCCATGATCAGCATCAATGATTACGATGAAGACAGACGAGATATGGAGAAAGCCGAGGGCGAATTCAGAGACGACGTGCCTAGCAGAGGGGCTAGCCAGGAGTTCAGTGAAAAGTCGGACGATAAGAAGCCGAACGGTGAGAGTACAGCGGACAAGCCCAAAGCGATCAGGGTCTATGACGAGCTGGGCTATGTGGATTGAACAGCGAAGTCACATATTCTGTTCTAAGCGACAGTTTCCTTTGTTCCTAGGGACGGATCGCCCATAAAGTATAAAGCAGGCCGGTAAAGTTGGACGTTGTGGCATGAATTGACGATTGGGAACGGCGTACATGGAAAGAACCAGCAAGTGATCGTTATAACTCTTCGGTGTCGGACTACAGATAAATCGAGGCTCGGGCGACAAGATGCTACTGCAGTTCGTATGGAGTGCATTTGGGGTTTCTAACATGGAGCTGCGGCTTCAGCTCGGGCCCTAAGGATTGCTGTGTCAATGTCATATCATTACCACTACCTCCACCGCCCGTCACCCTCCCCCATTTCTGTGTCCTGTGACTGCAAACCTCCCACTCGGGGCCGTCGCACAAACGCGGCGGCAGACATACAGCGGCCACACCGTATCCAAGCACTAGGGGTACAGCTCCAATCAAGGGCGAGAATCAAATCTCCCGACACGGTGCCAGGGTTCAGGAGTTCGTGTTCGTGCCACGATGTCGGATCCGCATGTAAGGAGGTTTCCTCGTATTATTGTGTCCATCCCAGGAGGTTTCTGACTTGGCGCGAGGCATTTCCCGAGTCTTCCAAATATGGTGCATCACCTTCCCGTTTTGGGATGTGCTGCGAGGTTTCGTCGGGTGCGTGCCAAGCAGGTGCCCATGTTGCCCACCTTGCCCAAAGGTACCCAAGTTGCCCAAAGTTGCCCAAAGTTACCCATGTTACCCATGTTACCCATGTTACCCATATTGCCAATGTTCTACCCTGACTGTTCTTTGAGGTTTGGGACTTTGCTTGATCCTGCTTGTTGATATTGTGGGAATGATAAGTCCACTGATATGATCCGTGGCTAGCTGTCTGGAGGATAGCTCGGATCACTTAGTGCGTTTTCAATTTGTCGAGGAGGTAACAGCATATCGTCCTCGTTCCGGCCCTGCAGCCGAGGGTGGCCGTTGCGCGATCCGAATTCGATAGTGAAAGTGCTGAAATCGCAGGTCAGAGTCTGTATTTGCGTCAGTGTGTCCCGAAATACGGAGGGCCTTGGACCAAAGACGGACCTCGACCTGTCCGTAAGAGTGAAGGCTAGCAAACTGGTTGCGTGAGTCAACATCTACGGCGAACTTGACCATCAGCCCATATTGCCGTCTGAGGTCTCTTTGATCGCTGTACCCAGTGCAACAGTACCACCAACACATACGTCTGATTGTTATTGTTCGAATTTTAAAATGCTGCACAACAGGTCCAGAGCGGCAATGGAAGCCTCTGGATTAGCGCAGGTTGTGTTCTGGCGGGGAGCGTGTAGAAGGCAACCTCTGAGCTCTCTGTAGACTCTCATATTGTCCGTAGCCACCACGAGAATCTCAGAGGTGAGGTCGAGATACTTCAGACTCGGCATTCCTCGACATAGCTGAGAGATATCGTAACAGCAGCAGTGTAGGTCTTCCAACTCTGCAAAGATGCGAAGTCGCTCAATGTGATAGCGCTCCAGAAATCCTGTCATCCGTCCAACTTGCACGTCCGCAGCAGAGCCGTGTACGTCGTCCATACGTCCCCGTGGACCGAATCCTGGAAGAAGTAGGATCCGTAGACCTTCAGGCGCAACTCAACAGGCAGCAGCATGAATGGAAAGACAGTTTGCTGAAATGCCGGATACTCAGTTGTCATGGGCTGTCCTTCAGTCGGTGGTTTCGGTATGATGGCTGTAGTTCTTGCAGGAGTGGTGTCGAGGCTTCCGTCGCGGTTGGAGTGGGGGCCCATGATTGACGAGTCTTCAGGAATGGCTGGGTGGGAGGTCGCATGCGACTTCGCAGAGACTATATGTTTGAGATCAAGCACAAAATAGCCCAGGCCTATGCTCCATCGATGTAGCTGAGGGCGACGAATGGAGCCTGTAATCGAACTTGACAGCGTTCAGTGATACTCGTGGATCAAGAAATCATGCAAAAATATTTCCAGCACGCGTCAGCAGTCTGGTCTGCGTCAAGCCATCTTTGAGTCACAGCAGGCAACGTGGCAGACCTGCCTCATTACGAACTCGACTGACTTGACTCGCTGCTACTTTCTGCGTGGCCACGTTCTGGAGCAAGACTACGACTATACTCGATTTCGCAGAGTCATTCTATATCGACCTCGTCAGGCAGAGTATTACAGGGGAGCCCCACATTGTTGCACTGCGAATACAAAAGGCCACTCACAGAGACTACGCGCATTAAAGATCCGCGAGTCCAACGAAAGAGCCACTGCAGGACGGCTGAGATTAGAAGAAGCAGCGATAATTTGTAGCCATTTGTGCCAAGGCAGAAGGCATTTCATTCTTCTATCTTGGGCTAGCTTGTTTCTCGATACAGCAAGCGGGGTTTCCTCCAGCCAGTCAGAGTTCGTAAGATGACACCACCGTCGAGATGCGATGCGCGCATCTTCTGTGCGAAGAGGAAGCAGCGCCAACTGAGCTCCGTCAACAATGCTGAACAATCGTCGTGCTTGACAGGCGAATTGGCAGCCAAGCCAAGTATGGTGCACTGAGTATCCGTATCAGCATGACCCTAGAATGAACATATGAATCTGGCAGATCTAATGAGATCTCATGAAAGTCTGTAGACGGACTCATTCCATGATTCGAGACCGTTCGCTGCAGGTATATGACACATGGGGAAAACTAGACAACCGAGCGCCATCTTTGCTTTGTGCCTAGCGAGCAGTCGCCTTGAGCTGAGTTCAAATCACAACACATCCGAATGAGTCGTTGTCGAAGACGGCCGATGAGTCGCTATCATAGACATCCGGCGATTCGTCATCCCAGACAGCTGCCTGTCTACCGGCTTTCAACGGCAAATCCTACTCGAAATCCACGTAGGAGTAACGACCACGTGAAGCGAAGCCCGCTTTGTGCATCGTAGTCACGGTTCTTCCCATGAAATGCCATACGATCCGGTTTTGCAGGGGGTACAGGGTCACTTCCTGAGCAAGGTTAGTTGGAATGATACCAGGAGAAGCAAACGCTGCACGTAAACCACCAGACAGGCTGCCTCCATCACAAAGAAACTCGATCGGCCAGCGCAGGCAAAGCTTGAGTTCTACGCTGTCTACGAGACGCTGGAAACCGAATATAGAGTGTCGAAATGGTCGGCATCTGCCGAGGACTTCCAACATCCAGAGTAAGAATATCGAGCTCCTTCAAACAATGGGTGAATAACTCAGCGATTCCCGTGGCACTGATGAGGTTGAGGAGACTCTCACTCTCAAAAGGTCGAACCCGCCCCTTCCCGTGACAGATCTGCACCTTCCTGATTTGACTGTTGCGATTGAGGAGTTGAACGGCGGACCCAACAAAGAAATGATGGCAAGCGATGAAAAGTCGAGTCTTGGTAAAGTCGCGACTCGCTACGTGGGGGGCAATGGACAATGGGCTGATGACAATTGGAGTAGAAGAATGGCATCGCCTCTTCTCGCAATTGACGGGAGACCTCCATGGCGGCGGTCAAGCGGCGATTGTCGGGCTTCTGAAAACCGAACCAGTGCTCGAAAGCATCCTTGCTGATTGTGATGATGGTGTATTCCTCGTTGCGGAAGATGTGGCGGTAGATGTTGAATCGGATTTCGGTTGGCAGCTTCGTGAAGAATAGTGACTGTGTATTAGACTGTGAGAGAACTGTCGCGCACGGAAAGCCTTCAAGGGCGGACCAGCCTACTGCTGGAGGTGATCCAGTCTGCGAAGGATGGGAGCCAGGAATGACTAGGCTCGCAAGCTGCTGTTGCAATCCACGCTCTTGCGCGGAGTCGGAGGAGATGGAAGACATGGTAGAGCCGTGGCGCACCGACATCATCGATGGACAACGCGATCGTGCAAGGAACAGTCAGGTCGGCAGAAGGGGTTAATGCATTTGTTGTTGATGCCAGGTCTTTACGCAGGCTGTGGCACTCCTACCTGACAAACGGCCATGACCACAGTGGACGAATTGTGTCATACTATCAACGTCCACTGTTTGCAACATGTTCAAACCTCCAAGCACCCTCTTCGAGAGTCTCCGGCATACGGTACGTCGCCTCCAACACCTTGTCTCTGATATGCCACTGGGCCTTCGCCGCTCTGGGGAAGAAGACCATTCGCTATCAGAGCATCAGCAAAAGTCTATCATACCTAGTGAGCCGTACTTACACCTGCGTCGCTCTCACTAAGCTGCACATCGTCCCTATCGCCGAACAAGACCGGCGTGCTGATGGACACCTCCGGGCCACTGTAGTGACTGTTCAAGATTTGGAGCCAGATTTCCTGAACGCTATTGAAAGAGCTCGGATTTAGGACATCGCCCGAATTCAAGAGGTTCAGAAACAATTGGCAGCCAGCATCGATGTCATGTACAAGGTCGGAGGGCGTGAGGTCTGCGTCCACCTTGGCCGCCACCCGCTGCTGCCGCAAGACATACGTTTCACGCTCCCAGACCAAATGAACCGATCCCGCGGCCAGACACGTCGTGTGCAGGGTGTCCAAGATCGAGACTTGGAACCAACGGCTTGTGATCTCCATCGTCTTGAATTGTGAGCGATCAAGAATGGTGGGAGGTGTCGGAAGACCTGTGTCGAAGGCGACGACCTCATTGAAGTGGACGGTGACGAGCTCGTGGAAGATTGGAGTCGCTTCTGCCCTGCACTGTCTACAAGTCTGGAGGACGCTGATCGAGGACTTTTGTTCCCTCCAGTCCTCGATTTGGGAGGATGAATACCACGCCATTTGCGACAACTCAACAACAGGGTAAGATTGATCTCGGAAGATATGTTGATATATCTGTATTCGCAGCTCTGGAGGCATGCGCAGGATCGGCGGATGTTGCACGTCGATGTTGGGATGACCTGGACCTGAGACATCTGCTACGGCCATGGCTAAGGCTCCAGTCGACCGCAATGGTAGTTGAGCTCTGGACGCTTTCGAGAGGTCGCGGTAAGAAGGTGTCGAAACGTTCTGCTATGCCACGGATCGTTGCGGACCATTTCAAGCAGCTGTAACTCAACAACCAGTATGGCAACCATGAAGAGGTCACGAACAAGTAGTATCTTGTCGACAAAATCTTGTGGCGGTCTGACAGCTGACGGATCTGCTGGCAAGATCTCGCGATAATAGCATGCTGTGTATCGGGCCTGAAGGCGTGCATCATGTTTGCCTTACCTCCAATCTGACCATAACCAGCAAAGGGCAGCTGATAAAGGTCAGGTTGAGCGAATGAATTTGCTCGGCAGGCGAATCTCGGTTCGTACTCCGGCTCACCGAGTTCGTGCACTTTAGGCCTGCCGCTCTCACAGGATCAGACCTCTTTTTGTCTTCGCATCCTTAGCCTCTTCAAAAACATCAAATAAGCAATGTCCCTGTAGTTTGGCGGTCTGTCGGATTTGGTCAGATCGACTGCTCACTCCCTCCGCTCCCTCACTACCCCTTCGCCGAGCACGAAACACACATTCTCATCCCCACCACAGAACCTGGCCATCAAATCCTGCGTCCCCAACGTCGGATCGCTCGCACCAAAATGCTTCTGTAGCTTCAGCGCACCCCTGCGACTGACCGCATATGCCAGTATACACGCATCCTGGGGTCCATCCACTCTTCTCAATCCCTGCCCCAGCATCTCCTTCTCACCAACCTTACCCTCCTCTCTCTTCTTCTCCCTCAGCTTCCTCTCGTAGAGCACATCCACCTCCGTCCGCTCCGGCACCCACAAGCCGCTGGCCTGCCCGGGCTCCACCACCCAGTCGACCCTCCTCCATGGCGTGCGCTCCTTATTCTTACTCCGCAACTTCTTCTGCGCCTCCTCATCCCACCCCTCACGACAATCCCCCAGGAACAGCAGATCCCATTGCCCCACCTCCTTTTCATCCCTCTGTGGCACACCACCCAAGCCCTTCCCACTAATCAGCCTTTCAATCGCATACTCATCCACCCCAATATCCACACTCGGCGCCGCGCGGTAGTACGGCGCATACGTCGGCTGCGGCCCAATAGGTATCATGGCATCTGGCTCATCCCAGTAGCCCTTGAGCTTATGCAGCTCGCTCAACTGCATATCCTCGTACCGCGGTCTGGCCAGCAGCGCGCGGTGTACGGCATACAGCTCCTCGCGGAACCGTGCGTTGACGCCGATCTTGTCCTCGAATATCAGCGCCGTGCTGTATCCCCGCTCGACGATGCGCGTCAACGCCGCCGTGTGCCCTTTGCGTTTTGGCGCGCCGGGCTCCGTCTGCATGGGTGTGGCGTGTAGGAGGCCCTTGCCTTCTTCTTCGCCTTTGCCGTTGAGGGAGGAGGGGGCGTGGAGGATGCCGTTTTCGTAAGGGGGAAGGCTGAAGTAGACGGTGTCTTGTTTCTTGAAGGCTGGTTTCGGGGAGAGCAGGAGGATGGTTTCGAAGGAGAGGGTGGAGTTGTTGAGTTGCATGACGGAGAGAGGGTAGGTTAGAGACTTGGGGTTCGGGGATGTGAAGGTGTTGAAGAGGACGATTGCTAGGTAGACGGCTAGTAGGCGGGCGCCGTTGTGTAGGACTTCGCGAGGAGAGATGTAGTTGAGCAGGCTGGAAAGGAGTGTAGACAGGTTCTCGCCAGCGTTCAGGCGCGAGAGCCTGAGCCGAGCGTCCTCAATCATCGTGAGAGATTGAAAATGTAGTTATCTGTCGTGAATCGCCGTCGTGAGCGCATCAAGGTCGTTTTTTCGTGAATACCGTGGGACGGTCGGTGGGGAGAGTTCAGGAGCAGGCAGTGAAATCGCCGGACTGGAACGAGTGGCATGCAATAGCAACAAAATGCCCCCAGAGCTCACAAACAGAGGTAGAGCGATCGTTCAAGCCGAAGCCGCCGACGACGTGTATTGAACCCATCTGCACGACTGCAGCATCCCCTGGGGAAGAAACTCCGCGAGGGTTCGCGCCAGCGCGCCGTAATGCCGTCTGGGCGGACTTTGTCCAGCGGAAGTGGAGAAATGTGTCGCCGTCACTTCGAACTTGGTGCACGCCACGGTAATGAGCTGGTGAATCGAGTGGGATACAGAGCTTTTCATATTGAATTCGGATCAAAGGTGTCACGAGAACCTAAGTGCTCACTTCATGGCATGGCTCATGTTATTGCCACATGGTATCTGTCATCCTCCGGGTATATCCTCATCTATATATTGCATCCGTGATCGCTGTGCACCAAATAATACCACCTTCGAGAATTCCAAAAGTCACATCTCACCCTCCGACCATATGTCCCAGACCTTAGAAGTTCTCCTTGCCCCAAACGAACGAATATCCCCCGTTGCCTGCTTCAGTGTACATATTGCACTTTATGTGTAATTGGCTGCCCAGGCTCTTTGGCCCGCAGAAGAAGACGCCGCATTCACCTGGAGAGTGAATCTTGCGGATGGCCCTGAACACCATATCCCAGTTTGGTCGGCCGAAGTTGGTGGCCGTACGCAGGCCGGTAATGGCATCAGTGTCGCCGCTATTGAGGATAATGTTGGACGCATCTGAAGCAGAGATCTTGGCTGTAAGATACTGCGAGAGGTTAGCATGAGTACAGAAAGCGTGGGGCTCCCGGACGTACCGCATGTATTTCGATGGCGTGACTTTTATCTTGCGACTCGATGGCGTGGAGCAGCGATTTGAACCACTCCAGAGTTCCAAAATCACGGCACACCCAGAAGAAGTAGACCTTGCGGAGCCTCGTCTTCTTCGCGCTGGCGTTACTCATCCGGTACCAAATACTCTTCAGTATCGATGCGAATGGCGTGACACCGATACCAGCACCGACCAGCAGAGCCGTTTCAAATTGAAACACATCCTCAGACGCCGAGCCAAAGGGTCCATCAACATAAATCCGTGGTAATAACTTGGTGAGCTTAAGATCGTTCTTCCTTGCTGCAATAGGTGCCATCGACACCACCCTGGACCTTTCCTTTTTCTCACCTGTCGTGTTCTCGCATCCAAGGACTTGACCGAGGCGCTTGGTGAAATTGCCCACCATGCGGACGTGCACAGAGATATAGTCCTCTTCCGGCGCGGAGGTGAGGGTGAAAGGGTGATATTGCCAGATGCTGACCTCAGGGCAACAGAGAAAGATGTATTGGCCCGCACGGGTCTTGGTCTTGTCCTTCTTGATCTGTATCTCCACGACGTTGCTGGGGTGCTGGACGACCTTGGACACATAAGTCTTATGCCGGCCTCTGATCTCACGCAGCACTCTTTCCAGAAGATATGCAAAACCACCAACCATCCAGTATTGCCAGAATACACCGGTGCCGAAACAGAACGGCGCTGAGTCGGTCTTGATCATACAAAATGCGCCGTGCACACTCCAGAAGACGAAGAATATCACGAACAGGTGGTGAACATTCCAGAAACGCTCGTAATTGGCTCGACGGGGCTTCTCGATTGCCGTGAAGAACATGGCCATCAAAGCAAACAGCATCACATACCCAGACCATCCTGGTCCGGTGACAAAGTTGGCTTGCAAGAAGCCAACAATGCCGAGCTTCTGCTTTGCAGCCAATTGCGCGAAGTTGTTCCAGTGCGCAATGGTGTGGACCCAGGTGAAGAAGACGATACTGTAGCCGACGAGTTTATGGAAGGTGATATTCTTGTCAAATGGAATGATGCCATTGAGTGGTGTTTGCCGAGCGAGCGAGATGAGCGTGCGACAGACTGGGAAGAGAATACAAGCTATATCGAAGTGCAGGACGAGTGCTGCTGCCCGCGCAATGGGGTATGTGATGCCGAATGTGTCGCGGGCTCCGGTCAAGTTGTCCTTCAGGTAGTAATTCAGAAAGCCGAAGGCGAATATCATGCAGTGCACGAAGATGAAGGTCCCAACCACAACGCGCCGTGAACCCTCGTTAACCATCCATCTCTCTATCTTTTCACGTAGCGAGAGATCTCTTGGTGCTTCTCCACTCACTTCTCCTGATAATAGCATCCGCATCAGCGGTGTGGACCTTGATCGTTCCGACATAGTGGTCAGTGTTGATATAGACGAACCGGGGGATCCTCTCTTGGTTTTGGACCTGCCTAGAGGTAATTTGATGTCGTCTATGTAATGAATCGGTGCATTATTGTGGGATGTTGTGTTGGAGCGTACCAGCGGCGGGGGCGGGTGTATGGGACTGAATGCTTGTGGTTGTGGTTGCCAGTCTGGCACTTCGGTATATGATGGAGGGTACTGATCCATGGCAGGTGATTGAGCGCGGATCAAGGCTGGGGTCGAAGCGAGACGTGCTTGGCCGCAGAAGCGGTCTCAGAGTGGTCTTTCTGATACACTTGTCGCACTGTGAGGCTCTGAAACCGAGGCGGGGGACGATCGGTGGGTGGAGGATATACCTGGCGAGCGCGGAGATTGCGCATGCGACTTTATCTATGGCTGATGTTGTCTGAAGGTAAGGAAGACAAGAGTAAGGAGGTCAAAAGGGACAGGCTTCACTCGACATGCGCATCGCCTCCTCCGCTGGTCCTAACAGACATGGCGAAGGGAGGGGACTTACCGTTCGGGTGCCATCGCATGAGTGGCAGAGAAGAGGCCGGGGCGGAGAGGAGCCAAGGGGAGCAGCCGTCGAGTGGAATGAAAAGTTAGGTCTGGATGCGGCCTTCAGGAGAAAGACGCGTCTGGACGAAGCAAACGGCACTTCTCAGAGGGTGATTCGGCGCTTGGAGAGCAAACGTAGAGTCGTGCGACGATTCAGCTCCAATCCAGGGGCCAAGCTTGCAGGCGCGTGTTTCAGCGCTCAAAGCGTAGCGCTCAGTGCTGAGGAGACCGGATAGTCAGCCTGCTCCTGTGTTTCAGGATTCGCGGAGAGGGCGAGATAGCAAAATTTCGGATTTGGTCGGATCTTTGACAATCCCACTACTCAGATTTCTTGCAAATGCCTAGAGTGAATGCCGAGAAGTGTTCATCCGCATGAATACAACGTTCGGTTGAAGCACGCGAGGGAGAAGGGCCCAGCGACACTGCCTACGGCCATGCCCGTCACATGACGTGGTTAGCCGCCGTTGGCATTCTGGGCAACCGGCTTAGGCTCTCTGTCAGGGCCAGCATGGCGGGGTCACGCCAGGTTGCACGCCAGGTTGAATTAGCAGAAAGAGAAGGGCAGTTCAAGCATCGTGATTGTCCCTAGCACGCCCGGTATGTTATGCACTCGTTAAAAATCGTTCTAAGCCCAGTCCATAAAGTCGAGGCCACGAATTGGAGGCCCACAACTTGGTCATAATCTCTCTCAAGCACCGCAAAACAATCTGAGCCTTGCTATGCTTCGCCATGTAGCCTTCCTCCACTGGCCGAAACATCACCGTCGTTTTGTGAGTCGTTGTCACCGTTCGCTGCCGTTGATGCTTGTCCCGCACAGCCATGCGCCACCGCCTTCACCATACTTGACTAAATGGCAAATTTGCGCGTCCACTCACGGGCAGTGGCCTCATATCGAGCTCGATCGGTCTTGTAGACATGCGCAATCTCGGGAACCAGGGGATCGTCAGGATTGGGGTCTGTGAGCATAGAGCAGATAGATAGAAGAACTGCACGGATTAGTCAGAAGCCAGCATTAGGGCCATGCAACAGCCTTACCTTTCGATATTGTCAGAGCGGGACTCCACTGATCTCTCAGAATATCCAAGCAGATGCTGCCGTTAGAGTTGATGTTGGGGTGGTAGATGCGGGTGGTGAAGTTGACCTTGGGAGGCTTGAAGGGATAGTCTGTAGGGAAGTGGATGGCTAGGAAGAAGACGCCGCCTTGGAATGGAGAGTCGCCCTTGTATCATCAGTGCCGAATCGATTGAGGCTTTGTTGTAGCACTTACGGGACCCATAATGGTAGCTTGCCAGTGGAACTGTTTGACAAGTCAGCCGCCGCGCAAAACTCGGTCAAACGCCGTGGAAGAATTGCCACTTACGAGGTCATCGCCCATAGGGCCAGCGGAGCATGATGAGGGAGGATCGCTGTAGTCAGCTTGTCAGCCTGGACTCTTGAAAACCCGATTCCATCTTATCGAGATTGAGGACATTGCCCCTCCAAGATGTGAAATTAACGAGCGACGGCATCGAGGGAAAAGGCTACGTACCGGCCGAGATCTGTGAGTTCCTTGTTGATACGCTTCAACGCCATTGTGCTGTATCTGAATGTATGCGAGGGTGTTTCGAGGGTGGTAGGTGGTCACGCAGGATTGTCTGCGATGGGGCTGTGTACTGAGTCAACACCTGAAGGGTCAATGACGGTACCACAAACGTACAGTGGGACAGGTGGTAGATAGGGTAGACTGAGGTTCGTGTGTGGTATGTGTGCGGTGTTTGATATGTAGTTGTGGTTTGGAGCCGGTTGTAGCAAAGAAGTTCAAAGATCAAGTGAAGAGCGATATTGGTTTGAAGTTGGGCTTCTCTTCAGGCTGCGCCGCTAGGCTGAACTGCCCGCCCGAGCCTGCCAGGCTTGCCGGATTTCCCACGGCGTCGCCGCTGGCTCAGCTCTTGGCGGCCCTAGAAGCCACGAGACGTTCTTTGTCGCCACCCATCGGCTGAAGTGCCACACACGGGCAGAGGTTTGCGACGGTACAATATGCATTACAAACCATTAGCAAACATCGCGGCGTAGTCAGTCTGGTATGTACAACTATATGCTTCCATGATATTGACATTTGCTATCCACAGCGCCTGCGGAATCTCATGCGAAGTCGCCGCCCAATGCAAATATATTCTACCTAGACGAATGCTTGCAAGCCGGTCACGGCTCTTCCCAGGATCAACGCATGGATATCACTTTGCCCCTCGTACGTCTGAGTCACAAAGAGATTTGACACATGCCTGCCAATATGATACTCGTCGCTCACCGCATTGCCACCAAAGATCTCCTGCAAGTTTCGTGTGTTGACCAGCGCTCGGTCACAGTTCTGCCTCTTGATCATGGAGATCATTTCGGGCGCAACTCTGCCCTCATCCTTCAGCTTACCGACCTGATAGGCTGCCAGCAGACCATAAGCAGCATCGGTTGAGGCATCGGCCAGCTTCTTCTGAACGAGCTGATACTTTGCAATTGGGTTGCCCTTGAATTGCTTTCTCTCCAGAGCATACGTCCTCGCTTTGTCAAGGGCATCTTCTAGCGCTCCAATGACGCCCCAAGCGATACCGTACCGAGCAGAGTTCAGGCACGCGAAAGGTCCCTTCAAGCCTTCAACTTCTGGGAACATATGTTCCTTTGGCACAGGGCACTCGTCCAGCTGGATCATGCCAGTGATCGATGCCCGGAGACCATTCTTATCTCCCAGCTTGGGGGTTTCCAACGTACCGGGAGGGCACATGGAACGATCCACAATGAAACCTCTGATCTTGCCCGTCTCTTGAAGCTTTGCCCATACCAGGAAAACGTCAGAAATGGGTGAGTTGGTGATCCACGTTTTGGAGCCGGACAATGAGTAGTAGCCTTCCTTGGTGGGATGTGGTTTTGCTGTCGTCTCCATGGAGCCTGGATCAGAGCCATGGTTCGGCTCGGTCAGGCCAAAGCAACCAACAAGCTTGCCCTTGCCGAGCTTCTCGAGGTATTTGTCCTTTAGCTCTTGCGAGCCAAAGTCGTTGATGCCGCCCATGCAAAGTGATCCTTGTACCGACATGCCAGATCTGTAGCCTGAGTCCACTCTTTCCACCTCTCTCGTGATCAGACCGTTGGCAATGTTGTCGATTCCAGGCATACCGTAGCCATCTATCGTAGCGCCGAGCAAGCCGAGCTCGCCCATCTCTTCAAGGATCTTCTTATCATAGTCTTCCTTGCGGTAGGCTTCTAGCACGCGCGGCGCAAGTCTCTCCTGGCAGTACGATCGGGCAGTTTCCTGTATCGCCTTCTGATCTTCGGTAAGGAGGCTGTCGAGATCAAGCGGGTCATCCCACTTGAATGAGGTGGAAGCCCATCGCTGGCTTTGTACAGGAGCTCTGGTGATGACATTGCGGCTGGCTAGCCGGCGGGCGACGCTGCGGGCGAACATGATGTGGCTACAGGCGCAGTGAAGGAGAGAGGGCGGCAGGGTGGGAAAGAGAGCCCAAGGAGATATACAGGTGGTACGAGTAGCTTTTTCCTTGTCAAACGGCGTGGATAGGGACGGTGCAGACTGTGCAGTGGCGAGCTAGTTCTCCAAGACGGAGACCGAGGCACGATAAATGGCTGAATCTAAGTTCGTGACTGAAGTCCGGAATTGAGTTGTTTGAGGAACAGATTGCTGGAGTGGCTCTCTCAACGAAGGTATGTGAATCTACGTTCGACGGTCTTGAAGAGCTAGGTGTACTCTACCCTGGTGGTCCTAGTCAAGTCGCAAAGCCCCTCGGAGTATCGTTGGAGATGGTTGCTTGAGGGCGGACTGCGGCGCTCACCAGCAGGTGGGGAAGTCGTGGCTGCGAGTGCTTCTGGTTTAGGTAAAACTGGGGGTCCTTCCGGCAGGAAGAACCACGGCTCCGGGCGACTTCGCCCCTGCGGAGTTGAGATTCACGTCATTGATTGCTGCTTAATTGAAACGCGACTTTGGCAACGCGGTTCGTGCCACCATCATTTCGTACCTGCACTTTTCTCCCACAACCACAAAGCCTGCTCGATAACACACACCATGGGTATCAAGCGTGAGTAATGAGACATTGGAAAGGCCATAGCAATGCTGATGACACGGTAGAGCTTGCGCAAGTCATCCTGGAGGAGGCTCCCGATGCCATCAAGACTGGCGAGATCAAGAACCACTTCGGCCGAAAGGTCGCTATTGTAAGCATATCGAGAGTTGTCGCAGGAAATGTTCTGACCGTTGCTAGGACGCGTAGGTGTTGACGATATGATTTCTCAATACCGCTAACCCTAGCAGGTCTATGAGCATCTACAGTTTCCTGATTGCTGTCCGCTCTGATGGTCAGCAGCTCATGTCGGACACGGGCGAGACCACCTCTCATCTCATGGGCATGTTCTATCGCACTCTACGAATTGTGGACAACGGCATCAAACCACTCTACGTCTTTGATGGCGCACCCCCCAAGCTCAAGTCCGGCGAGTTGGCAAAACGATTCGCGCGCAAGAGTGAAGCCAACGAGGCTCATGAAGAGGCCAAGGAGACCGGAACTGCAGAAGATGTTGAGAAGTTCTCGCGCAGAACTGTCCGAGTGACCAGAGAACACAACGAGGAGTGTCGCAGATTGCTCAAGTTGATGGGCATTCCGTTCATCATCGCACCTACAGAAGCTGAAGCCCAGTGTGCCGTGCTTGCCAGAGCCGGCAAGGTCTATGCCGCAGCCTCCGAAGATATGGATACACTCACCTTCGATGCGCCGATCCTCCTGCGACATCTCACCTTTAGTGAGCAACGTAAAGAGCCCATCCAGGAAATCCAGCTAGACAAGGTCATGCAGGGCCTGCATATGGAGCGAGAGCAGGTAATGAGCGCCGATGAGATGCGGAAATAGTCGCTAACTATGGCAGTTCATCGATCTCTGCATCCTGCTTGGCTGCGACTATGTTGACCCTATACCCAAGATTGGACCCAACACTGCCCTGAAGATGATCCGAGAACATGGCACACTAGAGAAGGTAGTTGAGTTCATCGAGAACGACCCAAAGAAGCGATACGCCATTCCGGAAGATTGGCCATACCAAGAGGCGCGAGATCTGTTCTTGCACCCTGACGTGAGAGACGCCGACCACCCGGATTGTGACTTCAAATGGGAGGCTCCCGATGTAGAAGGCTTGGTCGCATTCCTTGTGGGTGAGAAGGGTTTCAACGAGGATCGTGTTCGCAGCGCTGCGCAGAAGCTCAACAAGAATGTCAAGTCAGCTCAACAGTCCAGACTCGAGGGCTTTTTCAAGGCCATTCCAAAGTCCGATGAGGAAAAGGCCAGTCTCAAGCGCAAGCACGATGACAAGATCGCAGAGTCCAAAAAGAAAAAGAAAGAGGACGCGAAAACCAAGAAGGAGTCCAAGGGCAAAGCGCATCTCAACAGCTGAGTGGAGGGCGGATGAGTGGGCTGCAAAAAGGCTTTGGGCGGAGTAGAAACTGTTGCATTAGTTAGGCTTAACACAGCGCGGCGTTCACGGTCTACAAGTGCAACGACATGGGAATGCCAGAAGCATCAAGAGATATGCTGTGGATACATGTTAGCTTTCAGAGATAATGCATGCACATCGTTGTAGATCCAACGGTCTCGTACGCAAAGTTGATCACTGTCGTTGCCCGTGCGGATCAGGCGAACAAGGCGACGAGATGCTTGAGAGACACGATAGCGATGGGGGTGTCTGAGAATGCACAAATATCATCATTGATGCCTGAGGAGCCTATAGCGTGAGTAACAAAACGCCCGGCCGCCTGTCGAATCAATGCGACACATGATTAGGCATGATCTTTTGGACGAGGCGACGTCGACGACGAGTACGTGTAAGCGACACTTAAATGTGGCCTAGACGCGGTCCAGATGATGCCTGGTTTGTATTAGAATGATTGTAGAGGCGTGCCAGGATCTGAGAGAGCCTCTCGAGCAGACAGCCAGGAAGATCAAGGAGGGAAAGAGGTGAGTCGAGTAGAAGAAGAGGAGGTCTTCTGAGCGGACGGGGGCGCAACAGACCTCGAGAATCAGACGCTGTTGGGCTGGACCCAATCAGCGAACGCCAATGTAAATGTGGGGTTGGATGCGCTGCACAAATTATGGGAATCAGAATGCCCAGGATTATTGTGATTGGGTAGGAGCGACCTGCCAGCGGGTTGATAAAAGGCAGGCGCCATTGGAGTTGGAGGAGGTATAAATGGCCTTCGCCCCCGCCGCCGCCCGCGACCCGTGACCCCCTCCTCGATTCTTCTGCTTCCACCAACAGTCTTGCTAACTCGACAAGTCGCTCACAGCTCACATCTACTTCATCTTACACTTATCCATCTTATCAACAATCAACGCTATCGTAATGCCTCCCAAGAAAGCCGCTGGCGCTGCTGCTGCCACCAAGAAGTCGGCCGCCGCCGCTCCCGCCCATGCTTCCTACAAGGGTTAGTTGCTCAGTCCAATGCTGTTGGATGCGTTTCGCATCAGCTACATCGCGTGTCTAAATCAATTGCTAACACTATGGTCTAGATATGATTAAGGAGGCTATCCTCAATGTAAGTCGGTGTTCTTTGCGCCTGACGATGTCATCGCTCTTGCACCAGCTCATCGTCGCTGTCGCAAACGCGATGACTCTTCAACGCGCTATACGTAGTGTCCCATATCTTGCACATCAGTACTGACGCGTCTTCTTCAACAGCTCAAGGAGCGGAATGGTAGCAGGTAAGCTATTGACCTCGCTGTCGCCAGTGCATCACTGCCTGGGTTTGTTTGATCTAATACTAACGCATCTGCAGCCGTCAAGGCATCAAGAAATACGTCAAGGCCAACAACACCATCACCACTACCTCTGAGACTCAGTTCGACTCTCTCTTCAACAAGGCTCTGAAGTCCGGTGTTGAGAAGGGTGACTTCTCCCAGCCCAAGGGCCCTTCTGGACCCGTCAAGCTGGCTAAGAAGGAGACCAAGCCTGCGGAGAAGAAGGCTGCTGCTCCCAAGGTTTGTTGGCTTTTTCCTGGTGCTCCAACGTCACTAACTCGCTGCAGAAGGAGAAGACTGAGACCAAGCCCAAGGTTACCAAGGCAAAGGCCACCACTACCAAGAAGGCTGCTGCCCCGAAGACTGCCACCACCAAGAAGGCTCCCACCAAGGCCAAGGCTGCTGCGAAGCCAAAGGCCAACACTGCGACTAAGAGAGCGCCCAAGGCCAAGGCTCCCAAAACCGAGAAGCCTGCTCCCGCAGTGCAAGAAGTCCCTACCGTTCTGAAGAAGACTAGCTCTGGCCGCGTCAGCAAGCAGAAGACAACATCAGGTGCTACCAAGAAGGCTCCTGCGAAGAAGGCTGCCGCTCCCAAGAAGAAGGCCACGTCCAAGAAGGCCGCTGCATGAAATGCTTTAACATCTAATGCCGACCTGACGACTTGACGTGTTCTGTTTCTGTGATGTATTACTGGGAGTCAAGGGGGGCAAGCCGTGCGATATGGACGAACCCGTCGGTCTTGCACATATCTCTCATGGCGCATGGCTCGCGTTGCTGTTGAAGAGAGGGTAGAGAGGAAAACGGGACCAGTGGACGTGATGGAATTTTGTTATTGATACCTGATGTGATGGGGGCGTTCTCTTGAAGTACTGGCGCAGGCGTTTTCTTTTCGATACGAGTGCAACTGCAAATGCAAGAGTCACCAGGTTTCGTTGCGAACACGCCGAGAATAGGAAGCCGGCAGAGCATGGTGTTGATAAGCCCAATATTGGTAGATTCAAATACCGTAGCTCTATCGACCATACAACCAGGCGCGACCGCCTTCCTTGCACTGTGTGAATTGACACAAATTTTTTCCTCTTCTCTTCACTCTCAACCCCTGATTTGTTTTGATGCAGAACGCGTCCGAGGTTGACCAAAAAAAATGTCTGCTGTGATCGTGCGTGTTCGGGAGGCCCCCACCCTGGCGTCATGGTGTAAATAAACAAACCGAGGACAAACGCCATCCCCAACGCGGCTTAGCCTGGCGATCAAGGTGGTATGTACAGTAACAAGCGGTGGTGGCGGCGGCGGCGGCGGCGGCGGCGAGGTTTCTCCATGCCGATGTCTGCAAAGCAAGGGTGGTCTGTTGCGAGTCAGGACCGGTTTTGGAGAGGGTAGTCGCTGACTCGTGAGTGCTATGTGGTATAACATCGTTGATCTCCCCAGCGGAGTTTGCGTTGTGCTGGCTCACCAGACGAGCGAGAAAGGGTGCGTGAGCTGTAGCAATGTGAGTTCCCCCAATGTGAGTTCCCCCGACTTAGGGGAAGATTCTGTGCTGCGTCGAATATACGATCACGATTGCTAAGGACATGGGGACTATTGGACGTGATTGGCTAATGTAGCTTTGGTATTGCAATGATGGCGCGCAGCTCAACACGTCGGGTTGCCGGTCGCCAGCAGTGTAGTATTTGCCACGGTCGACCTCCGGAAGACGTCTGTCCCGTCAAGTTCCCCAGAGCAAAACGCTTGCCGTCTACAATGCATACTTGAATAGCGGACTGCGATCTCCCAGCTTCTCGAGCTGCTCGGGCGTATACAACGCCTCGATCTCCTCCCTCGTATGCCCCTCCCAACGCTTATTGTGCCTGCTATACAGCCACTCCAACGTCAAAGCCGCCATGATGCCGGCCGCAGAGATAGCCAAGCACGTGCCGAAGCCCGTGGGATAATCTGGTTTCTCGTTCTCCAGGAAGACCCAGCTGCCGACGAAGGCGCCGGTGTTGCCCATCATGACCATAAATGCGATGCCGCCGGCGCGCTTTTCGGGACCGGCGAGGTTGTTGACGGTCCATGTATTGTTTGGCGGGATGATGCTATACATGCCAGCACAAGCCAACACTACCATGACATAGCAAAGTGCAATATTGTCGGAGATCTTCGGGGCGTATGTGAAGAGAACAGCCATCGAGACCAACACCATGGTTTGGAAGAAGACGATTGGAGGCATGCGTCGGCCATTGCGTTTGTCAGCCCAGAAAGAGGATAGGACAGCCGTAGCAGCGCCGGCAAGGTAGGGAGGGGCGGACAGGAGCTGTGCGTTGGTGGAGCGGTAGCCCATGTTCGTGATGATCTGAGGCATGGTGAACTTCATCCCGTTGTTAGGGATGGTGTTTGACGAGAAGATGAGAGCCTGGAGGTAGAGGTTGCGATCTGTGATGACCTGCCGCAGAACGCGCCAATTGAATCGCTTCTTGGACTCCGGATCCTCCGAGGCTGTTTTACTGGGTTTGGCGCCGCGAGTTGCGAGGTGCATGAGGTTCAGGTACCGCTGCTCGGAAGGAGCGAGCCAGCGGCCAGAGAGGGAAGGCGTATCAGGTAGGAGGAAGAAGCAGCCGATTCCCAAGACGACGGAGAGGATGCCCTCCAAGATGAAGATCCAGCGCCAGCCACGAAGGCCGCCTACGCCATCGAGCTGGGCAATGCCGGCGGCGAGGAGGCCCGAGAATGCGCCTGACGCAGCGCTCGAGAGATAGAAGAGCGCGACACGGGACTGTGTCCTGTTGGGAGGATACCACTGGGATATCAGATAGATTGCACCGGGAAAGAATCCGGCTTCAAAGAGGCCGATGAGAAAGCGCACAACGCATAGACCCGCAAGGTTTTGGACGAGGCCGGTGAGGGTGACGATCAAACCCCAGCAGCTCACTAGAATCCCAATGTATGTGCTGGGCCGCTTAAATTTGACTAGAATCATGTTGCTCGGAACTAATGGTATGAGTCAATCCACATCAGGAACACGGCAAGGGTAAGTCATACCTTCACATAGGATGTAGGGTATGAAAAACATCGAGACAGCGACATTATAGTCGCTTCCACTCATTCCCAGGCTTGCCTCGAGGCCTTCGATTTTCGCATTGCCTGAAAGATCTGTTAGCGAGGCCATATAGAGCATGCCACTGAGACTGACCGATATTTGCACGATCGAGATGGGAGATGAGATAAAGTGTTGCCAGCATGGGAACAACTCTCCAATCGACCTTGCGATAGATCTTGCGCTCCTCGGAATCGGACACATCGGCGAGGAACCTGGCATCGTCTGGAGTGAGCCCTTTCTCAATGTAGGTCTCATATTTGGATGACTTCTCGCCGTCTTCGACATGGTCTGCGTCTACTTTTGGCACTTTGATGACATCCTCTGAGACGATACCAAATGGATGCTTGCCATCATCGGTAACCTGGGCCGACTCCAGAGGGGGTTTCTCCCCCGGTGTGGTGTCTTTGGAGGTGGTCATGACTGATGTGGCGGAGCAGGAATGCAGACAACAGAAACACTACCACTCTAACGAATCCAAGGTTGCATCTTGGGCGCACACCATCGCCTGAGGTCGGCTTTTATAGCCCAGGCGGCCAAGCACTAGAGTGGCTTGACAAGCCATCTTGGAAGCGATCGGACATTGCCTGAAGCAGGTCGTTACCCCAAGTATATGGGGTTTGCCAATGCTTGTGGACGGGGGCAGTATGGTATTCATTCAAGTCTTGACCGTCCCGGTAATGACGTGATGTATAGTGTACACCTAAAAGCAGCATATCAGGGCGAGCTCGAAACTGGAACGGCCGACAGCTACTTTGTAGACCTGGCCAGTCCTTCGAGCGTCTTAACGCAGCGGAATGATTTGACCTGAGTGTTGCAGCTTCGAGAAAGAGGGTGAACAGGTGCCGCCCAAGAAACACATCCTCGGGGAATGGGTGAAGATCGGTCTTGGCCTGGGGGGAGGTTTGGGGTTTTCCGCCTCCAATGCGGGATCATACGGGCTTGAGGCCGACCGAATGAGAGGCGGTACAGCGCTCTGCTCCGGGCGACAGTGTCGGAACACTGCCACCTTGGAGTCTCTGCCGAGCCAAGGGCGTCACTGTCAAGGGAGCCACCAAGTCTGGATAAGAAGTGGTCCGGTGGGCTTTTTCACACAGTCGGTTGGAGATTCGAGGCGCTCGTCATGACTGCGTGGCTGTCCGTAGCGTATAGCGACCAAGGATGCCACGGACCGCACTGTGGGCGGACGAAATGTCGTCGTCACGATTAGGAAAGTCGGTGGAAGTCGCGGGGGTGCACTTCGTACATGAATCCCGCCGGAACCGCCAAGACTTCGCTACTTCCGCTCGTGTTCTCCAAGGAGAGCGTAGGTCGATGTTGCTCCCTTAGGTCCTATCTGTCCAGACGGCCAGTATCTTGCCTGGCCTAGTGCATCGCTTTGTTGTCCATGCAAGCTGTGCCATGACTGTTCCGGTATACGGCAGACCTATCGCTCCAGGTGGAGGAATCTGGCGACTGCTGCCGTTGGAGGTGAAGATACTCGAGAAACGGCCCGTTACCGTGGCGCTTTGCTCACAGGACCGAGCTTTGCAAGTCTATTAGCGAGAGCGCACGGAGGGACGGTGGTTCGGTGAAACAAGATTACGTAGCTCATGACCGGAAGCATGCTTCTTCATCGCATTTGTGCATTGATACGATGAAAGGGAGGCTATTCAGCCTGCTCAGGTCCACCTGAACCGTCAAGGGGTCCATTCATACTACTACTCGCACAGTCGTTCCTCGCATAATGTTCGTACTCGCGCATCGCAGCCATTCACAAGGGCGCATGGTTCATCGACTTCGACGTCTGGGTCATAGCCATCCAGGTGCAGGTCGGAATTGCTTCAGGCTCCGACTAGCGCAACCCCTGAGTCGACCCTCCGACCCAGTCCACCCATGGTAGCACCAACGGGAACAGATGTTGCAAGGCCCAGGCCCCTCGCCGTCTCCGCGAGCTTGGTGAAGTCCATTCTCGGGTACACCTCCCATCCAATCCGCTCTCGATCATCTGGACTCGCCTTCTCCCCCTCACCGGGCACGCTCTCGCCACTGACAATACACAACACAGTCATGCCGCGTTTGTACTTAAGACCACTCAGTAGCTTCGGCGTGATCAAAAAGTACTGGCTGCCTTGTCCGCCGTCATCGCGGCTTGCTGTTGCGATATCCACCATGCGACCGTGAACCATGCGCTCGTTGCGCCCGTCCATGCCCTGATTGATCTCATCCACGACACGGAACGGAGCACGCGAGAGGCTCTGCAGTGCCATGAGGTAGAAAATGGTCGACACTGCACGCTCGCCTCCGGACTGGCGATGGCTGTCCAGCAAACTCAATGGCTCGTTCTCACGGAACTTGACCGAGATGTGTATAGCCCAGTTGGCAAAGTCGAGACCATTTCCTTGTCCACCGTTCTCGTCGCTGCAGTCCTCCATCGCTGTGCTGCTCGCTTTGTGCACCTCAACCTGGCCGGCACAGCCAATGCGCGCAAAGTTGTCGCCGAAGGCATCGGAGATCTTAGCCACGATGCTATCGAGCTCTGGCTCCCATTCGTCGCGAATATCTTTGATGGCTCCACGAATATTCTGAACCTCTCCGTCGAAGGAGGAAAGGCGTCCTTCAAGGACCGTTATGCGCTTCTCACGCTCCTCGTACTGGCGGATCGCATCACCACTACCGCCCTCAGTGAGAGCTATGTTCGCGTTCACGGTTTCGACTTCGCCCTCCCAGTCTTCGGGCGTCCATTTCCTTGTTGTCATGTCTTGAATGAGCGCAAGGAACTCATCGTTGCCGGCTTCTTTCTCGGCTTGTGCTTCCTCGCTAATGGCTTTGACTCGCGACCATAGGTCTCGCCGCTTTTTGAAGGCAGTCGTCGCGCGGTCCGCGGCTTGCCGCTGTGCAGTCTTCCTCTCTTCGAGAGCTACCCTAAGATTGCTGTTGCGTTGCTCCAAGACTTCTTGATCCGAGGTAGCTTCAACGAGCTGAACCTCAACCTCTATTAACTTGAGCATGGCTTCTTTGAAACCCCGACTGGCATCGGCAAATCGTACTGCAGTCTCAGCTCTTTCGACAGCGGTCTCATCTTTTTCTTGTATCCATGTCTCACGGCGTTCCCTAGCGTTACGAAGCCAGTCGTCAACTTCAGCAACTAGGCGTTGTGCATCGGCAATCCTCTGAGGTAGAGCATTGAATGCAGTCTGAGCATTCTGCTTCTCGGTCTTGTCCTTCCGGATAGCCTCAACCTGAGTCTTGAGCTCTCTGATTCTGTCTGCAGTCTGCTCAATTTCGGCCTGACACTCCTTGATACCAGTTTGTGCCTCCTCAAGCTCGCCACGTAGTTCAGCAACATCGCGCTGCAGAAGAGCCTTGCGGCCGTGATCGACTGGCTTGTCCGTCCAGACTTGAGGCTCCTTAGCAGAATTGCTCATTGACAATATCGCGTCTGGACCAAGATCTAGCCGGCGACGAAACGAATTGATTTGACCATCAGCATAATAAGATTGGATTTTGCTGGTCTTCATGGCATCATGTTGCTCTTGAGTAATGCGGCCATTTGCGATAGCACACTGATTCAACTTCTTCTCTGCACAAAGCATCGCAAGAACTGCAGCAGGTCCCTGAATGTGATCAATCGCGAAGCTATGCAGACCATATTGGCGGAGTTCCTCCAGCGTGTAAGGCTTTGGGATATTGGTAGACTCATCCTCGTACCGTAGTCGCAAGCTGATTTGATGAAGACGTAACTCGCCAATGAGCTTCTTCTGGAGAAGTTCATAATCGTTCTGAGTCTGAGCTGTGATGATCCTGAAATCGCCGGCCTGCAACATGGACTCGATGGCTTTGGCCATATTTTTGTTCTCCACCGTACACTCAACAGCAGGAGGGCCGAAGACGGGCTTCTCGAACAAAATTCGATTTCCCTGAATGAAACGCCAGGCTTGAGCAGTGTCTTTGGAGAGAGTCTCAAGCTGACTTTCGCGCCGGCCGGCCTGGGTATCGAAATTCTTGATCTGTTGCTCCTTGTTCGCAATGTCGTGCTTGCGCTTATCGGCCTGGCGCTCTAGGCCATCGCGCCTGTCCTGAGCGTTTCTCTTGTCCGCCTCAAGATCCGTAACCTCACGATTCCGATCGTTGATTTCTTCAGCCATTGCTCTTGGGTCGAACTCTAGAGGAGGGTGTTGTAACTGATTCTCCAGCTGCTGGACTCGCATCTGGTGCTTTCGAAGCTCGGTCTTCTTGGTGCTAACCTGGTCTCTATCGGCTTTGATTTGGTTATCAAAGTCTTGCATTTTGGTCTCAAGGTCAGCGAGTTCGCTTCGGACATTGTCACATTCTCCACTGGAGGCTTTAAGCTCTTCTTCACATTGCTTTTTGAGGAGGGTGACCTTGTGCTTGTAGACTTGCTTTGCTTTGACTTTCCGCAACGCTGGCTCGGCCTCCTCCTCAAGTTGTCGTAACTCATTCGCGAGACGTTTTTGCGCTTCTTTGGCTTCTTCAGCAGTGGCCTTAGCAGAGATGTACTCGGGAAAAACTTTAGCTCTCTGCAAGTATTCAAGCTTTTGCTTGTACTTCTTGCGATCCCGCTCTCTGTCAACTTCCACACGCTGTGCCTCATGTCGACGTTTCAGGTTGTCCAACTCGTCCCGATCAGTCCGCTGACCGCCCAAGTGTTCTTTCAGCTCATTACGCAGCTTCAGCAGAACGTTGTAGCATTGGACCATCCTCGGCGTGCCGGCAGCTTGTTGAGTGCTGAGCAACACTTCGTGCGGCTTCATCTGAGCGAATTCGACGACTCGGTCCTGAGGCAAGAACTGACACAGATTGTCGATTTGGATACCGAACGACGACGCCAGAGCCCTGATTGCTGCGCTTCCACTTTCATTACCATCAAGCCACCATTTCGACTTGTTACCATCTTTCACAATAGATCGTCGAACGATGTGATTCTTTCGCTGTCGTGCGCCCTCTTTGCTGGGACCACGTTTCAACTCGATCTCGATTTGGGCGTCGCTCGCCCCATGCTTAACGAATTCGCCGAGGTCTTTCGCGCGACCAAGAAGCTATGGCGGTTAGCTAGTACAAGTAGTTGTGGTCAACGAGTCATACCGTAGGTGGCCACCCTAGACCCAAGCAGATGGCACAGACAAGTGTGCTTTTGCCAGTGCCATTTGGACCAATGACCATATTGAGGCTGGGGCCAGGGAAGAATTCAGCCTTAGTGTAGGTAACGAAGTTGGTCAACTTGACACGAACGATGGCCCCCGGCTGATGGTTTGCGTCTCTCTTGCCAGACGATAGCAGGCGGCTTGGATTGCCACCATGTCTTTGCTGGGAGGGACCCTGGTCCCCGTTCACATTTCTTGGTTGAGGGCTGGTAGTTGTGTTGCGGCGAGCTCTCTTGCGGTCGTTGGGTGCAGTAGAGAGCGGCGTCTGCGGGCGAGATGAGTCGCTGTCTTCAGGTTCTGGTGAGCGCGTCCGACGCACAGCCAGTCGAGCCATGACGGGCGACGGAGGCAACGTGTGTCAGAGCGAAAACTACACAGTCGAGCGAGTGAGCCAAATGGCGCGCAGGCAGGCGCGTCGCCATTAGTCGCGTCTACGGAGACAGTGAGATTAAGTCCGGGCTGCTTTCAGCCAGCGACTCCCCTCTAACCACGAATACTTTAAAATTGAGAGCTACAGGCAGAATGCAACAGTCATGGTATCTGGCATTGCTTCAGTCATTTCATTAACATTAGAGAGACGCATGTCCTTTCCTACTCTTCAGATCACCGCTATTTTCATCGCACCAGCGAAAGATTGCAGAGTTCTTTTCGCCACCATCCTGGAAACCGAAACAATGCGGACTAACGCAATAGCAGATACATAGTAGTTCTCTTGACCTCGGCAAGGTCATGTCTCCCGGACTCCGAAGAGGCCGCTCATAACGAGCCAATGCCCCTTGTTTTCGCTGGACTGGGTATCAAAATAAAATGGACATGGTGGAGGGGTTGCCGCTTAGAAGTAGTTGCCCTTGGGAACTGCCAAGAAGACTGCTGTGGCAATGGCACCGATGATAAAGGCGGTGATGACAGCCTGGATGAAGATGGTATCTTGGATGGATCGAAGCGCGGGCTCCTGAATCCAGACTTCGCGATCGAAAATCTTGCGGATTATATTGCGCTTGTCGTACTTGGCGATCCATGGCTCGTCCTCGTAGCTGTTCTTGGTACCAAAACTGTCAAAGGAGTTCTTCTTGAGATCGATCTCTGACTGGGCGTCATTAGGGTCGGCGAACAATTCCCATGGGCGAAGATGACGATGGTGCATGCCGTGAAGAACGACACACATGCCTTTCCAAGCAGCAAAGAGAGTCGAGATGCCGATGAAGAAACCTAAGAAGGCCAGAGCACGCCAGCCACGGTTGGCTCCACTCAGAGTGATGACGATGGCGTATACAATACCACCAACGATGCCAAACACGCCCAGGAAACGAGCAAACGCTTGTCTGGGAGGGTTACCATTGCAGATAGTCCAGCGAATGAAGTTGGGATGAGACTGATGACGCAGGGTCCACTCAACAGTGGCGATAATGTCGCGCATCGCAGAGGGGTGAGTGGTGACCGAGAGAGCCTTGAGGACGATGGCGCGCTCCTTGGCGGAAAGATTCAGCATTCTGTGAGCGTCCTCGGCAATGTAGAGGGCAATAATGCGCGAGATTTCCTCACGAAAAGGCTGAATGGTGACTGAGACTGTTAGCAGAGATATACAGACATGGCTCCGCTTGACTCACAGGGTTGCAGAGCGTCGACCGTCTCGAAGGCGTCGGCAGTCTTCTTGGTGTGATCAGTCCTACCAGATTTCAAGGTTGACCCTTGCTCGCTCCAACCGGTAGCGCCGCCAGAATAAGTGCCATTGACGGAGGGGCCAAGGCTGGGATCGTATTCTCCCTCGTTGGGAGTCCTTGGGGGAGTGTTGAATGGGTTGTAGCCACCCTCGGCAGGTCTGGCAGCATTGTCGAAATCGGTACCCTTGAGCACTGCAGCAGCCTCGGCAGGCATCTTTTTGGGCAGCTTCTCCTTCTCGAGAGCATGCCTTTCGGCCTGAGCTTGCTCCGGAGTCCATTCTGGAGCCAACATCTGGTCTTTCTCGGACAGCTGGAAGAAGCGCTTGACAAAGTCATTGTACCATAGATAGAATTGCAGGTTTTCCGGATCATGCTCGATATATACGAGGAAATCCATGAACTCGCGAGTCGTCACAGGCTATATAGAGGGTCAGATTGAGGCAAGCACACGTGAAAGCAAGAACACTTACTGGACAAGTGCCACCGCTGATGATCTTTTCGAAGGAGAGAGCCTCGGGTATGCCATATGGGCAGGATGAGGAGGAGCTGACGGATTCGCCACGACTCTTCTCGGTCTCGATGGATGTGCGAGAAGAGTCGACATCGACGTACGCCGGACGGCGGTAGTTGAGAGCTAGAACCATGATGGATACTGAGATGAGCTGGTCACTTTGGTGTTGCACGCGGCGATGAATGCCGACGTGACAGAGGAAATGAAGACAGCGAGTCGGTTGCGGTGGAGTGGTGCAGATCCACGTAAGGTGTAACAGAGAGGCGACGTACAGGACAAGAGGCTGTCCGAGATTGAGGGCAGTGGAAGTGCTTTTAGTATTGCCCACACGTCAGTCGCTCGCGTGGCTGGCCAGGTCCCTGGCTGAACCCAAGACTACCGAGTAGGGATTCACACAACACGAGCTTTCATGGTGGAAGCTACTTTGTGCATGCCTGGCCAGCAAAGCAACAAATTGAACCAGGTAGCCGGATTGAGTTTTGCCGCCACGGAACGCCCTTGCTCCGCAGGCATGTCCCTTGCTGACTAGACTCAAGTAGAATTTAGAGCTCTGGAGAAGCCGCGAACCAGAGATGGATGAGGGGGGAATCCACGTACGTCAAAATGCATCAAACACATGCTAAAGCGGAGGTGATCAAGACCACTAGGCTCAGTATGTCGCCCTCCCCCCGGACCACGGACCACACTGCTACCATTTCCATGGCTGGCGTATCCGAACACCATCCCCCTTCCAGATGCCATCAAGAGGCGATCGACACTCTCGAGCGGACCTGCCCTTCGTTCAGGGCCAACGATTTGACACCGGCCCACGCTGATGTACATTGCAGCAGACACGAGCAGGCCCTGTTGAGAACACAACTGTCGAGTCGGGCATGCTACACAAATGATCCAGGGTGGCAAAAAGGTACACCACGACGCCACCGCTTGATTGGGATGCAGCTTGGTCCGAAGTCATCAACAAAGAGGCGGATTTGAATCAGGAACTCCTGGGGTGCAAACCAATCATCAGCACGAGAAAGGCAGTGCTGTACGTGAACCGGCGAAAAGGGCCAGGATGTCGGGCGCAAGCGTCGATTGTGGCGTCTCAACTCGAGTCGGAGGCGCGAACCGCTGCCGCTGCGATCTTTTCGTCAGTGCCCCGACTTCTCCAGACAAAAGCCATGGCCCAGAACAAGACTTTGATTCTACGGCAGAGATCGATGCAATTCCAAGAATACGACTCCAGGACTCTTGTCGCTCTTGGTCCAAAGCACAATGCCATCTTGGATCTCTTGGGCAACATCCACTAACTTGGTGGAAACCCTGGTACCCCGGAAGACATCATTTCCACTTTGGCTGAGACTAGCGACTTCGGGCGACGATTGGCGATGACAACTACAAGATTACCGACTTGGCGGCTCGGCAAAAACCGTGCAGCCAACCCACGTTGATAGCGAATTCGGATGTCTCGAGATTACACGTTCAATCGCTCATGCCGGGGAGCGCTTGAGCCCGTCTTCCAGTGCAGTGACAGCTGCAGCACCCAGCCCGACATTTCATGATTATTCCATGCACTATCTTGGGCCAAGATCATTGGGGCCTGCATCTGGCATCCGACGTCTGACATTTGACATCTCGCCTCTGGTACCCGACCGATATGCTCCAGCGCGATTGCGTGCGGACACCAACCACACTCGGCAAACTTTTACTTCTCCACAATTCAGGAACGATCTGGCTCGGTCGCGTTTTCAGAATGCATCTTTGCACGTGTTCGAAGCCGTTGTGGTGGTGCGGAAAACTTTGTTGCCCCTGAACTTGCATCTGTTCACATCAGAGTGCTTCGACGACTGAGTTCAGTTCGATCCAGACCTCACTAGTCACTACGGAGGTATCTCCTGCAAACATGCTTGACGGCGGGTGGAAGAGCCCTTCCTACGCCACTAACGCCAACGTTCGATGATCGCAGAACCCAGCACTCAACTACCGATGCCTTGGGGACCCGGAGTCGAATGCAGGACTAGATCCGTACTCAGGAGCCTGTATCCACCGAGCTCTCCTCATTCCTCGTACTTCAAAGTCCCAAGGCTCACTATCGCCAAGTGTAAGGCGCGAAGACTTCCGTACAAAGACCTCGGTTCTGATGTTCCGAGGCTCATGTTTGCTAGGGGTCGGGGGTAGAGACTCCAGTCTTGATGTTCCCAAGGATCAGGCTCGCCAGTGGTCAGGGGTAGAGACTTCAGCTTCCATCTGCCCATCTCGATCAAAAGGCTCTTCTCGAAGAGCTGCCAAGGCTGTATCTATTGCAACTCTGGTCGTTCACCTTCCCAGTACCAGGTGGCCCGAAACAGCACGTATTAACGGCACAACAACGGCTGTTGGCCTAGGTCCCCCTTGGCACCGTCTTTGTCTGATTGTGTGCTGCCGACTGAAAGGCATGCCATATATGGAACATTCAACAAAGGGACTCTCGAGTAGGTCCCTACCACCCTCTTCGAGACAAAGAACATACACTGAACATCAACATGTCAGTGCTCGTAACTCTCGCCCTTCAAATCATCAGCATCAACTCTTCGCTCCTGATGTTGCAATTCAGTAAGTCTTTCCTAGGTCAGCTTCTTTCCTTTCCTTTTGTTCCGTTACAGTTTCAATTTGGCGACAGCCGCGTCGTCGAGCTACGACACTACACTCGTTCTCGTCAACCACACATTCCTTTCGCCCACTATGGGTGTCGTTTCTCGCCATGATGGCGTGCACGGCCAGGAGCCGCACCAACCTTCTGCCAAAGCCGAGTGCAGCAACACCACCACAACTGTGACTCTCACACAATACGGTGCCACTGTAACTTCGACCCTCGGCCACAGCACTACCCCCTCCACCTCCACCAAAACCATCTCCTTGCTGCCTTCCGGCCTCATCACTCTGCACAATGCCACCCTTCCCCTTAACAACACTGTTACCACCCCGACCCCCTCGTTCACCAGCCACACCTCCTCAAGCACCATCTCAGCAGCAACAGCCTCTCCCACGCCAGCTCCCCCCTCCGATCCATCCCACCAGGCCGGTCGCGTAGCCGGCGGTGTCATCGGCGGTCTCGCCGGCCTCGCCCTCCTCGTTTTCCTCCTGGCCTGGTGCTGCAAGCGCCGCAACCAGCTCAAGGTGCGCCTACGTTGCCGGCGGGACACCAAAGAGGAGAAAGAGCTGGCCCGGCAGGCGGAGGTGCGGCAACGTGCGGACCTTGAACGCAAGAAGGCGCTGCAGTCGCTGGAGGCGAAACCCGGTGGCGGGTTGCTGCATAGTGGCCTCATGGCATTCAATCTTGAGCAGAATGGTTCTCAACCGGTGTCGAACAGTGCCGTGCCGCCGACGCCGCCGTCGGTGCCAGTAAAGGGTACCGGACCCGGGCGGCGCTTCTACGCTTGAATTGCCTTGGTCTTGCATCGCTTGCGGGTCCTGACTCTTGAGGAGTTGGCTTGCAGCCGGGTACGCAACATGTCCCACGAATTTCCTTTTGCTGTGACCATACGTTTGTATGGCGCATAGGTCGAGACTGTGGCGCTGTAATATCAGCACGCGCCTTCAGGGATGTGCTCCTGGTGACCCGAGGATACTGGAGCGCTGGCTGACTGCACAGGCAGTCATGCTTATGGACCGCGCTGCACGCAGACAATGGTGGTAGAACCGAGCCGCAAGAATATTTTTGAATCTCCTTGTTGTCTTCAAATAGACGCAGCTTGAAAATCGCTTTCGTAACTCATCATAACCTGTGCTCGAACTACCCAGTCAAACCTGTATTACTAGCACAGCTCCCCCCAATCGCCACCACCCTCACAGCACATATCTAAAGCCTTTAATCTCCCACTCGGTCCTCCCCCGCATCCCCATCTCCCTCGCCACCCTCTCCTCCTCGCCCCCGACCACCACAACCCCCCACCTCCGATCCCTCGTCCGATTCCCCCACCACAACCCCGCCAACAACAGCCCCTGACACACCGTCTTGACCGCGTACCCGCCCAGCAACCCCCACGCGGCGGACCGGTATTCCGGCGCCTCGTCCTGCCGCACGACAAAGGGCCCCGCGAAATTGCCCCAGCAGTAGGCGGTGAAGACGAGGGCCGAGGCCGAGGCCCGGTGGCTGTAGCCCGCCATGTTGCTGGTTATAAGAGTCAAAGCGATGGTGAAGGAGACGGATTGCGTGTTGGTCAGCCAGAAGGCGATGAGGCGTGGCCAGGGGTGCTGGCGGGGGAGGAAGGCCATGAGGGCGGCGGATGTCTGGGGTTGGAAGCGGGGTGATTAGTTTGTGTGTGTTGGGGTCAGGGGGAGAGGAGGATTGGTAGGAGGGGGCCCTGTCGGAAGAGGGAGGGGAGGATGGAGAGGGAGAGGAGGGACTCACAGTGCAGATGATATTGGCTGCAGTGGCGGTTAGGAGGCGGGTGTTGGGGACGTTGAGCGTGATGATGCCGGCGATCAGTAACGCGACGATCTGGATGGCGTCGCCCACGGACTTGAGCTGCGTGGTTTTGGTCGTGCTGAAGCCCAGATCGCGGATGATGACGGTGGAGAAGGATTGTAGCACGCCATTGGGGATTGCGGCGGCGAAGGTGGAGAGGAATATGAGGATCGTCTTCCAGTCGTAGAGGGAGAGGAGGGCTTGGTGGCGGTCGAAGGACTGGGACTTGAGGCCGGTGGTGTTGGAGGCGACACGCGCGACGGCGATGAGGCGTTCGGGGTGGGAGAGGAAGCGTGCTGAGGTCGGGGTGTCGCTGAGGCAGAACCAGAGGACGGCGGACCAGGCGATCGTTACGGCGCCGAGGATGTAGAAGATGAGTTGCCAGCGTGCTGGGCTGCTGGATTCGGGGAGGGTGGAGATGCCCATGCTGATGTAGCTACCAATTATCCCACCGAAGCCGAGGGAGGAGTACCAGATGCACTGTCGAAGAGGGATTTCGGCACGCGTGTACCAGAATCCGGTCATCAGTGTGAGGCCTGGTGTGACGGCGGCTTCGAAGGCACCCATCAGGAAACGCACTGCCATGGCGCTTCCGTAGTTGTGGCATTGAGTTAGGAGGAGGACCATAAGACCCCAAAAGAGGCATGTGATGGAAAGGACCTTTTGGGCTGGGTAGCGACCGATTAGCCAGCCGCAAGGATACTGACCGAAAAAGTAGCCTGCGTACACGATAGCCGACAAGTAGTTGAACTGGGTGCCGTGTAGCGACAGAGCTTGTTGGTAGCCAAAGAGATTGGCATAGTTGAGGGCGGTGCGATCCATGAATTGCAAGCATTGTGTCACGAAGAAGATGGGCAGAATGACCAAGTCGATCTTGCGACGAACACGCAAAGCCTAGATCAGGTCAGATCAGGTCTGCGTGAGTCTCCAGCAGCGGGTTACAAACCTCTTTGGATGAAGTGTCTATATCCTGGCCTTGTCTGTATTCAAGGTAGCCCACATTGCGATCCTGGAGCTGCGTTAGCGAGACGATCTTCAGGGATCGGCCGGGCGCATTACTTCAGGGAATACCTCAACCTCGACGTCTGTGGATCTATTGAAAGGAGCTTGACTTTCAGCATCGGTGCGAATGTCGCTTTGCGACGAGGCAGCTCGCTGTTCAACATGAAGTTCGTCTTCCTTGCAGTCAGCCATCGCACACCGACGACCAACTCTGCTCGAAGATGAGAGAGAAGTCAGACGGCCGAGGAGCGGTCAGCCAAAGACTGCGCTTCCTGTCAACATGTCCGACAAGACACCCTAGAGCGCGAGGAGCCTTAGTGCCCGTGCTGCAGGCAAGTCACCGTCCGAATTGCACCATGTCATTGCCTAGAAGAAGAAGATTGTGCTGATACGAGGGCGAGAACTACTGGGACTCGCAGGCTGCTGACACCGAGATTTTTCTGGAACCAAGCCAGGCCTAGATCGCTCCACCAACTTTGCTGCCCGAAGACGCAGACCCTGGACAGATCACGAATTCTTTGATGCCGTCTCTGGGGATGGACCTCGACGCCAGGTCGTGTCTTCTGAGGCAATGGTCGACGACTGCTACAGCGGACCATCGCTTCGTCTCCAAGATGATGCATGTTCGCTGCTTTCGCTTTCGCTTCATCAACCGGGCCGACCAGTGATTGGTTGCCCCCAGTTTGACGCCATGCAGATCCGAGGCCGCCCTTGAGAACATCTCCCCACCTTTGGGGTACGTAGCCAGGATCCGAGGCTCGCCAATGCCATTGTCATCGTCGTCACTCATCAGCAGGAAACGAGGTGGATCAGAATCCAGAAACAGCGACGTGCTTCACAATGACAGACGCTAACGGCTACATCGCAAAACCCTCTGGAGAGTGTTGCCTGAAGGGTTCGCTCCATGATGGAGAGCCGAGAGGGCGCTACGAGACCATCGCTGGCGTCAACACGTATATCTCGTCGCCGCCTGCCGACAAGGCGAACGGTAACATCGTGCTCTACTTTCCCGATGTGTTTGGCTTCTTCACCAATGGACTTCTCGTCATGGATGGGTTTGCCGAGGCTGGATATCTGAGCATCGGCTTGGACTATTTCCGTGGGGTTCGGCTCGCAAACAGGACAGTCCGACGGCCTGCTAACGGCCGTAGGATCCCGTGTACCTTCATCGCAAAGACAAGAACGACACGACGACTGACCCTGGCTTTGATTACGAGGCGTGGAAGGCAAAGCACACTGCCTTCGCGGATGAGGCGACACCTGGATGGGTGAAAGATGTCAAGGCAAAGTACGGCAAGTCGACCACGAAGTTCGCTTGCGTAGGGTGAGTCCAGCTGGAGCGCTATTGCAGACAGGTCACTTACCGGGGCAGATACTGTTTTGGCGCTCCTTATGTATGCAATGAGCTTGCTGGGGATACCGTCACCGCCGGAGCCTTTGCTCACCCAGCCTTCCTGAAGGACCATCACTTCCACCAGCTGAAGAGTGCGAGATGCCGTCATGTGTCAAGCAATGTACTGATCCTGTTCTCAGAACCACTGTTCCTCTCGTGCTCCGAGATCGACCATACCTTCCCGCCCGAGTCGCGAAACAAGGCCGTCGACATCCTTCAGAAGGCTGGCAAACCCTACCAACTACAGGTCTTCTCTGGAGTAGAGCATGGCTTCGCGCTGCGCTGTAATCTGGACAACGCATACGAGCGTAAGTGGTCCATATTCGGGAAACGGGCAGTTGCTCGAGTAAAACTAACGCTGCACCAGGTTACGCCAAAGAGCAGGCAAGTGACCTCCAATCTGGGCGAGAGTAGAGGATCACGTCCCACAACTCGGCCCGATGTCTCCTGCTAACAATCGCGTAGAGCCTTCAGAGCATCATCAGCTTTTTCGATTTCTGGCTCGCACAGTGATTCAAGCCGGCAGTCTGGGTGTATCACGCCAGACGTGCCCGACACTTGTACGTGGCATCATAGGTACATTACACAGGAACACGAAAAAATCCAAGGTAATGAAGAAACTTGTCCTCCACCGCTTAGTGCTACTTTGCTTTCGGATTTGCTGCAAGGCCATATTGCTCCAAAACCATGAAGCGGTCGGCCGGCCTGTGGGTCGAACCTGAACTACCACCTCCATGTATATACTTATCTTGAACGTGCACCTCTCGAGCCGCAAGCTAACCGAAAGCTTGTCGGCAAAAGAACGGTCAGCGTTGGTCAAGTCGACCACTGGGTAGATCGTGACACTGCTGGCATTGTAAGCCCCCAAGGGTAGTGAGGTGGGAACGTGACCCCGGTCGTCTCTAGGTTGGGGCAACGTCTGAACCACCCAGCCGGTCTATCAAGATCTACAATAATCTTGACATTCGTACTAAGACGTCTGTGTACTCCAACTCTCATCAACGTGCTGCTGATCTTCATGGAATCAGCCAGATAGAGTTTTGTATGACGAGATGCATATGCCGAGGCTAACATCGTAAACCGACTCTATACCGCTAGATACGACCTGTAGTCGTAATGAGCACACACGAGTCGAGCATGCCCGGGTAAGCCCATCTAGCGAGCTCCATCGAACAAGATGGGCATCCAGACGGGCGGCGAAGATGGCGAGATCAAGGAGATGCCCAAGACAGGCACCGTGGCTAACAACCCTGAAACGGAGGCACATGAGGAGGACACTCCCCAAGAGACAGACGGAGAGACCTCCTGCACGGTAACGAGACTCTGGGAAGACAGCACCAACCGCGACCGTATCGTGTGGCTGACGGAGCCTCCCATCGTCGAAAAGAAGGATCAAGCAGCATCAGATTTCCCCCGACCTGCCATCACCCTACTGCACACCGATCCCGGCCAAACGGGCAAACACGCGCTGGACACGATCATCATGCGCGGCACACAGCTACGCCGATTCCTCGAAGACACCATCCCAGACATGTCCTCGTTCTACAACGAGGCGGAGCAGGGCATCGCCATCAAAGCACCCTTCCGCCTGCTCTTCTGGCACCTCGACCAGATCGAGGCTGCCGCTCACTGTCCCGACAGGAAGTCGTTGAGTCGGGTGACGACCCTCGTTCTGGACGTGCTCCAGGATGAGTTCCGCGATCTGCTGGCCAAGCGAGCCCGACTCGTCGCGGAGCGCGAGATGAACTTCGACGTCCTCTGGACCGTGTTCAAGCCAGGTATCACCTGCCTGACCAAAGCTGATGAGCACACCGTGGCGGTGAAGGTGTCGTCAATCCATTTCAGTAAGGATCCTATGGGTCAGATTTACTACAGGATCAAGCATGATACCCTGGCGTGGGATGGGTTGCATTTTGGCTGGGACGACAGCTACACTGACATCTACGAGTTCAGGGGGAGACGGAAGATCTTGGATCTTAGCATCTACCCCATCGAGTACCACCCAGACAAGAAGAGCCTTGTTGATGGGCTCGTGGCGCGGGGCAAGAAGTTTGCGCGCATCGCCATGAAGGAGCCGCACATGATGAGTTTCAACGGCGAGGCCTTGGACCGCGAGAGCTCGCCCATGTGGTGGCAGGGCGAGCAGAAGAAAAAGGTAAAATGCTACAAGCACGATCCTGGATATGGGTCCAATTTACTGACGGGCCAAAGATGTCTGAGCGGATTGTATTAGATGCCCGAGCATACAACCACTACTTCCGCAGATACTCGGTCAGCAAATTGATGAAGCGCGACGCCATGGCCGACGCCCTCCTCAACTCCGACGCCATCTTCCTCTACTGCCAGCCGGAATTCCGCTGCTTCGCGCTCCAGCACAAGAAGTGGGCGCGGGCCTGGATCGACGACCTGGAAGAAGTCGAGTTCAACGACCTCGCCTACCCCAGCCTCTTCCTCCCCCACGACTACAAAGAGCTCCTGCTGGCCTTTGCCGAAGCTCAGATTGACGGCTACGGCTTCGACGACATCATCGCCGGCAAGGGACAGGGCATCCTGATGCTGCTGGCTGGGGCGCCCGGCACGGGCAAGACACTGACCGCCGAAGCCATGGCCGAGCACATGCAGCGGCCGCTCTACTCGGTCTCGGCGGGCGAGCTGGGCACCTCGGCGGGAGGCATGGAGAACGAGCTGGACCGGGTGCTGGAATTGTCGACGCGCTGGAATGCCGTGCTGCTGCTCGACGAGGCGGATGTCTTTCTGGAGCGCCGCACCGACAGCGACATACGGCGCAACAGCATCGTCTCGGTGTTTCTGCGGAAATTGGAGTACTATAGGGGCATCATGTTCTTGACGACGAACCGCATCCATGCCATTGATGAGGCGTTCAAGTCGCGTATTCACATTGCGATTCGCTACCCGGACCTCGATGCCAGTACCAGGCGGTCGATATGGCAGAATCATTTGAAGCGGGCGGCGGACTTCTACCAGCATGGCGTCAACGTGGGACCGCAGGAACTGGACCAGCTCTCACAGAAGACGTTGAATGGCAGAGAGATACGCAACATTGTGAAATCGGCGCAGTTGCTGGCGTCGCGGTCCAAGCAGCCCCTTCAGAAGAGTCACCTCGATATCGTCTGGAGAGTCGAGCACGAACAAAGCGCGTTCTTGGAATATCACCCGAGTGCACAACTAAATGGTGTTGATGCTGGGGTTGGCTGACCCTGGTCGCCGGCCGCGCCAGCAGCGTCGCGGCGACACAAAGGGAGAGCCAGTCAACCGAGAAATGCCATCACCAACCATCGTCCCCATTTCCGAACAGCTCTATGAGCCGCTGACACCTCTCAGCGGTCACCGCCTCATCCTCACCCACGACCGGCTCGAACCCGCTGGCCGTGATGTTCACCCAGCTGGGTCTCTCCAACCCCTCAGAACTATACTCCGGCCAACCGTCCAGCTCGTGTCCCAAGATGAAGCTCCGCAGATAGCTCTGCAGCGTCGCTGCGACGCTTGCGTTGACCGTCGGATCAGCCGCCGCCACCACGTCGTCGTAGAAGTAGTAGCTCAGATCCTGGCCGTGCAGGGCCGGCAAGATGGACATCTCATAGCGATAGCTCCGCGTCTGTTCGGACTGCCAGGTTTGCCTGCGGCGTAAGCGAGCGGTATGACTGCCGCCGCTGTTATTGGAGAACGTCTTGGCTGGGAAGTACGAGTGGCACGTGTAGATGAGTTCTCCGCAGGCCTCGTCGAAGGGGGTGGGCGTAATGTCGCCGTCCGGTGTGAAACTCGTCTGGTTCATGTACGTGCCGTACATCTCCTCGAGGGCCTCGAGTGTCGAGTTGGTGGGCGTCCTCGCGAATATGTCCAGCAGCTCGGTCCAAGATGTGGGATGGGCGACTATGGACGCAACGCCGTCGTTCTTCATGCCGCCAGCAATGATTCTCCTGACTCCGCCGGCACCCACATCCGTCTCGTTGAGCACCCAGTCCGGTAGGCTCTTCACCAGTTGTCGATCAATCACTGGCCCGAAGCTTATACTGGGGCCTATCCACCCCTCTGGCTGCGTGTCCATCAGCAAATAAGCATTTCCCGCCGCGAGGTCCTCCTCACTCAGGCCGCGCAAACACTCCACATCCGCACAGCCCGTCGCGTTCAAAAACATCTTGTAGATCTCCGTCATCTCCAGACTTCGATTAACATGCGGCCGATACCCAGGACTGCTCAGCACAGCCTGCTGAAACAACCCGCCCTGTTGTCCTCCTACTCCAGCCGCGAGCAGATGCTCGACAATTCCCGCACCGGCACTCTGGCCCATGACCGTCACGCGCTCCGGATCCCCACCAAACAAGCCGATATACTGCCTCGTCCACTGTAACGCCGCCTGCGCATCATACAGGCCTATGTTAACGCCCAGCTCCGGCTCCGTCTCGCTGCTCATCCAGCCCAGCGCCCCGAGCCGATAATTGCTGGCCACGATGATGAACGGCTCTGTCGCGGCATCAGCGGTCGCGAGCAGCGCCGCTGGATTGCCGCTCCAGTCCTTTGCACCGTAGAAGAAGCCGCCGCCGTACAGCCAGTGCAAGACCGGGGCGGGCGACGACGCGTTCAGGCCCGCAGGCACGATTACGTCGAGGAACAAGCAGTCTTCGCTGCCCCAGGATGTGCCGTTGATGGGGAGCGGTGCTGGGAAGTACGAGGGGATGGCTTGCAGGCAGTTTGTGCTGTTGATTGGCACGAGGCCGGTTTGCACTTCGGCGCTGATTGGGGGAGGGGTCACCGGCGCGCGGAAGCGAAGGGGTCCAATGGGAGGTTGCGCGAAGCGGATGTTGGCATAGGTGCCGTAGGTGAGGTTGGCGGAGGTGAGGTTGGTGTAGGTCGCTGCGTGGCGGGCGTAGCCTAGGTTGATGGTGGGGAAGGCATCGGATGTTTGCGCAAGCGCGGAGAAGGGGAGGAGGAAGGGCGCGAGAGCGAGGAGGACGCTTAAGGCGAAGGAGTTCATTGTGGTTGGTCGGTGGTTCATATCCTACGCAGTATACAGTGTGTGAAGGACGTGTCTTGTCAACGCCTCATGGCAGCTTCGTCTCTTATAACTTGCCTACCGACTTCATGATCGACCTCAAGAGTCGACGAATGCGGTATACGAGCGCATAGCCTCGGGTACCTTACCTGTCACGAGAGCCTCAGCCTGTCTCCGAGCATTGACATCGAGGCTACAGCCTGCGTCGTTGGATCTTTTGGAGTGCTGGTCGAAGATCATCTTGGCTTTGTATCTTCTTCGGCTCAGCTTGTAGAGCTCGGAGGTTTGCTGGAGGAAGCTTCCGAGGAAGCGAGGACCGCACTGCCAGGCTCTGTAGCTGCTTTCCTTGTTGGACTGTTCAATTCTCCTTCTTTGTTGTTTACGCCATACCTACCTAATACGAGCTCGCAGCCCGTCCTGACTGCCATTATCGTCCGGTAAGACGGCTCTGGGAACCCGAATGCGAACCCGAATGCGAACCCGAATGCTCTTCGGCTGACGACAGCAGGCAATGGACTCAGGTCCAAGAGTACCTGTTACTCAAAGAGGTTTAAGGCCAGGAACGATCAGCCGTGCTCGTATTCCGGATGTGGCAATCCCCAGATTCGCGGTGGTTCGTGAGATCTTTGCATACGCGGTCAAGATCTATGCTGGGCCGGTAGCAGTTGGCTGGGCATAGAGCTGAAAGGGTGAAGGACTGCCACGCGTGTGGTGTTGAGTTCGTCCTGTCCATCCAGCCTGGATCGAGAAAGCCTTGGCCGACGTCACCGCGATCGGCCAATGCCAAGACTGTTGAGCGGCACATTGATCCCCTTCAAGTTAATGCAATTGTATGACACTCCCACCACTGTTCCTTGATTCGTCTCCTCGCACTGGATTGGTAAGAGCGCGGTATGGCTTCATGTCTGACTGATCTCAGCCTACCGGCTACATACTGGCCCCTCCCCACGGCCCCCAAGCTCAAGCTCGCCCTAGTCGCGTAATGGTGCCATTGACTTTCCGTCCAGCATGCCAAACCACTGAGGTCTACACCCGCGGGCACGGACTTTTTGGAAGCGTGGTCCATCGTCTCTGATCGGCGCCCTCCAGCCCTACTTGCACCTAGCCCGCATCAAGGAGCTTCTGCTGGAGCCCTCAGACCAAGCATGTACTAAGTATAATTTAGGCCTTCGCTCTCCAGCGCCGGCGCGTCTGTTCCTTTCCTGTTTCGCGCTTTCTCTGCATTTGAACCGTCAACTTGAGCTGACCTTCAACCACGATATCACTGCAGCGCTGGCGTCCACTGCACTGCTAGCGATCCTTGTTGGTGGTATAGCGACCCTCAGATTGAGTGGCTGCTCCTGAGAGGGTTGTGCCAGCAGCCAAAGCAGATGTCCGACGACCGCGAAGCCAGCATCCCACTTGCTGGAGGGAGATCGGAGAAAATCAATGATGCTCCATATTCACCCAGGCGTGATGATATGGAAAGAGATAACTCTGCTGCGACATTCGAGGAGTCAAGCCAGCAAGTGAGGAGGCAGACCACATGGGAGCAATTCGAGCAGAAATCGCTCCAAGCTGAAGCGAAGGAGAAGAGGATCAAGAGACATTGGTATCCGTCAGTACTTTCATTGGGAGGCGTAGAAAACGTACTGACCATTGCAGACTGCTTTTGTTGTCGATAGCCTTGAATTTCTTCCTATTGATATCCGTGTTTTACATGATTTATGACGCCGGTGTAAGTGCAGAGAGATACATATCGTGAACAATCTGACACGACAGCAGTACTACGGCGAAAGGAGACAAGGCTATATCGTTCGGGCAGCCGTGATAATCTTTCCACCCTTGTTCCCAGTCGCTGTCTTGCTGTTATGGCCCTGGGACAGCCATTGGACGAAGCAAAGGGATGCCTTCAGCGAGCGAAAGTCCTGTAAGTGCCCTGGCTTGACCCCCTTGTTCGACTAGCTGTATATGGAGGTCCGCTGTACTAACGTAGCACAGCACCCCGTTGGACATATATCGTCAACATCCTCAACGCCGCAGCCTGCTTCATCTTCACTCTCTGCTATCTATCCTTCAGCGCCATCCCCAAGTATAACACGCCCGTCTGGGAGACAGTGACCGACTTCCCTCAGAACATCGCGTTGCCGTCACTTGCATACCTAACTGCGGATGGGGCCACCGGCAGTGGGACTGAGAGTGTACAGTTTGTCGGGAGTCCCAACGGAAATGCCTCCACTCTCGGAGCGGCAGTGGTCACGTTCGATTACAGCACAGTTCTTACCACTCCCGGGACCTACTCCACTGAACGCATCGAAGACCTTGGGCCGATATGGCCGTACGGCATGACAGCGTCGATTGCCAACATCTCCAACGAGAAGCTCGACATCTCGTCTCCGCTGCAAACTTCCATCGTGATTGAGACGCAGCTTTCATGTGGGTGCTTTCCCGTCCAAAGACAGTGATAAAGCTGACCCTTGGGCCCAGATAATTCATCAACTCCTGCGCCCGGTGTCGGCACCACGCCCCCACTCATCGTCTTCATGGCCTATGATCATCGCCTCTCATTGAGAGAAGCGATGCTCTGTAGCGTCGTGCAGTCGTACGTCGTCTCAGCGTTCGCCTCCAATACCTTCACCCTCTCCGTCTCCCGCATCAGCGACCAGCAGCAGAAGATGTCTCCACCGGAACATCTCGATTCGCTCTGCGACCACGTGTATCAAGACCTCCTGCCCACCGCCGATCCGCCCATGGCCACATTCGAGCTCGCCCTCTCATCGAGCGTGACCAGTGCCCCGAACTTTGCTGAAGACTGCGATATCATCGCAAACTCGAGTGCGTCCTGCCGCAACACGGTACAGTTGATCTATGGCACGCAGTTCGTAAATATGCAGACAAGCGTGCCGGGCAAGTCAAAGCAGGATATCTGGATTGACTGTGGCGCTATTGTTGGCGCGGTCCAATTCTTTGCGTGGTTTATGTATGTCTTCTTCCAGCCTTGATAGCAGCCAATACCTGGCTTGGAGCGTGGCGCAGGTAGGGTAACTCAATTCAATGCCAACGTTTTCTGGCAAGATCAGTCGTTGCTTTCATCGCCTGATCTTTGCTCACTTGATCCGTGGCTCAGAGGGACTGGGTAGCCAAGAATCCTGGAAGTCCGCCGAGGAGGACCATATCCAACGCCGACCGTTGTTGATCCAGCAGCTCGACGCTGCCTTCCTCGCCCTAAGGGGAGGGCGTCTCTCTGAGTGGCGTCACGACCGCCAGCGCCAGCAACTCGGCAGTGCCAGGCGTCACGGCGTCGCTGCCAGGCGTCACGGCCGCGCTACCAGCGGTACCACTTCGAAGTATAAGACTCCAAGCGGCTCGTTTTCGATCGATACGCGGCATACGCAAGCAGAGTAGTGACAACTGAGCCTGTGTCTTGCGTAAGGCTTCGAGGCGTGTGACAACGACCCCGTGCTCGTTCGCAGACCTGACTACATGAACAACTACTAGCGGCCGACCAAATTGATGGGAGGGCGCCCTGAATCCACAGACCAGGCTGTTGGAATCATCTACAGGGGTCGAGAATATGAGCAGGCGGGCTCCTTATGTCACAGCACAGGCTTCAAAAAGTATCTACAAGGGTCGACGATATTGATGGGCGGCCTCCCAGTACTCACAGCAGATCGCATCCCAACGCCTTCGCTATAGATCTCGGAAGGCCCCCCCATCAAAAACAAAAGGCATGGTTCGACAAGCATTTTTCATTCTCTCTCAACTACTCGAGATGCTCTTATGGCTGTCCCCTATCCCAAATCCTCGGTCTGTAGTCGCAGCCTGAGAACATCAAGCACTCTCGCCGGCAATCTTCCTCGCCACCGCGGTCTTCGCCAACATCGCAAGCGTGTAGCCCTTGGCTACCTTCTCCTCGAACTCCTCCTTGGTCATCCAGTTGTCCAGATCGCGCGGCAGTCTGGTGTATGCAAGAGTGGGCTTGGGAACTTCCTCGTCTTCCGAGCTGTCGTCGCTGAAGATGTAGAACATCGGAGTGATCGTCTTCTTCTTCTTCTTCTTCTTCTGCTTGGCTGTGCCGCTCGCATCGCCAGAGATCTTCATGGCGCTCAACTTGTTGGCGGCGTCGGTGGTGGGAGTCACCTTTCTGCTGGCGAGGGAGATGTTGGGTGCGCTGTGGCTGCCTTGGTCTTTTGGTTCGCTCGACATGTCGGGAGGGGTTTCGTTGGTGAGGGTGAGAATTTGTGTGGTTTTGGATATCGGTGAAGTGCTGGGACTGCGATCGAGCTGCAAGATCACAACAGTGCTTTCCCAAGGTGTCTTGTCGGATGCACAGCTGACAGCAGAAGTTGTGGTGGCTTGGTGTGTAGTAGACGCTTGTGCGCCATTGTCGTCGCTGGCAGTCATGTTTGTCATGTCCGCGAAAGTGGAGAGAATCACCGCGGTGATTCAACAAGTTGTCTTTTTGTTGTTGTTGTTGCTGCTGCTGTTGTGCTGGGTGCGCAAGAAGTGCAGAGATTGTTGGTGCCTAATTGACTGACTGAGAGTATAGTGACAGTTGGGTGAATGCCACCCGTGATCGAACATCCACAAAGCATATTGCTGCTGACATCGGACGGGCTGTGGTCAGATACAACGACTGCCACGCTTAAAAATGTGATGCCCGGTGTCCACACGAGCCCTCGAACCTGGCACATGGAACGATAATACGCATCTGCTGCTCACAAAGCACCATTGCCTCCCTCTTCTAAGCTTTCCGCCATTTAGAGTGGTCCTCCGGGAAAAACCACATCCTCCTTTCCCTTAGCCTAGCGTCTATCCTAACTGCTTGACCTGCCTCGGTGGCACTGAAACCCTCGTCGTCCGTCTTGTGATGCGGCTGCTGCAGACTCCACGCCACCACCTTGCGCATGAATTGCTCCCGACGGTCTTGAGCGAGAGATTCTGACCTTAGCTCTGGGTAGCCGTCGTGCTCTCGGCGATGTATGCAAGCGTTGCAGATCCAGTGGGCTAGATGCAGTCGTCAGTATCGAAGCTTCGGCGAACCGATATAGGAGAGGAGGGGATATGAACTCACGAGCAGTAGCCATATTCTTCAACTCTTCCTTGGACAGGCATTGTAGATGATGCCAGCCACCCGGAACGTCGCAGGCTGGATCACGACATCGTGCCATCTCCATCTTGCTCGTGTGGCATGACTTCTTCCTACTCTTGCAGGAGCAAATTAGGACGATAGCCCTTCCTTTTCTTCTTGGAACTGGCCACTGCACTGGCTCGGAGTCGTCTGCAATGAAAGGGTCCTCGTCGCGGCTGGAATATCGTTCGATGATCTGCTCAACGTTGTTGAGGACGCGGAGGTATTGTTGTCCCGTGTCGCTGTGAATATCGTGGGCCGACCACGGCAGGACCTGCTGGCCATTGTGGAAAAGTGCGCCCGGTTCGATGCTTTTGTGGCCGTTGCGAGTTGTTCTGGAGGCATCTGTGGATTTGACGGGAGACTTTGTTGACGCAGTAGTCGGCGCCTTTGCCTCAACCTGTGTAGGCTTGTGATCAACATTAGCGACAGATGAATTTGGACTTTGCTGAAGGTCGAGTAATGGCGGCCGAGCGTCGTGCGGTGAAGACAGCTGCGGGCTTGTGAGGTCGATGACCACCGTTGGCGCGGGAGTCTTGGACACTGCTCGCAGCAGACCTTTGCCTCTAGGGAAGTGACTGGCTAACGAGTCTAGTCTTTGGATAACAGCATCGGCAGCTTCTAACTCAGGCACTGGCGAAGCGGAAAAGTTTCGCTGACGAGCACCGTCCTCAAGCTTCTCATCGTCGCTCTCGAGTATCTCCCAGATGCGCCTCTTGCGGTGAGACCGCTTCGACATTGGAAGCGGTGGAAAGGACAAGCCGAGAGTCGGATACTTGATATGGCAAGCAGAAACGTGACTAGGGGATGTCTGTGAGCGAAGTATGCTCGAATGCCGCGTCAAGGTTGGATGATGTGCATCTGAGGATATGGAAGAGTCGTTTGGCAGTTCGATCAGTGTAGGGTGAGCATTACGCAAGGATAAGTCGAAACGTAGCGACAACTTTTGTGCTGGATAGTCAGATTGAGAGATGAACCGATGCCACTGCAAGGGTGTTGCTTGAAGCAAGTGGGCCAAGTCTTCAACTGCCTTTTCGGCTGGAGGCAGTCGACGGCAGTATAGGTGACAATAAAGACAACAGCCGGGCTGGAGATCTCGACTAAATATGCCGAGTATTGATGATGAATGGGGGCTAGCCATGGACTGCTTCTAGCAGATTGGGAGAATGTTGTGTGGCATGGATTGAGATGAATGGTTGCTCACTCCAGCGAAAGAGGTCAACAACAGGTTGAGCAGAGAGTAATCGTGAGCTGTCTACGGCACAGATAGATGATTGGCCAATTTATTCGCTTGTGACGGCCAGATTCTGGGTCAGTCGATGTGAGGACGCCTTCATAAGGCAATTAGAATTAGTCTCGTTTTGGTTGGTAGGTTTGTACTCGAGGTCTAACTTGACGACATGAAATCTGATCCCATTGCCCTCCTTGTGCCAGCACTCGAACATTGCCTTGCATTGGTATTGAAGCTCATTCTTACACGCTCAGTAAGCTGGTGTTAACAAGACCAAGTACCTCCGCATCCATCTATAAGAAGCAGTTTGAGCAAAGTTCTCACGACTTGCCAACGTACGCTCTCACATGTGAGCCCAAGCCATGTTCACTGTGGCCTGTGTCAGATGAATGTCAGATGATCCGCCATACTATGGCTTCGCCTCGCCATCTATCAGCCCATGGATATCACATGAATCAACGTTACGACGCAGGTGCTCACTCCTCTTCTGCCACGGTATTCCCACGCATTGCCATCTCTGAGTCAAGACCGTTCAGCTTCTCGCTACCCGATGTCAACATGAGCGCGGGCGCGAGCCCACAGATTACGGATGCGGCCATGGGGGCTGCACCGTCGTCGGCCCTGATATCCTCGTGCGCCGGGGATACTGGGGCTGCCGCTGTTGCTGTCGGGTCCAAATGTGGGGGGGCAAATCCGCAAGGCTTAGCGAGTTCAGGAGTTGCCGACCACAGTAGAGGTCGACAAAAATCGACGGAGGGACTCCTGAAACTCCCAACACAGGCTTTACAGCAGTCGACACATATCCACAAAAGTGGCAGGCGGGCTTCCTGAACCCATAGGTAATCAGTTGCGAAGAGTGGGACGCGAAGAGCATCTGTCTTTCCATTCAAGTCTAGTAGTGCTATACGACCAGATTGGGCCGCTCCAAACTACAGGAGGCCTCTCTAGTCTCGTATGTGGTCTTCTTCCGAGCTCAAACCCCAAGGCTCGTTTGTGGTATGGGTATCTCTTATCCTGGCTCGCATCCAGCCGTAGCATATCCCTCAGTCCAGATCGACTTCTACGGAGTGCTGACCGAAGACCAGCTCGACCTTGTTCGCCACGGTATCGATGACGGCGATCTATGAATGCATTAGTCTTGGGTTATTCGGAGCAGAGAGGCTTGAACTTACACCGCACATGTATGGCATCTCATCGTCCTCAACCGGTGCGATAAGCCCCTCCAGACTCTCTCCCTTTAGAGCAGGCCACGTCACCCACAAGTCGCTGTAGAGATTGAAGTTGACAGCGAGCAACACACGGACTTGGGCTGGATGGAGGATATGCATAGCTTGTTGAAAGTCGCGAAGTCTGGCAGCTGAAACACCGGACAAGAAATCCTTCGCCGCTAGCTCGTCTTTGAAGAAATTGGCGTTGACGAGGCCGTTGAAACCGGGAGTTCGACGGTCTTTGGGCAGGTCTAGGAGGGATGGTCCTGTGATAGTCATGTGGAAACCGTTGGGCGGGGCTTCTAGAACAGTAGAGGTCAGTAAAGATACATATCGGAGTCGAGTTGCAGGAGAGCTTACCGATCGTGAGTGTCTTGAGTTGTTGGAAGATAGCCACGATCCGCACAACATGAAAAGCTGGGTTGACGACAGACCAAGCCTGGAAGCTTACGTGCTTGATCATGGAGTAGTTGATCTTCTCACTGTGCAAAAACCAGCCCCAGGGTAGCTGGCCGTAGCCAATGTCGATGGTAACGAGGCCGTGGTACAAGGGCATGGCTTCATGACGGGTCTTCTTGCAAGCTTGCAAGATACCGGAAATCTTGTCGTCGTCGATGCACAAGAATTTCCCATCGCCAACGAGTTGGACGTATTCAAAACCACCTTCGAAAACATACTTGTAGATCTCTCTGCGCAACTCGGAGTCAAACAGGTTCGTGAACCAGCTCTGCTGCCACGAACGCTGGAGTTGCAGAGCGTTGTAGGCGGCGTCTGGATCCTCGGTGACGTGTGGATAGGCGGTGGCGATTCTGGAGGGAAGATCTGGGTTGTCTGAGTATGCAGCGAGCATCAAACTACCGGGACCGGGGTGGAAGCTGGTCTGGGGAGCGTCAGGTCGCTGGGCATTTGGGTTGTGGGTAGGAGTCTGCTTGGTTCGACCCATGTTGAAGGAACTTGAGCGTGATGAGGGAAGCAAGGTAGTGGTAGGGGTAAGGTGGAAGACGTGGTGGCTGCAGAACAAAAAGCGCAGTTTTGATTGCTCAGGTTGTGCGATACAAGACTGATAACGTCCGGAAAGGACTAGCGTGTGAATGGCTGCCTTCTTCCGGTTGCCTAGTTGCTGTGAGGGCGGCGTGTGAATAGCAACCCTCCATGAATGGCATGAATGAGGATGCCAAGGCGCTAAAGCCCTTCACACTCACTCCCCCAGACAATGCACAAGAACTTCCCAGACTCATTCATGTTCCCTCTCTGAAGAGGCTGAACAAGACAGGGTCCCTCGTACGATACCCCTGAGTGCGGTAAGCAGTGAAGCTCGGACGAGGAATGGCCGATGCGAGTGGCAAAGCGAAATACCGAGGGTGTGTTCGCAGCTGAGTTCATCTGAGTCGTCAATCAGAAAGAGTGATGGTGCCATATGGTATGCATCCTGTCACAGGGAGCAAAAATTTCCAACATCATTGCAAGACTGAGCGGCAATGGATTAGGTCTCTCCAGATCCAGTCTTTCATTCGGCAATGCTCGATGGCTTCCAAGCCAAGGCTCAGGTTCTACCTGAATCCACTGAAAGCTGTTAAGTTGCTCGTTGCACCACCTCTGGAATGCATTCAGGGTTTGGTATTGCCTTTCTTACCCTTCTTCTTACCTCCACTGGGACCCGAGGACTTCTGCTTCTTGGCTTGCGATAGCACAGGCTCTGAAACGGAAGGCTTTGCAGGAAGGTTCGGATTGGATCCCTTCCGTGTAGGCAGAGCTACTGAGTCAAAACTTGGGTTACGAGAACTCTGAGAACGACTGTTGGATGCACCAGGCCCGCCCTTCGTTGGTGGGCGCTCATCTGGCCGATATGAATCAATGGACTTGGTGCCTCGCGGCGGGGAACGAGGACGTATCTGAGGGTGACCATCAAAGCGGCGTGGCGAATTGGGATGACGATTGTCAGGTCGCCACTGATCACCCCCGGAAGCACGTGGGGAACGAGAGCGCCGACGCCCGAAGGAGTCGGTTCCATACCAATCTCCACGCCCACGTCCTTGACTATCGCGATCATCAAAGGCATTGTAGCGCTCATGACGACTGGCTTCGTTGGTGCGATTAGCAGCACCGCCGAAGCGCATCTGTGGAGCTGCCTTTGAAGCATTGCCACGTCGGACCGGGGCTCGAAAGAACTCGTCTTCCTCATCGGAGATAGCCATCTTGTCGCTGCGACTAGCATGATGAATGCCTGCACGACCCTTAATCTGAAGGCCAGCTGGACGCATGTTGCGATTCTCGGCTTCAATCTCTCGGCTCTTTGCACCAGTTTCGAGGTTCATGTTGATATATTCGCCGGACGCAAGCGACTTGAGGGACCATCTCGAAGCTGCAGAGCGGTCCGCATCCGGACAGTCGCCGACAAGGTGCCCCTTGGAGGCGCAGATACAACACGAGATCCACAATCGGACAGGTCCACCCTCAGCGAGTTTGAGAGACGTGCTCGGGAAGAAACGCTGAGGGCAAGCTTCCTCAGTATGAGCCAGCCCACCACATAGATCACAGGGCACTGTTGTGACCCTCAGCCCGGACTGGCAACCGTCGCGGTTGTGACCAGGCTCACGACATTTTGAGCATCTGGCCATGGTTGGACAGCGTCTTGTAGGATGGCTAGGCTCCTGGTTGCATTTGCGACACTGGTTCTCCGGACATTCAGCGGCCATGTGACCCTGCTTCAAGCAGAAGAGACAGGACACGGCTCGGTTAAGATCGATCTGACTCCGGTCTAGGTTGAATAGGGCATACTTTATCTGCAGCTCCAACTGCTCTCCGTTCAGATCCTCGAGCTTCAACCTCGTAGACGTCGCGTCTTGGGTCGGAGAGGACACGTGCATATCGCCCTGGTGAGAGCTGACCTCGCCTTCATCACGACTGTCTGAATCATCAAGTTGTTCATCGTCGCGGACATCCTTGTCTATATTCACAATCATACCACCATCTTCAGACTCTACCATAGACTCGTCCGATGACGAAATCTCAATGGGCTCGTCGTTCGCAGTGCTCTCCGCTTCGTCATGTCCGCCTGGACGTACGTCGTCCAGTGCGGTCTGTGCACTTGGAAGAGGTCGAGGGGCACTAAAACCGGTGGCAAGGCGGTTCTTGCCTAGCTTGACGTCCATATCGGAGGAGTTGACATCAGAAGAACGGTCTTCATCTGAATGCAAATGATCTTGCGGGTTAGCAGGGTCAAGGTACTCGGCGGACCGAGAGGCTGTTCCGCCCAATGGAACAAAGTCGCGAGTATCCTCGACACGCTTCTGTCTGCGTCTGGTTTTCCTAGAGCCTGTACTGTGAGGAGAAGAGTTCGCAGTTGAACTTGCATGACTTTTGTGTGGAGCACTGAAGGCAGCAGTACGCGAGTCGTCGTCCGACTCACCTTCACTACGCGTGTCCTCCATTTGATACACGGAGCTCAGGAATGAGTGAAGGACAAGTGAAGTTGAATTCATGTTGCGATTCCGAAAAGTGCAGAGGCGACGAGGCTGAAAGATGCTCCGCATCGAACTTGCAAGGCTGACCAATTAACACGAGTTGACGTAGGTGCGCAGGTTACTACCATGCTGTTTGGCTCAGCACCACCCTGTCTCACAACCCATGTGGCTCGATATACACAACTTCATTGATACCCTTGTTGCATGCCATTCTTCTCCCCTTCTGCCTGCGCATCCAGCTGTCTTATTTTGCAACCATTTTGACCCTTTTGAACCCGGTCACTACCCCTGCATCTGGCCACGCGAGCCCTCCAGACCCTCTGATTTTGTGAGCATCCCCCAGAAATGTACCACCAGCCCAAGCGCGGTGTGCTGACAGAGTTCGCAGAGACCCCGATCCGCAGGTTTCGAGACCTATGTCCCAAATCACTCTCCAGAGAACGATCTCCTTCACAGCCGATGCCAAAGACCCAGCAGCCGAGTCGACATCTTACAACGCCAACATGAGCTCAGCGAAAACTGGACGCCGGAGGAGATCTAGCAGCATCATATACCAGGAGCCGGCAGAGTCACAAGAACAGCTTGCAGATCAGTCAGCACTGCCCAACTTGAACTCACAATGGGTCAACGCAAAAGGTGCGTAGCCTTATTTCCGCTCGGAAGACACCGGCTGACTTTTTGCTAGGAGCGTGGACTATTCATCCCGTCCTCATTATCGGGCTAAAGATCCTGTTTGATGTCATTCCCGGCGTGACGCAAGAGCTCTCATGGACGTTAACGAACATTACCTACATGGCTGGCTCTTACCTCATGTTCCACTACGTTCGAGGCGTACCATTCGAATTCAACGCCGGAGCATACGACAACCTCAACATGTGGGAGCAGATCGATAACGGTGACCAGTACACGCCGGCCAAGAAGTTCCTGTTGTCAGTGCCGATAGGGCTTTTTCTGTTGAGCACCCACTATACCCACTACGACCTGACGTACTTTATTGTGAATTTTATGGCGTTGATGGCGGTTGTCATTCCAAAGCTGCCACAGTTTCATCGGATGCGCATCGGTATATTTACTCAACCAGAAGAATGATCGGGCGATTAAATCAAGACGGTCAATCGGTTCATGGAATTTGACCAATGCCCAGCAGTGGACATCATGTGTTATTAGCAGGCTAGGATTTGAATAAAAAATTCCGCGACTTCAACTTCCACGTTCGTCACCGTTCTGCACGTCCGATGTCGTGCACACCCCGTAACGCTCGATGCCTTCAGCTGAAAGCCGTAAGGGTACTCCCACCATTTCTATGCTCATGACGCCTTCGCAGCACCCATCCTCTGCGCACCTGGAGGATGCCTCTATAGCACGACAAGCCAAGAGTCTCTGCCCTAACGGCGGAGACCCCTCGCTGACGCGTCAAGTCCGCTCGGTCCGGGCCACGTCGCTATGTCCGGCTTCCGTAGGCACAACTTGCACAAGGCAACCTCCAAAACGCGAAGCTATGATTGGTCAAAGTCCAAGTCGAACCCCTCAGCCTCGCCCCTGCCAAGCGTTTGCCTTGCATACCCAAACCACGCGCTCTGCGTTCGGCTTTGATGGCTCAGGCCAGATGCATGTTCGGTGCACTGATGACGAGCCAAGCTTATTCTCAAGCCTGTCTGACTCCGACAGCGGCAAGTGGCCTGCCCCTTCTCAGGCTGGCCAGGGTCGTTAATTCTGGGAAGGAGGCTAGGGCAGACCAGCAGATGACACACCTCCGTACATTATATAAACGAGGACAGATGTCTTGGACTCAATAAGTGTACCCTTGTAGTGTTGTCCAGTGCTTTTGAAGTGCTACGGCCTCGGTCGGTGCTGGTTTATGCATCATCTCAGGTTTTCTATAGAGGGCGGTGTCATCCGAATACCTTTCTCGGTGTCCTGCAAAAGGATGTGTCATTCATGGACTACTGGTTACACAGTTATAGACGTGATCTTCAACACGTATAAATGGGACCTCGTCTTCTCTTTCAAGATCCTGGAGCCTCGATCTCGGTGTAGATGCTGGCAATGGCCATAGACCGGATGGTCTTGGTCCTCATGATGACGAGGAATGCTACCGTACAGTCGAAGTTATCAAGAGCGTCCTATACCACATTTTAAAATCCTGGCGGAGCCCATGTGCTAGACTCGGTTGATGCCCGCTCTAGCATCTTCAAGCAGATTTCCTCACCTTGCAGCTCAATAAGCAGCATATTCGTGGGTACGTTCAGGCTGGTGTTCTGTCCTGGATCAGAATATTGTCACGATTGCCGAGACCAGACAAGGCAACGAGGCGCTACAGCCCTCTACTGCCAAGGACTCCGAGGTCTCAGGGGTCAAGACACTTGGCACACAATCTCCCACGCAACTCGCGTGGAAGATTGTGTTGGTTCTGGACTTGCTCCTGCAAGTACTGAATCGTTGTACATAGAGAATCACAGTTGACACCTATTTGTTCCGAAGCTCCTCTCACACTATCCCGAGTGACTCTTACAAAGATCTTTCAATAGGGCTCGGAGGCAAATAATCTAACCACCTCGATGTAAGCTTCGAATCCATTCCCATATCGACCGTCATAAGTGCACTCAAGTCCAACGCAGTGCGACAAGTCAGCGGAAAAAGGTCGCAGCTTAATATTGATATCTATTGGCAGGGTACCGCAAGCCTGCGCTGTAAGCTCCGCCGCTGCCTTCTGTAACAGTTATCCGTAAAGCGAACCGTAATTGGTCATCGTCACAAGTGCTCTTTGAATCTCGGGAGAATGTAAAACAGCATGCGCCATGTACCTGCCCTTGACTAGGCCGGACAGCTCTCCGTTAGGTAGTCGCCGGCTTGTATTTCTATTTGCTGTCAAGATGCAATGTCTCATGTCGGGGAAGAGACGTAATATATTGATCCGCGTAGGCCAAGGTTGTGCGGTATGGCCACCTCGAAACGCTGTACTCGACGGGCTGCAAATGCTCCGGTAGTTGGAAGCGCGGGAAATGGATTCCTAGTGTGCTTGTGAAGATCCACGGTAACTAGTCGCCGAAGAACTGGCATGGCTTCGATCCGATACCGTCGAGATGTGGAGATGATGGCAAACTGGTGCTCAATTCTGGATCTGTTGACTTTGGGAGCCAACCGGATCGTTGTTCCAGAGGACACCTCGAATTTGATAGTTTGGTTCTTGAAGAGCTCCTCGTAGATTCTAATTCGCATCTCGGCAGGTATACGGGCGAAGGGCGACGACCGCTTCGTCTTGAATATTATCTTACCCTTGACAGGTGCTTACAATTTGTGCGGGACGTATACTGAATAAAGGACGATCACGATGTAGGCAATAAGCGAACCCGCAAGTTCCAGGATTTTGGTTATGTCCATTGTGACTGTAGACGTTTTCGTGGGAAAGAGTGTCAGCGAATCGTACGGTATGTAATCGGGGCTGAAATAAGATGGGATACATTTATCCGTCAGTTGTCCAATGCGTAAGTATGAATGCACGATAGATTCAGCTCACGCAGAGAGTGCAAAGCCAACGGGATGAGAACGAGTATCAGTGCCAGCAGCGGACGCAGAGGCTGCTGCCCGCCCAGGACATCGAAACCGCTCAATCAGCAGCTTCGATCCCAAAGTTCTTGCTGCAGTGAGTTCTCACTGCAAGCGACACCGGTTGAGTCCTCGACCTGGGTGCGAGCTGGTTTGCTCCGGTGCTGTCGCTAAAGGTGAACAACACTATGCTTAGGGCGTACCACAATCTTCTACAGGTGTCGTCAATGCGATCCTGCACACGGAGTGGACTCTCGACTTCGATGCAAAACATAGCCCCAATCCTCCGTCCCAATGTAGGTGGTTGGTCGCTTGGGAGACGATGTCGCCTGTCGACATGAACCTCGACTGGTTGCAAGGACTTAGTACTAGCCCTTCATTAGCGCTTAGCCTCATCACACTCGAACAGTAGCCGTTCCGCCCCAATTTCGAACCACAGCCTCTTGACGAAACCACTGCTCGCGGTACCTCTTCTAACCTCAACGACCAGGATGCCCAGCTCTCGCTGCACGCCGCTGCCACAACCCAAACCCATACCTCTGACGGTTGCGAAGATCTTCATCCTGATCTGCACCCTTGCCCGAAGCCACCACTCCTCCATCCCAGCATCCGCCGTAGGTGAAGCCTCCTCCACCCAGGCGACAACCTCTCCCATCGGCCCTTCGCCCCTACTCATTCGATCGCTTACGATAAAGGCAATCATCTCTCCAGGCTTCCCTCTCAGACTTCCGAAATGCCATGGCCCCTCAGCCAGCTCATACTGCTCGCCGATCGAACACTTTATTCTCACATCTCTCGCAACCGGAAACGTCTTCGCCACTTCCAGGAATGAGGTCTGGTTCATCCAGGCTCTGTGGGCCTCAATCTCTATGAGCTGCAATTTCGTGGTGTCGAACAACAGCCCGATGCCATCGTATCTAACGGCCGTTGGCTGGTAGCAGATCCGGGCTGGAGGCACTGTGCCTGCGTCGGTGACTCGACCTCTATGGCGCAAACTTGAGCCCGAGAGCTCTCCCAAACGCCTCAGTAGCTTCAGCCCATCGAGCATCTCGACTCGGCACAAACGCCAGAAAAGGGGCAATGCTTCGGCACGGAGAAGGCGGGACACGGTCGCCACCGCGACAACGCCAAGGTGAGCATGTGGATGATGGACGCCGATGGGAATCCAGGACTGAAGAGGTAGTGTGCTTTGATGGAAGAGGTGATGGTAGATCTGAGTGCGGATTTCTGAGGGTAGAGAGAGGAGCGACGCTGGTCGGAGCGAGTGTACTGGAGGTGATGGCCGGAGATCTGATGGTGGAAAGGAGGAGGAGGATACGAGGAGGCTTTTCGATGAAAGTGGTTGGGCGAGTAGCATCTTTTGGCAATGAGCATCATCTTCGCAGGAGGAAGTGGAGGAGGCCAATTGAGCGGTTGGCGCATGTATTGGTGATGGATACATGTGCACCTCGGTCAAGAGATCGTGCCGAAACCAGCGACGAAGGTGGCCAACAGGCTGTTCAGCGATCTCAGAGTGTAATGTTTTCGCTGGATATGGCTGGCGTCTCAAGTTGAGTCTCCGACTGCGAGCAAGTCTTCCGCATGATAGTCAAATCCTGCTCTTCCGCCAAGATGGCATTTGTGACAGCATCTGCTCAATCGGATAGAGCCTTCTCGGTCATCGGTCACCGGAGCCGCAAGGTTAGTAGATAGGGTACACCATGGGATATGTATGCCGCTGGTTGATCTTGTCAATCAACATTTTTGGGCTTATGGACCTCATGTCGGATTGTCCGGCAACATATCCGCTTACTCACGGGTCATCGATCATGCGCCAGTCTCGCCACCTCATCTGACAGATCACGAGCAAGAGCAGGCGTCCACGTAACCTCCACAGCTTTCGGTCATACGAAAATGATCGATACAGCGCTGATAAGATCACGGAGCGGTTGAGATTGACGGTCATGTTTAATACAAGGACCCGCGATACGCGACGTCTTGAAATGGATGCCTGACCGCCAGGAGGCTCACGCCCTTCTCTCGCGAACGGGTCGGTAGAGAATAAGCAAGTGAACGGCTGGGGTTGAGAAAAGTACAATATTATTCGTGGACAAGCCATGGTTTCTCGCTTCTGTAGTGACTACTTACCAGGTACTAATGGCCGTGTCTAGTCTGACACACCCGCTTCGCTCGCTGCCAAAAGTGCCCGGAAGGTGCTGTAATGATCACCGGCTAAAGTAGCGGTGCAAAGTCGTCCGGCATTCGCTCGCTATCACCAGTTGATCCTTCGATCGGTGGTCAGCTGACTGTTATCCCAAGCCCCGAACTTGTCCTCCACGCCGTGCCTGTCTTTTTGAAGGCTAGAGCCAGAGTCAGAGCACTCACTGTTCCAGGCGCCCACGCCGCCATTGATTTCCATCATTTCCTGACCGGCTCCAGGAGGCATGGCTTCCATTTGGCTCTGAGGTTGTCTATTGCCGGCCCAAGAGTCAGACTTCCACGCTTCTGCATCCGAGTGACCTAATTGGGCACTAGGTGGAGGGCCATCGGGAGCCGAGTACACAATATCCCGCTTGACGGTCTCGACGAGAGACTTTGCCTTGTCCTCACGCACATAAACCAAGAAGTAGGGGTTCGGAGTACCAGATGTCCCGTCAGGTTTGCCGAACAATTCATTGAGGTCACTAACAACATTGACATGATCGTCGTTGTAACGACGCCAACATTCTTTCACATGGTCGAAGATGTAGACCCAGTAGTGGCCTCCAGTTGCGCCGCCGCGATGGAAGAAAGCAGCGTGTAGACGGTACGGGTGCTCACGCATATCGGCGAACGACTCCTTCAACTGTTGCTCAATATACGCAATCCGCGTATTCACGGACTTGAGCTCAACCGCCAGATCATCTGCAAGCGCCCCCAGTGCTACGGCGATCGTTGGATCGAGTAGCCGTTCCAGATCTTCGTCGGAGTCTGAGTCTGGAGAGGTGAAGTCGGGATTGGTCTGCAAGTATTCCAGCGCCAACTTTGCATCTGCAAACAACGTAGGCAGATCACGCCCATTGGCAACCTTGGTCTCCAGCTTGTCGCGACGATCGATGAGTCCTGCAAGTTCTGACTTCATGGCCCAACTCTGCTTACGGCGCTCCATGAGATTAGAGTTCGGTTCAGCTTCGAGATACCGATCTAAGTAGATCCTTTCGGGAATTTGGACGTGATCATCTTGCTTCATTGGCCTCTTAGCAGTCTTGTCCCAAGCTACTCGGTCAAGAGCCATACTGAAGATTGGTGGTAGCCTTGAGATCGAGATGAATGCCTTTGAGCCACCCTCACGTTCTGTGAGATCTAGTTCACTGTCAAGGGCATCATAAACATCCTTGGGCTTGTTGGCAACACGAGTGATGATGTTATTGAACTGAATTGGCGCAGGAGCCTCCTTCTCAGGAACCGTGTGGATGACATTTTGTCCAAAGAAGGTATCGTGTACTTCATCGAGTTGTTCGCCGGAGGCATCGACGCCTGTACCACGAATAGCGCAAGAAAATTGAAAAAGACAGTGCGCTATCACTTCAGTCACGTCTTGTTGTCGGGCATACTCTTCGAGAATGTCGGTGGTGGGCTCGGCTGGTTTCCGAGGTGGGACTGGAGGCGGTTTGCCAGGCGGAGGAGCATACTTCGGTGTGGCTTCAATAGGCTCCACGGTATCTGTATATGGTTCTCTGTCCTTTTGATGTTTGGCTAATGCTCCGGCTTGTGAATTGACTTTGGAGGGCGATGCGGGCGCCAGCGGTTCGGGATGCTCCCCTTCGAGGTCTCCATGCTTCGGAGATTCATCCAGCTTCGTTGGCGACAGGTTCTCCTTGTTGTCCAATAACTCTTTCTGTTGCTCCACCGTAACTGGAGTTCCTGGGGTTGCGGGCCTTGATACAAGGGTCGCCTCGCTAGAATTGTCGCTCTTGTCATACTGAAGAGAAGAGTCGCTGTTCTGATTTGGGTCATCGACTTGCATCGCAGTTGGCTCTTCTTGAGCAGGAGATTCCATTACGGTAGAATCTTCCATCACAGGAGCTTGTTTTTGGTCAGGATTTGGCTGGGGACCGAACACTGGTTGGCTGTCGAGATGGCCCAAGCTAGGGCGATCACTCATCAGAGTGGATCTTCGCCGCATCCTCTCTTGAGCCCCATGCGTTTCCAGAGTGAGACGCGCCAACTCCTTTGCTGGTTTGATGGTGGAGCTTGAGGACTCGATCATGCCTCGAAAGAGTTGACCAAGATTGTTGACAAAGTCTTGCGCAGTCTGGACCTCACGTCTGGTGACTTGACGTTGCCCAACTTTTTTGTTGGCCATCTTTGCATCCGTGATATCCATCTTGAACTGGTCGAAGTCAAGGACGATTCTCCGAAGCTCGGCCACGGTAAAGAGAAACTGGAGCAGACTATTGAGGTAACAGGTGTTGCCAATATTGTCGAGACCAACAGGTTCGTCATCTCGACCGACCACTTCTTGTGTTGGACGGGCAGTCCCTTGGAGTAGGTCTCTCAAGACAAAGCTGTTCCGTTGGATGGCAATGGCCTCCAATGCCTTCGCATAGTACTCTCGATTTTCAGGCTGTTCCATAATATTGAATTCATAGCTGACCTTCACCGTCTCGTCGTCAACGTCTTCGTTCAAACTGAGCGCCTGGTAGCCTTCGGGTGCCAACATATTGAGGTCGCCGGAGAAATTAGAGTTGATCCACCTGTTGAGAAGGATACTGTTGCGGTTTTGAGCGATCAGGCGAACAGCTTTTTTGGCTTGCTCTTCCATGGCTTTGTTCTCCACAATCTACATTACGTTAATGACACGCCAAGGCAAACGCGAAGTTGCGTATGGAGGCCAACATACCTTGGAAGTGAAGAGAGCTTGAATGTAATCATCTGAAACAGCGGGATCGGCACCTAGGAATTGCAGCGCTTGCTCGTGTGTGTTCATGACTGCTAATTGTCAGATATCAACCTACCCCTTACCAGGAGAATAGGGGCTTACCATTGTCGGCAATAGCGAGGATCTTGTGGCTCCGACGCCATGCCCCGACAATGCGCAGGCTTTGTCGGAGTTCACTTTCATGCGCCGGCATATCCATTGCCCTTGATTGAAACATACCAATGATGTTGTCGTCGTCAAGTGTATCATGTCTCGAGATACCGAACGACGAGAAAGCCTGCTCAAGAGCCTTCGCAGAGAAGCGACCCATCGACTCTTCCATGCTGACCTCCGTTTGCAGGATCTCACTCCTCCTCTCGAGTGCGATGTCGCGCAAGAACTCGAAATAATAAGGTACGTTGCTTTCGTCGTTGGCGACTTGACGCTGATATGCATACTGAATAAGCCTGTCGGCCGCATCTGGAACGATTCCCAGGCCAACATACGCAGCGGGACGCTGAGAGGGATCGGCCTTGTTAGTACGGCTGAACATAGCTGTCTCATAATCTTGAGCCGAACAAAGTCGCTGGAGATCTCGAGTTGCCAATGGACCAGCACGCAGGTCATTAAGATTTTGGAGCTCTTCCGCCGGACGGCTAAGCATCAATGCTAGCAGCTCATGCTCTACATCATCCAGAAAGAGATTGACAGGATCTTGTAGGGGACTGGAGTCGGTGAAATCTGGTTCGGGCACTTGCCAGCAGTTGTTGGCAACATCCCTCTGAAAGCGCAACGTTTCGAGCACTTCTTTACATGCATCGCCGTTCGGTCCAAAGCGGACCATGAACCGCTTATTTGTCATGTTAATGGCTCTCCGCGCCTGGCCCTTATTCCAGGCATTGGAGATGTACACCCGAAGATCGCTGAGGACATCGATAATGGTAGGCTGCTTCATGCCTTGGGTGTTACCCTCATTTGCCTTGAATGCGGCCTCGGATCGCTGTCTCAGGATTTCCCGATCAGTCAAGGTGTGGACAACGTCGTCTTGAAGCACCGGAGGGGTATATCGGACAGTCAGTCTGGCAGAGCAGCCTTTTGCGGAACATTGGAAAACCGTGATTTCTGCTGGACTACCCAACATCCTCTCTTCCCAAACGCGCCTCGCGGCAGCTTCCTTCCATTGCGCTCGAACGAAGTGGTGCAGTGGATTTTCGGTATTAGGACATGGGGATGGCTGCCATCCATCCGAGTAGTCTATGTTGAGGTTCAGGTGTGTCCGACACTTTCCGCAGACCGCTGCAACGGACCATTTTGTATGCGAGTCCGGCAGCTCATCAAGTGCTGGCAAGTCTGACTGTCGCGGCTTTGTCCAGAACACATGGCGACAATTATGGGGATGAAGGAAAGCGCTTAGGGTCTGGCCCCGAGAGAAGCTGAGGACATTGTCCCGGATGAGATTGAAGCCTGGAGGAGACGGCCGATCAAGATTGTGGAGGGTCAGGTCTTCGAGAAGCGTGGGCGCACATCGGCCTGAAGCAACGGTCAACATCATGGCCTCTATCTATGGGACTGGTCAGGCATACCCGGGCCCTTTAACTGATGGAACGATGTCATATGCGCCTGAACGCCGGCCATGCAAGGCAAGTCGCGGAGTGAGGAACTGGGGGGCGGACAAGCCGCGTACGGCGGCTCCTGCTGGTTCGTATAGGGTCGGCAAGGGCGAGCAGCATCTAGGGAAGCTGCGAGAAAGATGAGCTATGTTGTAAATGAATGGATTTGCAGGCAGCGGGATTTACAAGGCAGTGAAGGTAGACCAAGGCGGATAAAGTGGCGAGGAATAAGGGACTAAGGACAGGGTGTGAGCAGTATTACATGATCATCAATATAGACAAAGACTGAGAAGAGGCTGAGGGAGAGGCGTCGTCATGCGTGTCGCCTCATCCCAAGGATTTGAATTGAGCCCGTGAATGCTGAAGCCTTGAAGTGTCAATCTCGAGGCAGCTGCGGACGAGTCGTCATTGGGAGCACCTGCACCTGCACCTGCCACGCGCCTGGGCAAGCGCGAGACCAGCTAACTGACCATGCCAAGCCCGGCTAAACCGCAATTGCGGAGACTCATTCAACCGCAAGCTTGCACCACTACTGACATACAGCTTCTTCAATCGCAAGCACAATCGCACATACTACCCCAGCCGACCTCAGCGAGGGCAAGGGTCGAACATTGATGATCTGAGCTCCGACAAGTCCCTCCTTGCGCGCGATCGAGTTGCCATGGCCGACCCGACGGAGCTGGTCAGTGGTCCTGAAGAGGAGGTCACATTTGAACCCAAAGATGTCATTAGCAGGACGGTGGAAGTCTCGCTGACAACTGGTGCGGCTGGTCTATTTCTCTCCACTGTGCAAAATACCCTGTCTAGACAACAAGTCGGCGTTTTTGGCGTGTTCTCGAGGTACGGTGGAACGACTGTTTGGGCCAGTATGCATTACCTAGTTCCCGCGGACGAGCAGTTTGCTAACATTCAGACAGCTGGAGCTGGAGCATCGTATGCCTTTATTAGCACAGCTTCCGGTAACCTAAGGGAGAAGGAGGACTTCTGGAACCACTTCTACGGTGGTGCCGCTACAGGTGCCTTACTGGGTCTGCGTCGTAAGTCGATCTACGAGAACGATAATGCAAACGCTGATTTTGTTCAAGGCCGCACATTTCCTTCTGTCATCGGAACCGCACTCTTCGCTGGTGCTGTTATGGGTGGGCTTTCGTTTGCAGGTGGCCAGGTCTATGCGACGGGTGAGACTCCCGAGGAGCGTATTGCACGGAAAGAAGAGCATCGACGAAGATTCAGACGACCATACCAGGAGATGGTCAACGAGATTGGTGAGGGCAGAGGTATGCCAGCTTCAACCTTGTCACTGTAACATCACTAATTATCACAGGCATCTACCCCCCAGGCTACAATGAGCGCCGCGCGCAGCGAATTTCAGACAACTACGGTATCGAAGTTCAGCCTCCATACTATGAACGCAAGAAGCAGGCTGGAATAGAAACGAGTGCTATCTGAAACGCGTGGCCAGATCAGAAGCAGGACGAAATGTAAATACCAAATCAAGATCGATCACTCGCGAGGCTGTCAAAGCTTCGTCAATACGCACATCGACGAAGCCAGTTTTGCCAGAAGTGTTTGCCATTGTGCTGACTACGCCAATTGCATGGGGAAAGCATGTCACCTGACAGCTCAACAGCATCAGTAAGAGTGCCGTTCCGGGGAGACTCTGAAAATAGCGGTTATTTTTCCCGCTCGCTAGAATTGCGTGCGCATATATCTACCTGTAGACATCTACCTACAATAGTACGACAAGAATACACATTGGCTACCTACGCCGAGATGACTGGCCGGAAAGCCGGAACATGCCACAAGCAGTTGTGGCGGCGAGGCTAGGCTGTCGAGCCCGCAAGATAGCGTCAGCCAGGTCTCTGACACAGCGATGTTGGCGCCTCTTCGTTACGAATTGCCATAAAATGCAGTCTAACACCGGGAGAACAGCTGTTTAGCCGTTTGTCTGCATGCCGTCTATACATTGGGGCATTCTTGGAAGACCGGGGTGTTGCGTGGACTGTCAAGCGCAGGTCGACGATTCGCGTGGGGACTCGAAGCTCGCAAATCGACGCTGATTTGCGCCCAGAGCGTAACTATTTCGGCCGTTCACTGCCGGGTCGATGGGCTATTGACAGCTCGGGGAATTTGCTGTTCGCAAGCATCACTTCTCAGCTTGTTCTCAGCAAAACAACATCTTCATCGTGTCTGTCCTCGGCAGTCATCGGGACGCTTGCACAAATTTGTCACGGCAGAGTCAAGGACAAGAGCACATGCAACCCCAAAATGGTGCAGTAGTCTAGATGACGAAGGTTGTGGCTTGATGGGCAACGAGAGATTGGGGCATGTCGATCTAGTAGCGGCTATAGCGCCTAGACTGTTGTAGCACCCCTCCCACCCTCTTGTTCTGGGGCCCAATGCTCCATCCGCCAGCTCCAGCAACCAAACAGCTGCTCAAGCTCAGCCGCTCGACCACACCGAAGCTGAGGAAGCTCCTAGACTGACTCTGCTTGACTGCCGGTTATACCGCGACCTTACCCTTGAGGTCACAGCCGTGCTACAATTATCATTGAGGGCGGCCCCAGACCAAGGACACCCAAATCGCTTCATCACCGCTCTACGTCATCCACTTTCTGGGCTTGCAACATCACCTGCCTTCCTCTTCTCCTCCACCCACCGACTTTGCCTAGCTGTCTAAGCATTCTATTGCTCCCTCGTCGACAGCTGCACACCGATCAATCGTCCTCTTTCTTTTATCCTTCTGGTCCGCCGTTAGCCTTTGTCACACAATGCGCCCATCTCGTTAGCTACTGTTCGCGACTCGATTGATTCTCGCCTCAAACTTGTTTATCAATTGCGCAGTAAACAAAGAGTGGAACTGCACTCGCCATGTCTCGTCCGCAGACCCCCGCATCTGGGGGCTACAGCTCCTCAGCAGCGCCCATCAATGAGCTCGACCGAACACAGTCCAGGTTGTCATATGCTGGATCCACTGCTCCCGCAGGCACAGGCCTCGAGCACTCTGCTGGTGCTCCCCGTCCCACCTCTGCTCTATCCCAAAATGAGGACTTTCACGGTGATGCGCATCCGGGCGCCGGTGAGCGAAGCTCTGTGCTTCAACGGAGCAACTCGCAGATGTCCCAGTCTGCTACCGCCATATCCCGAGGTGGTACTCTTAAGAAGAAGGCATCGCTGCGCGGAACCAGCCTTAAACGAAGCAATAGCAGGAAGAGCAGCTACGCGGGCTCGGTTCGTAGCATGAAGCTCGGTGAGAAGGAGAAATATGAGTCGGAGGAAAGCAACAGCGCATTTTACTGCCCAGTTCCAACTGTCGGCAACCCCACCGAACTACTTGCGAACAGATTCCAATGTAAGTCCATGACTTGATCTAACGTACGCGTTCTGACATGCCTAGCCTGGCGCAAGGTACTGAAGGATCTCATCAACTACTTCCGCGACTTGCATAAATCTTACGAAGTCCGTTCGAAAACTCTACTCTCTGCGTCCAACATTATCAACAACACCACGATTCCATCGAACTTTGTGACTAGCGGTGGTCTCGGCGATGCTGCATATATCCTGCGCGATTTCCACAAGCAAGCGATTAGTGAGGCCAACAAAGCCAAGGACCTCGAAAACGAAGTGATCATGCAGCTTACTGGCCTGCGAAGCGATTTGCAGCAGAAGATCAAAGAGATTAAGAGCCTGTCTGGAGATTTCAAGAACTCGGTCGATAAGGAGCAGGAGCAGACCAAGAGAGCAATCCGCGCCTATCAAGAAGCACTCGGACTGGTTGATCACGACGCTTCCGCAACCACCGGAAAGGGAGACCCGTTCATCGTCAAGATGAACGTTGATCGTCAGGTCGAAAGGCAGATCGACGAAGAAAACTACTTGCACAGGGTATGTCGCCTCTTCTCCGTCTATCTGGGAAAAGCTAACAGTTCAAGGCATATCTCAACCTCGAGGCTTCTGGCCGAGAACTCGAGTCCATCGTGGTTGGCGAGATACAGAAGGCTTATACTGTGCTCGCCGGCATTATGCGACGCGAAGCAGACGATTTCTATGATACTGCAGAGAAGCTACGCGAAGGTCCTCTCGCCATCAGCAAGGATATGGAGTGGGATACATTCGTAACAAACAACCACCAGATGGTTGACCCCAGGAATCCCGTTCGCCAGGTCGAGCACATCACCTATCCAGGCAAGGACCACCCTGCCGCATTGGAGGTTCGAAGCGGCATGCTCGAGCGAAAGAGCAAGTATCTTAAGAACTACACTCCGGGCTGGTACGTGGATTTCTTTACCTCCGTCTGCATAGCTGACCAAAATCAGGTATATCCTGTCTCCTACCCATCTCCACGAGTTCAAGTCAGCCGACAGGCTGGCTTCTCAATCCCCTGTCATGTCTCTCTACCTGCCCGAACAGAAGATCGGTTCGCACTCAGAGCCGGGATCTTCTTCACACAAATTTATGCTCAAAGGTCGCCAGAGTGGATCAATGCACCGTGGCCACTCCTGGGTCTTCCGTGCTGAGACATATGATACAATGCTGGCCTGGTACTCAGATGTCAAAGAGCTCACCGAGAAGACTGGAGAAGCTCGCAATGACTTTGTTCGTCGGACCCATGCTCGCTCCATGTCAGGCAGTAGCCTGAAAGCACCCAGCATCGGTGGAAGCTCAGAAGGTGCTCTGGAAGATGACGAGGCCGACCGTCAGGCGTTCGCAGGCGAGCAATCCATCCGTGGCAACTCATTCGCAGACGGCATGACAACGGCGACTGGCGCTACCGGACTCGCAGAGAAAAGCTCCGAAGCAGGCTGGCGACCACAGCAAAGACCATCACCAGGTGGGCGATTTCCATCTGATCTCAACGTACAACGAGGCTTACAAGCACCGGTTTCGCCTAGTAGCGGAGGCAGTTCCGATCGCGACGTAATAGCGCATGCTAGCACACTTCCTGGCTCTGCCATTCCTTTCAACAACGCACAGGAGAAGCCTTCCGAGCTTCCTCAACCTGCTGCTGCTGCCGGCCAGCAATATACCCAAGGTGCCCACCCGAACCTCTTCCCACAATCGGCAGGGGCCGAGAATCAGAGCCAGTATGGCGACTGGATGGCTCCCATGGCTGCAGGAGCAGCCGGCGGTGCCGTTATTGGTAGCGCTTCTCACCATCACCAGAATAAACAGGAGACGGAGCCGGCTCGCCCAGTAATAGAGAACATCGACAATTCCGAGCGTCAAATGGATGCAGCGTCTCCCATACCCGAGTACGGAACTTCATCACCACCCATTCCCATCCCCATCCCCATAACAGCCACGACGACCACTACCGAACCACCGACAGGCGCGGCATCCACCGCACCTACAGCAAGCACTAACACCGACATCAATACGATTAGCACCCAGACAACCGCGCCGACTGAATATTCGAGCAGACCCGGCCTAGAGAAGACGCTAACTTCAAAGAGCGTCAGCACCATCAGCGATCTCCACATGCCGGGGGAGTTCCCTAGGAACACAGGGACCACGACGACCCCCACAGCCTAAAAGCCGGCTTGATGAAAGTTGGCGGGTTTGGACGCCTGCAGAAGCCCACGATGTTTGGCAACGGTCGATATCAGTCATGTTGAGATACAACAGTCGTGCTAAAGTGTCATGGTAGTCATGTGATGCGTTTTCATCTCAGGCAATCGAGGATTCGTAACGCGCACGGAGTTTTGCACGTCTTTGATACCCCAAGTTTGGAAACAGGGTTGCACGGTTTGGAGCGGGGGACTGTTTGTCACTCTGAATGCAAGCATACGAGAACGCGGACCATAGTAAATATACGCACAGGATGTTGAGAATGCTTGTAATGTGTTTTTCGCTCATCGCGATCGGCCTCGTGCCGGGTCATCAGAAAGTTCGTGGGTACCGGTGAACGAGCCTTTGATACATGGGATCGTACGAGATAACTGCTTGGACTCATGTCGAATTCTCCACCGGGCTAATCATGCTGCGTTGAAGAACGTCTGCTCGTAAAGCGTCCTTTTCAGGATCCTTTCGTCATTGTACGTCCATTACCCGTAGGTATTTGTCCCTCCCCAGCCGCTGCCACGCGAATGCGCGTATTGCTACCTCGGCGCGACCCAATTCCCTGCGCATTCCCTGCAAGCTCGCCGTGTTCGTCGCCATACTCCCCAGATGACTACCCAGTTGCTTCATCAGATCTTCTAAATCCGCATCACCTTCGATCTCCGCCTTGCCCAGCGGTGCTTCGACCACGTGTCTTCGCCTCGCAGTCCCAAGCATCTGATCCGCGACCCCTTCCTCCCCATCCTCAACCTTGGCACTGCGCCCACCACCCAACTGCCTCGCCAATGGATGCAGCCGCTTCTCCTGCGTTCGCTGCGCCTGCGTCCCCCTCTTCAGATTCTCCGCCAGAGCGTCCAGTTCCGCCTTCTCCGCTCTGAGGTTTTGTTCTTCCTTGCGGATGCTCGCCCGCAGCAGTTTCGATGATTGTGTCGCTTCTGACAGCTGCGCAGACAGCACGGCAGTGCGGTGCAGCGTGGCCTCGTAGTCGAAATCGAGATCGTGAGCTGCGGCTGCGGCCGCGCTGTTGGCTTTGCTTCTTGCGGCTGGGAAGGTCATCTTGGGTAGGCGGACCACTAGCTTGGAAACTAGGGCTTGCACCATCTCATCGTAGTCGTCGTCGGTCAAGTCGAGTTTGTTGGGGTTGCTCGGGCCTTTGCCGTTGCGGCCAGAGGCTTTGGAGGAGCGACGAGCGGATTGGGTTTGCGATTGGATGGCCAGGAGGAGGGTGCGGATGCGGTCTTGCGTGGGGGTTGGGAGAGGGCGCCATGTTTTGAGGACACGATTTGAGGAGACTGAGAGCGTCTGTGGGGATAGATGGGCGCGGCGTTTGAGTCCCCCAGCCGTAGATGTGGAGGGAGAGCGCGTTCGGGATTTGGCGTTGCGGGATGGAGGCATCGTTAGGGTTGGCGGGATCTGGTGGATTACTGAGCGTTGGGCTCGCTGACGCGGGGGAGTAGGTTGTCGGCAAGAAGCAGACAGACGCCGTTTGCTGGCCAAGGATGTAGTGTACAGACCGCGGGGTGAGGTGGAAGAGTCGAGTCGTAGACGCGCCGACGGCAATTGAGGACTAGCTTGGCGCGTCGAGCCAATCGACACGGTCTGGTGGAGTGCCGTCAGCATTTACTGCCTGATGGTTCTTCGCCGTCACTGACCTTGGCCTGGGTCTCCTATATCTTCTCGAGAATACTTCAGCTTTATGCTGCACAGGTGAGGGCTATACTGGTCTCCTTTCGAGAGCAGCTGCCCATGGTTCGAGCAATACCGGGGCGTGCCCCAAGCAATTCGCTCAGACTACGTCCCGATGCCGGCCACCGCACCAGTTACCATCATATATTAGAGCAGATGCTCGTGATTCTTACAGGTAAGAGTTAGATCCATTGCAATTGCTAGCCCCACGATCCGGCTATGCTGAACCCCACGAGAGTGCTGAAGTTACGGACATTTGAGTAGACATCAGCCAATAGCCGACGCCAAGAACCTCGATTCTCTGCCGATGTCGTTCGCTGAAATGGTGTTTGTTAGCTATATATTACAGCAAGCCATCTGGATCGTCCGCCCAACACGCATTGCGACTCCTTTGTGCGTTCAAGACGGCTTGCCGAACCCCATCCAAAATCTTGAAGCCGTCAAATTCCGTTCGCCGCGCTCCCAAAGCCCCGCATCCACTACCGTCCACTACCTACCATGGCCATACCCATATCTGCGACTCTCACTCCAACTTCTTCCACCCTTGTCATAACACCCAAGCCATTCACACCCACCACATACGCCCGCTATGGCACATGCGTTACCTCACCTCTTGAATCCGACCTACAGTCACATCCCTCCGACATTCCACAACCCCGCTATCCCGAGCAGATGGCACCAGAGTCGGCCAATCAACGCTCGGCCCTCAAATCACCAACCATCTCTACCCTCACCAACAACTACGCCTCTTCAACTTCTCCTTCCACCGTCAGGCCGAGCATGTCGCTCTTCTGCTCCTTTCCCCGCAAACCGACCGCTGCCTTTCCTGTCACGCACATCGAGCGCCACCCCTACACGAGCCAGACCTTCGTCCCCACCGGCCTGGCGAACTCAGAGGACACGTTCTATCTCGTTGTCTCTGCGCCGACGCTGGAGGGTCAGGTCCGAGACGGCATCAGAAACCCACCAGATCTGGACCGGATGGAGGCCTTTGTTGCGCGAGGCGACCAGGCGGTCACGTATGCGGCGGGAACGTGGCACAGCCCCATGATTGTCGTTGGGACGAGGAGGGTGGACTTTGTGGTGTATCAATGGGTCAACGGGGTGGTGGGGGATGACTGTGAGCTATGTCAGGTTGGGGGTGAGGCCAGTGTGGACTTAAGCAAGGTGACTGGGGGAGCGAAGGAGAAAGCTAAGCTATGAAGAGCACAAGGCATTTGGTGATAGATATCCGACTAGAGAGCCTTTTGGGAAAGTAGACCTTGTTCGAAGGGCGCTGATCATGCTCGAACACTTAGGGTGCTAATCAGTCGGCATCCTGCTTGAACAGTCCCGGAACGGGAACGACCGTGGTTGGTACACTACTGTAACTATCGCCTGAATGAAAGATCGAGGACCAGCGCTGACGCCGTCAGCGCTGTCCCTCATTCCTCATAGTCCTTGCCGAACAGCTCCTTGTAGACCGCCTTCCCAACACCCAGCCCACTAGAGGGGTTCTGCCCCGTCACGAAAGTTCTCCCATCCTCACCCTTGCTCAAGACTACCTCCACGCCGTACGGCTCCGCGGCCTTGGAGTAGCCACCAGCGGTGGCCTTCGCCAACTCATCCTCCACGCTCCACGGCTCCACGATCCCACTCACTGGGAACAACAGCTCGCACTCCTTGTTGCTCACACCAGTCACCTTGTGGCCTTTCAAAAGTGGTTCCTGAGTGCTCGGTTTGTTCACATGCGCAAACGCGGCGGGACCATGGCATACACCCGTCAACAGCTTCTTGTTCGCGTACAGCACCTGAATGATCTTGGCGGAGGCAGGGGAGTCCACGATGTCGAACATGGGGCCGTAACCGCCCACGTAGAAGATGGCGTCGAACTCGCCGGCCTCGGCGCGCGGGATGAGATCCTCGAGCTTGGCCGTGTTGGCGTAGAGGTCGGCGTGCGACTTCATGAATTCGGCGCAGATGGCGTCCTCGCCGTAGCTGGAGATGGAGAGGGGGTCGAGCGGAGCGGCGCCGCCGAGGTGGGAGGCTATGGTGATGGTGCAGTGCGGTGCTAAGATGTGGTATGGGTGCGCGAGCTCGGGCTGTCAACAAGTTGTATTAGCAGCTGTCTGTGCCAGGCTCAGAGGAATTCGTGATTGTTGGGAGCAGTGGGTCGTATTCGATAAACGTGGAAGGGTACGTACCAGGAACCAGCCAGGTTTGGCAGAAGACAGGACCACCAGAACATGGGGCTTGTTGGTGGCCATTGCGGTTGCTGAAACTTGCTGGGAAGAAATTCGTCGGTTTCTGGACTTGGGTCGGGAATTCTTGATGGTGTTGATTTGAACAACTGCTTCCTTCTCACGACGCGCTGGGAACCCGCTACTTATACCCATCCGCCAGACGTGAGAGGCGCGGGCTTATAGCCGTCGCTCATCCACATCGATGTCATTGCTGTAGTGTTCAGCACCATTCTGTGACTCTAACCATCTCTCGCACGTTCTGTGAACATCCAAAATGTGATACATCGGACAGTGCAATGGCTGAAGTCGGTAGGCAAACCCATAGCGGCTCCGAAGCTAGGTCGCCTTGTCGGAGTTGTAGGCTCTGGAATTTCCCAATGCAGTAGGTGCTGAAGTCCGAGCACTTCCAGACGATGCTTGGCTCTTGAGGGATGCATTTGCAAGTAAGCATCTCGGCGTTGGTCGGCGTTGGACGGCGTAGCATGTCGCTCAAATGCGTCGGTGGTATTGGTCCTTGTCTCGGTTGCCTCGCCGGTGTTTGATGACTTAACGGAGTACATAGGCCAATTGCCATAACGGCAAGAGGTAGTGAATAAGGTATGAGTAAGGAAGCTCGCTTACCTGAGCACTTGCCTTCTTGGGTGTTGGGACGAGGCTTCCAGCAGTAACAACGAACCACATTGACGTTGACGAGTGGTCGACAGTCCTTTATGTCTCGAGTTTTCACTGGTATTGTTGGACTAGAGGGGTTCAGGAGGACAGCCTTGCAGCCTACAGGGGTGCAGGCGAGGCTGCCTCTGTCTCACTCATCCACCAATCCCATGGCTCAACAACCTTTACACGACACGTCACGTCCCCACGCGTTTCCACTGTTGATGTTTGTTTTGGCCGTGCCATTATTATCATCAAGCAATTATAGCCATAAGTTGACAGCTCGGAGGCCTCTGAAATGGTTTCAAGCTCGAAGAAAGCGGGCAAGCGACGAGCTGAGGGTGAAGTTGCGGCGCCAACCAAGAAGCGACGCCATGTTGGGAAGGGCGAGAACGGACCAATTGCAACGTGGTTCGACGATGAACGATACTCTGATCTAACTATTAAGGCTGCTGGTGGGATAGTTTTTAGGTGCCACCGCATCGTTCTGGCGACCCGTTGTCGTTTCTTTGAGCTGTGCTGCGGTGGCGGGTTCGCAGTACGTTGCCTCGCCTTATACGGGCATGTCTTGGCTGAATCGTGTACAGGAGGCCGAGAGTAAGGAGATCAATCTAGAAGATGACGATCCAGAAGCATTGAGAAAAATGCTGATCTACCTCTACACTTTGAATATCGACCACGTTCTGCTTCAGGGTGAAGAGGACGAGCCGCCGGAAACACCGACCACTTATCTGGAAGGTCTTCTCGACCTCTTCGTCTTGGCCGACAAGTACGAGCTGCCCGAGCTGAGCGACCTCATTACTGTTGCCGTAGATGCTTTCGACCGAGGAGGCTATCGCGCAAGTCAATTTATTCGAGCTTACTTGAAGGCGGTCTCAATGCCCGACTCCACCCTAGGACGCTCACGGCTCTTGACGAAGCTAACATCTGCGCTTGAGTCGTTTCGACGCGGCTGGCACAACGTGTGTCCCATTGGAGTGGAAGATAACGAAACACGGAATCGCAATTATGCAAAGACAGTCGATGCGGTAGTTGAGAACCCAGAAGCAGCCGTATTGCTCATCTGCCATCTTGGGAACATGCTGACGGTTGCGAAAGCGGCGCATGTGGACTTTGAAGATGCCTCCAGAACATTTGATGATAAGTCGAGTGAGAGCGCTGTAAGTACACCCGGCGCAGACGGGAATTCGGGGTCCGCAAGCGACTTCAGTGTGTTCGATGATGAAGATGAAGACACGGATGCAAGCTCATTTGAGTGGTTCAAAGTGGAGGACGAAGCCGTCTTAAAGGCCACTAGCCTGCCTAAGGATGAAGACTGAAAGGGCATCTTCATGGAAGCCAGAATCTAGGAACGTGCTGCACGTCTGGTCTTGATATCCGACTCGCATCTTTTCGAGAGCTCGAAACCGTCAACGATTGATGTTCTCACAAGAGAGAGGCCTTTGAAGTTGAAAAGTTCTACTGTGCCAGCGCAGTGTGAAGAGTAGGCTCGTCACATATGGGTGAAGCCAGGTGACTGGTGTTTGTCGCCTGGTGTTGTCACCTGGCGCTTGTTACTTCCGGACTACAACTGCATCGTGACAGCTTCCTGCCTTGTCGCAGTTACGGTCTTATGGCACGCGTTTGCTATAGCCTTCTGGCGTGCCTATTCCATGCTCTGCACAGTTGCATGTTGTTGCTGTTTTCTCCACATCAACACAGAGTTTAGACAATCGCAGCATGTCGTGCAAAAGATAGACAAGAGTTCTACATCGCACAAACAACGCAAACGCTCCAGCGAGCAGAAGCAGTGGTGGAAGCAGGAGTTCGAAGAAGTCTATCAGGAGATTGTTGAGTTCAAGCGGCGCAAGCTTGCTGACTTGAAGGCCGAGGTCTATGACCTGGAGGGCACTCTTCTTGTCGATCAACTGGCGTATTCGTCGGACGAGGAATCAGATTGAGGCGAAAGCATAGGGTCACGGGAAACGATTTGGACTCTCGATTTGGGTCGGCGGTCACGGATTGGAATGTGGCTCATAGACCAGATGCTCGGATGACTGGAAAAGGGGCCAGCGTGAAATGACAGTGTCGGATATGAACGTGCCAAGGTAGTGATCATTCTGACCGCTGCACTATCTGCACGGCAAGTTCTGAGGCTCTGAATCTGAGCTTTGCTCATGTCTCACGTCGCTCAATGTGTCACATCATGAGGACTTGGTGCCCCCCTTTGTGCACTTTTGCGCAGACGGAGTCATCTTCTTTATCTCAGTATGCAGTTCTTTCGTGATGCCAATACTTGGCCTTTCTATTCGTGCTCGTCCTGTTGCCAACACCTCAATATCCTGTCTCTCTTCATTGTGCAACTTCACCAGAATCAGAACCAGGCTGGAAAATTTCGTGGAAGGTTCTGCGGCATCTCATATACCTGGCGCCCAAAGTGAATTCGCAAAATCCCAATCGGCAGTGGAGAATGTCCCTGGACAATACTACGGAGCTGCAGTCAGTGTTGGGCCGAATCGAGGGGGGCGTCTCTTCATTGACTTACAACCGGGTAGGGATCCGAAGACGGACCACAGGAGCTGTTAGCCTCAGGAAACGGAGAAACGGGCGGACTTGCACGACGACCGTGCAGCCGTGAGCGTTGAGCACACGCAAGAAGTTTCGCTTTGGCATGATTGACCGCGTAAGACTTTCCTTTGCAACGTCACACACACCAATACCCATGCTGGCATCACCGGAGTACTCCAGGCGTTTGAAAATTGCTTGCTCAAAGGTTTGTTCGCCGCGCAGTGATCCAAGCTGGATATGCACCTCTTGAAGTTTGGGCAGATCTGGAGTGAGATGCTTGAGGGTCTCGGCTCTGGAGTATTGGAATTCTCTGACGACTTTGCTCTTCGGCTCAAGATTCACTGGTTTGCATTTGGAGTAACGACAAGAGTCATGGTCTTGAGGACGTCCCTGGCACCAGCCAGGCAGGTCTTGCTGACGAGGGTCATGTTGAAGGCGGCTGGCAGCTCGATGATAGTTCTGCGGGTGACGGGCTTCTCTCTGGAAACGACCTTCACGCCTTTGAAGAGGTGTTGGTAGATGGTGATGCGAATTTCGATAGGAGGTTGTTCGAAGCCAGATGGTCAAGGGAAAAAAGTGATGGCTTTACCGCCTCCGCCATCATTACTCCATGCTGTGCGTTCAGGCATGGTGAGCCTATATTACAAGTAAGCAGCGACGATCCAAAGAGCCTAGGATACCATCAGTGGTCCGAAGAGTCAATGGGAAGAGGATGTGTGTGCGACTGTGGAAGCTAACATAAACGTTTACACACAAAGGCAGGTGTGCAGTGTCCAGAAGGCGTCGGGATCCAGCTCCGTCTTGGCGTGTTTGCCTAATTATCTACAAACGTGTGGACAGAAGGTCACATCATTCCTTGAGGCGAGTGAAGGAATATGAGGCCTCTCCTAGCTGCCTGTTTTCATTCGACAAGGTGCTGCCCTTCTGCTTACAAACCGGCGCCTGACATCAGGCTCTACCGCAATCGAGGCCACCGAAACCGAGCCATTGCGTTGCACCCTCGCCATCTTCTCCTCGTCTAATGTCCTCTGGAGGATCAGTTGCTGGGACCGCCGGCAGGAGGCTGGCAAGTCCAGCCAATGTCCTGACCCCAAGCAATGGAGTTGAACTCCAGGTTGTCCTGAATGACGGTCCCCTTGTTTGGCTGGGTGACCGTAAAGTGGTTGATGCCCTTGACTGGATACTTGTTCAACCCCAAGTGAGGCACATTCCACCTCCACGCAATATGGGTGCAGTCGTGAAAGATATCCAAGGTGTCCTGTGACCAGTCAGCAAACTTCCATTGGTATGTGAAAGCGTTGAAGCGGTGCTGGAAGTTGGTCGCGAGGTCTTCTTAGGACAGTGTCTTGGAAGAGCATCAAACGCAACATGTTTGCTCCGCTGCAAGTGTTCTGAAGAGTACTAACCATTCCAGGGATGGCCGGGGCGTTGACAACACCGGCAATGTAGGTTTGCTTGCCGCTGAAGGAGGGGCCACCAAGCTAGAAAGACATCAGTCACGAGTCCATTTCAGAGCGCTAAAGACGACTTACAGGATAACCGGCGAGGAAGTTGATCGAGTCAGACTCCTCAACATAACCGTCCGCAATCAGGGTCTGAGCGACATCGTTTGCGACCTTACGGTCTTGCGCAGTGAGGATGGTCTTGAAGGCATCGACAATGAACTGAGCTCGCTGGTCCGTCAAGCAAAGGCCATTGCCGATGGGGTAGCCTGGGATGGGGCTGAATGGGTTTTTGTAACCGCCGTTGCCGCCGGGAATGAGACCAGCGCAGGCAGTACCCGCGGCTGTCAGGACAGTGGTAATGGTAGCGAACTTCATCTTTGTGAATAATGAGTGGACGAGACGACAGCCTCTGGAACGAATGACTTATAGTGAGCTCAAATGTGTAGTCTCAATCCTGACTCGAACTGCGGACACACGAGGGGGAGCAGCGCATACATATGTGCCTCTGGCCCTGAGCGCGTCTCGTGTCCGCCACGGGTCTCTTTCGTATCATAGACGCAGGTGGAAATCAAGCACCAACTCAAGGAACAACATACCCCGTCCCGCTTCATGCATACCGGCCGCCCAAGCCGAAATGACCACTCGCAGGGCACGCATCGAGCCGCACATCTGCGCCGTAAAGCACGGTCTTGCTGGGAGCAACCATGTAACGCGTCAAAACATACACAAAGACAAGCGTCATAAGCTTCGGCACTATTGTGTGACAAAAAACCTACCACCATAAGCCTGACGTCGAAGTCTCGGTGTCGCATAAGACCATGTCAAACACTGTCAAGAAGTGGCGGGACACAACAGCGTGGGGTCCAGCTCGTGAGAAGAGAAAGCTTGCTGTTTCTTCAACCTCCGACGGAGACGTAGTGGGGAGTCGTAACACGGGTCTATGTGGATATGAAGCGTTGCTGCAAAAGGGGTAAGGCTGAACTTTGTCTCCGCGTTCAGGGGTAGAGGCGAAAAGTTCCGAAAGTCTCGAGCTTCGAGCCGCCCGCCAGAGCCTTTGAGGGCGGCCACATCGTCTGAGATACAGAGGAAGGCAGTATCATACGCAACATGGCGCGCCTTGCTATGGGTGTGTTTTCTCAAAGTATACAGGAGACGCGAGTCTCCGTGACGACGTCAATACATAGAACTTGGACTGTATCATTGCGTTTCGTGAACTTTTGGGTGTAAGACGAGCAGGAGGATGTGCAGGAGGGAAATTGGACTGTGAAATACCCAGTTCCGAACTCCGGGGTGTTGAGGGTGGTAATCCCCGTCCCACGAGCCGACAGAAAGGCTCGCGATCGTTTCGCGTGTTGAGACAGACTCCCTGGCTGCTTGAAAAGCGCAAAGATGCGGCAATAGGGTTCAACGAGGGACATTACTGAGGCCGCCTGCTTTGCAACTCTTTCAAATACAACAACTATCGACATTATCTCCCAAACCTCTATCTCTTTCTCAGAGAAACATCGTCCAACGGGACCCTTCTAAATCCGTTATATCGTTCATGTCGTACAGTTCGGCAGACCGCGAAATATATAGCTCAACCATCAAACACTCCAGCCTCCAAGCTGCTGAGGTTCCTTTCGTACCTTCCTGGCGAGTGATCAGCGAACATGCCGCTGCCAAATCTAATTTCCGCGAATCTCCTCTCCACATCTCTGACCAGCTTGAACTGTACCCTTGATGCGGGTCTGCCCAACGCACGGTACACGTGTTCTGTTGTGTTGTCCTTGCCGGCTTCTTCGGCGCCAAAGCCGAAGCGGGCCTCTTGCTTGACATCCGCCCCCAGTCGGTCGAAAACCCTGGTCGACTCGACGATAAATACCTCGCCTGGAGGCACCAGTTTCTCGCTCGTCATTGTTCCCCGCAACGTTTCCAGAAGCGTCCAAGCCCATGTATCTTCACCCACGCCCTCGCCGGCGATGTTCTCGGGTGGCGGTGGGCCCCCGGCTGTACGCTCAGCAGTCATGCTTAAACTGAAGGCGGTACAGATGCGGTCCCAGACCCGGGACTTGAGCTTGTTGATTGCATCGCTCTGATCGTTCTTGAGATGGATCGCAACTTCGCGAAAGTCGTGTAGCGTACCGAGTGACAAGCAAGGAACAATATCCGCAGCATTGGCGATGGTCGTAATCAGACCTCGTGTAGCGAGCCGAAGTGGCTCCGAGACGGTCGCAGGTGTGCCATACGAATAGACGTGGATTGGACGGCCGGTTGGCAGGCGGATTGGAGGCGCGGACAGATCTTGGTCTTTGAACGAAGGGGGCCCAGTCAGAAGCTTGGGCGGGCTCCCAGTCACGAACGACTGAGTGGTTGATGACTGAACGGGCTCCGAAATCAGAATGGCGAGTACAGCGGCCACAGCACCGCCTAGTGAATGGCCGCAAAGCACAAGTCCGTAATCTGGATTGTCCTCTAGCGCCGCTTTTAGCGTAGCCATGACACGCGAGCCGCTCCCACTGAGCAGCCGCCGAGCAGAAGCATGAATACCCTTGTGGACCTTGTAGCTTTGGCCTTGCCAGATCAATTCATCAAAGTCGCATGTCATATCAGTAAGGACGTCCTCGAAACCCAGGGTTCCACGACAGGTCAGCACAACGGCTTTCGAGTTGTCATCAAGTGAGACAAAATGGATCAACGGAGAAATAGCCGAAGGCGACCACTCGATGTTCCCCATCACACCCTGAGGATCGTAGAAGGAAGACAGCAGGATGGTATTGGCTGGAAGTCCTGTGTGGTCGGAAAAGGAACTGTGCTCGTGATGGATATTGAGAGTCGTTAGCTCGGTCGACTTGCTCAGGTTTTTCTTCTCGTCATTCAACCCCATCATATGCAGGAAACCCGAGCCGTATGACGCAGTCGCAAACCGCGCGAAGCGACGGACAGTTCTCACGAGGTGCTGGTCCGGAAACATACCTGGGACTTTGCCCTCACGCATCAACGTATCGACCATGTCGGAATCCTCGTATATCGACTTTCTTGGCATTGGCGTTCTAGGAGCGAGCACAACAGCTTCACCGGAGTGTTTGCTGCCCATTGAATACAGGCTCGGCTGGAATGAACGTGTTCGCTGATGCTTGTGCGCGCTGGCCGACCCAGTCTGAGCGTCCGATCCCTGCAGAGAGAGGCCCAGCTCTGATTTGGTCTGGGATATACTGTTCACAACTCTTGAGTGCGTCCGAGAAAATGTGGGTGAGCCGGCTCGAGAAGTGGGCCTACTCTCTACGGAGTGGACAGAATAGGAGTCACTTTGCGATACAATCGAGTCACGTCTTGTTTCGCGAACGGTAAAGTAACTGTTGGCCGCCGTCTGACCAGGAGATGCCACATGGTTCGGGCTTCCGAAAGGGCTGGCTGCTCTACTTTTGGAATGTATCGGAGGATACACTCGTTGTGGTGCAATGTCGGGCGGCGAGGCTGTTGTCAACCGTGCGATCGTCGGCAGTTGTTTAGCTTCTGCAGATTTGCGTTTTGGTATGAATGAAGGAGCATCCCTCACCGCAGCGAAGGATGAGCTCGGGCTAAGGGTCTTCATTGCTTTTCGGATCTTGCCCTCTTTTTCTGGCTTCTGACTCTGAGCTCTGCCCTTGGAGGCTTTTGTTGTTGGTTTACTGGAATCTTTTTCGTCAGGCGAGGTCGAAAGGACAAAAGCTGGCTTCCTACTTTTCTTCTGATTCGCGATAGGCTCACGCGACTTCACTCCCTTGGCTCGCGAAATTCTATCCAATCTCTCGGAGTCTTCTTCGAAGGACGAAGCCATACTGGGCGGGTCATCTTTGGGGGGGAGTATGGGCTTTGATACATCGCGCATCATTACAGCATCATCTCCATCCGAATGTTCAGCATTGTCTGGTGGAGGAGCAGTCATCAGAATCTTGTTGTTGGCTTCAACCTCGGCGCTACTGCTTCGTTTGAGAGCTGTTCGGAAGACGATCGTCTGTCGAGGGGTTTCATTGTTGTCGATCGTGTCGTGATTTAGCCGTTCTGCCACCATAATGGTTCCTGGAGGTGCGTCTATGTTGGTAGCATCCGAATCGTAGATCTCGACCTTGATAGTCTTTGCTGTGAGCGTCTCGGAACTGACGGTGGCTCTAGCGCCGCTAGGCAATTGTTTGATAATCTGATTCCGGATCTCCTCATCAGACAAAATTGCTTGATCATTCGGGCTTACTTCCACTCGAGCACCGTCGAAGATTGTGCCCCGTTCCAAGGCCTCGAATGTATCCTCAGGATTGAGCTCATCCGCAGGCGACAGGAATGAATGGGCATGTTGAGTATGAGGTCTGAGGGTGACAGTCTCCTGTCTGCGCGTGCCAACGACGTCTGCGCGAAAGCCTCTGTCATCGATCACCATGTCCCATATGGTTTCTTCGCCGCCAGCGTTCCGAAAATCGAGCTGGGTTTTCCGTCTGCCCCATCTTTGCAACAATACAAAACCAATGAGGGCGGAGAGTAAGTCATAATAAGTCGCCACGTGCTCACCCTGAGGCCTGTTAAGCTCAGTACTGAGGAGGTTGATAACTGCAGCGACGGCTTTCGAGGTCTCTGTGGATCCACATATAGCGTTTAGCATAGACAGTCCATGGATCGATATGCTTGAGACGGAATTTAGCGCAGCTTCTGTCAGGTAGAAGCCCGAAGATGCAACAAATGAAGCCTTCGATATGACTGAGTGGAGAAGTCGTATAGCTGATTCGAGAGTATTGGCTGCCTCCATCTGACCAAGCGAGTCCGGAGCAGTCCGCGAAGCAACGTCTCTACCCGCAAGGATGAGAACTTGCTCGGCTGCGGTCCTGGCTACAGACAGTGACTTGAGCGTCGCCTCTCGACCGGCGTACACGGTCCATCCTCCAATTTTTAGTGCCGCCCTCACATTGAACGATGCGACACCGGTCAAGCCCGAGACGGCGGATGCGATCGGCCTAGGGAAAAGAGTCGCACCCTCGTGTTGTGAGTCGCGCACCACGATCTGGTTGTTCAATCTCGCTGGTCTAGACTCCTCGTCCTCCTCTTCCTCGGCAGATCCTTTCGTCCGACCCATAAGGGTGAGCATCGTTGCGTATGGCGTTGTGAGTGCGGTGCGCGTTGTCTGGTACAGAGGGGGTCAGGGGAATCGTATGGCGCCATGGAGAGCGTGAACTGGAGAAAGGAAGGGACGCGAAATATATCTAGACAAGAATGTCAGGCTTGCATCGGTGTATACTTGAGCCTAGGGCCATGCAAAACATTGTACATAGCGGTGGAAGACACGTCGGAGGCAGCGAATGGGATGCCCGAGGAAGCCATGACGTTGACGTGTTTCCTAGGCTCCATTCGCCGCCAGCTTTTTCACGCTGGCATGTGATCAACTCGTCCTCACCAAAAGCCTTGAATTCATCGGATTCTCTATCAGGCTGCAACTTTTTGGAGTCTTTGCCCTTTCTCCACGTGGCTTCGGCACTTCAGCTGTCACAGGCTACCAAAAGATGGCAAAATTGCGTGAGGGCGACACGATTCGCGCGGTCAACGGCAAGTCGCATCCCCGAAACTGGCACGATGCCTGTTCCTATCGATGTCGCACTCCATCCGCATGCAGGTCTCTTGCGACTGCAAGGAACCTGCTTTCACATGCTGGCATGGGACAGCTACAGGCACTGGTCTGACCTGGCATTCCTTATCTCGCAGCCCCGGACCCCTGAACCGCTGTCATGCCTGCACAGTACGAAACTTATTTGGACGCGCCCTGGCCCAACAGGAAGCCCTCGAGCGTATCTCGTGTCCGACTTCCAACATTGTGATGTCGATTCTCAGCCCACGGTGTGCCACCTTCACCGAATTGATTTGACAGGTGGCCCAGGAAGAAGTCCAAATTCTTCTCACATTCCGGGAACGCCTTCTTGAATGTCTGGAATAGTTCGTCAACACCAGGCTTCTTTGGTGCATTGGTAATCTTCTGCTCAAACAGATCGAGATACTTGTGCATGTGTTCCATGTCTGTCCGGGCGTCGAAGTCCCACCCGTCTTCGATATGTCCAGCGATGATTCGCTCCGGGTTCAGTGACTCGATCAGCAGAAGCGTCAAGTTCCACGCGTGCAAGATATCTGGTGTTTCGATTTCCTCGACCCAGGCGTGGGTTGAGCGAGCGTACACAGCGTCCCCGGTAATGATGACCCGCTCCTGTGGGAGCCAAAACAATGTATGATCCACCGAGTCTCCCTGTACCGGTCCCAGTAACACAACAGGGCTGCCTGGGTCACCTGGCAGCATAAAAAAGCTATAGGGATATACCTCCGGCTTTCTTGGATTGGCTGGCACGTTCTCTTTACCGAATACCTATATGTTGTTAATGCCTTGGCGTCCTTCAATCTTCTAACAGTACGATACCTTCGGCCAGTATTCGACCTTCTCGTCGTATTCCCGGTCGATTCCTGCTCGCACATACTCATGTGCGTAGAATTTGCTTTGCGGCCACTGCTCCAGTATTGGATTGGCCGAGAAGTAGTGATCGGGATGATGGTGAGAGCAGAAGACCGCAACAACCGGCAACTTTGTCTTGTCCTTGATGAACTCGACAACGGCATTGGCGTCAGGGACGAGGAAGGGCGGATCGACCACGACCGCTGCCTGAGATCCCACGATAAGGGTCGTCACTGATGACAAGCCCTTCTCGCTACTGATCTTGGTATAGCATTGCAACGGAGCACCACCGGGGGCTTCTCCCAGCCCAGGGTCCTGGAGCTCAAGCACTTCGTTCGTTGCAGCCATTGTCACCACCAAAGCACTTTTGCAGTAAAATCAGGCGAGATCAGGATCAAGTACCAGGACTTTGTGGTAAGAAACCAGGGATAGTAACGACGAAACCGCCGTGATTAAGACAATTGAGAACCCACAGCCACATTTTGCCCGCATTGGGGGAGCGAGCTGCGTATTTAATCCCAGACGAACGTCACTAACAGAGGGGACAGCCTACCTGATGTCGTCGCTGTTACCCCTCGTTTGTAGCAGCGCTTCCTTACAAGTCGATCGATCATATCGATGTGGAGGTGGGGGAGTGGATCCAACATAAGAGGCAAACCGCCTGAAATATCATGCCGAAGCCTCGGATCAACACCAGGCTTTACGTACGCCATGGGTGCGGTATCCGATCAACACTGGGAGCTCGAATTTTCGCGAAACGGTTTGGTCTGGCATTCATATGATAGCAATTCAGGTATGTAACTTTCGCTGCGCAATTGCCTTATCCAGTGAGTTCTCCTACATCACAATTTCGCGGCGCTTCCGTATCTAGTCCTTGCCATCAGTAACCAGCTCCCACGTATTTCAACAGGCAAAGAAAACCAAGCGACATGGTCGCTCAAAGCACTTACAAGTGCTTGTTGAAGAATTCGAGCGCCACCTCATAACCGTGCTCATACTGCTTCTTGTGTTCGGCATCCTTGAGATCGGCGCGAGCACTCATGAAGCCATGAGGCACAGTGTCGAAGCGTTCGAAATGCTTGGGTACGGTGAGGTTGGAGTCATACTGAGCCCATTCGTCCTTTGGCTCGTCCTGCGAAGGGAAGATGCACATGGGGATCTGGACCTTCTTGGCCTCCTCGGGATCGACCATGGCGGGCGAGGTCTGGACACCGGCCTTGAACTTGGTCTCTTTACCGCCGATGAGCGAGACCATCTTACCGCCTGCGCTATATGTGAGCTTTATTGATGCCAGGTTAGTGTTAGGGACTCTTACCCCAGCAGTAGCCAATCATACCCCAACTCTTGATGTTGGAATTGGTCTTCTCGGCCTCGGAAATAATAGCAGGGATCTTGGGAAGATGCTTGGGTGGCGCGGCATTTTCGAACCACGCACCGAGCTTCTGCTCCTTCTCTTTGGTGTCTGGTGGGTACCATTCGATATTTGCGCAATTCTCCATGAAGAAGTCGGGCATGAAGACCTGCTTAGGGTGCTCCTTGTCAGTGTATGCCAGGATGTCGGCTCCCTGCACAATCTGAGGCAAGAAGCCAAAGATGTCATATATCGAGAGAATCGCAGTATCGGCGTCGTCGGGGCCGGTCACGTATGTACGCAGCCCATTGAGGGTGATGTATTTGCCCTTAGGCTCATAGTGCTCTGCGACCGCAGGAGGCACGCTCGCGACAGTTAGGACAGAAAGTTCTTCTGCGGGGAGTCGGCGACTTACGTGCAGCAGGCTTTAGAGTGTTGAGACATGACTGATGCGTATGTCCTGGTGATGCGAGGGACTCGTTGATGAGGTATCCGAACACGAGAACAGGAGGGAAACTGAAAGCAAGGCGCCGAATTCTGCCTGCGAGCTAGGTGGGTTAATATAGTAGAGCAGACTGAGATACGCATCACCGTCGGCGATTTGGAAAGTGGAGAAGGCCTGGCAACCGAGATCTGAGGGCTCTTCAAGTTCCAGCACTTTGCTCTGCGCTAAATGACAGAATATTGGTTCCCGGAAGAGTACTTTTGCTGCTGCATGCGGCTATTGGCACGATGCTGACACGATGCTAGCAAAGATTACCTATTTGAGCGCAACATGCATCGATCTCGTTTCATCTACTGTCGAGTCCATCAAGCATGTGGGAGAGAGGGGCTGCCGAGGGGTAGCTTCTTCTCCAACTTTCGACGTCAACACCGGAATCACCCAAAATCCGCATCTGGGCAAGGCATTTACTCCGTACTTCTAAAGAAGAGATCTCCCCGCACAAAAAAGTCCTCTCCGGGCGTTCACCGCTGCACATCACCACCCTAAATTTACCCGACAAAAAGTCCGGTGTAGTAGTGGCCAATTCTGGTACGCCCTGAGACGTACGAGCATGAGTGAAGATGATATATGAAGCCGCAGAGCTTCACTTTGCGAATGGAGGTCTATAACTAACCTCTGTCGTCCGGTGACCATGTCAGCAACCGAAACCATCACCATACCTGCCCAGACGGCAGTTGTTGGTAGCCACGGCCGTTCCAAAAGTGCCGTTCACGTCAATGACACAGTCGAACTACAGTCCGTTCGGAGCAACAATCAGCGAGTCTTGCAGGATGGCCACAGCGTGCGGGACGATCTGCCCCCGCCCTCGACCGCCGTTGAGGCTCTGGAAAGATGGAACTTTCCACGTCGAAACATGTACGGTATATTCGGGACGTATCTCTCGTTTTTCATTCTGGGTATGAACGACGCTACTCCCGGTGCGCTGATACCATACCTGGAACGATACTACGATCTTACCTACACCGTTGTCTCGTTACTCTTCCTGTCTCCTTGTGTGGGATATACTCTTGCAGCATTGCTCAACAATTCGGTCCATCGAAAGTTCGGGCAGCGGGGTGTGGCCTTTATTGCGGGCTCCTGCCACTTCATTACCTACTTGACATTCTCACTTCATCCTCCTTGGCCGGTGATGGTTGTCTTCTTCATCTTCGCTGGCTTTGGCAACGGCTTAGCCGATGCGGGCTGGTGTGCGTGGACTGGCAACATGGCATCGGCAAACAAAGTCCAAGGCTTCCTGCAATCTTTCTATTCGCTGGGTGCGACCATAAGCCCTCTTGTCGCAACGTCGATGATCACGCAAGCAAATCTTCAGTGGTACTCCTGGTACTATGTCATGACCGGTGCAGCTGCACTCGAGCTGGTCTTGTGCACCGCTGCCTTCTGGCATAAGACTGGAACGAGGTATAGAGCCGAGACGAAGCAAGAGACGGCAGGTAGCACCACCTTGGCCGCGCTCAAGAACACGGTAACACTGCTCTGTGGTGTCTTCTTTCTGGTCTACGTTGGAGCCGAGGTGGCTTTGGGCGGCTGGATCGTGACATTCATGCTTCGAGTCCGCAATGCGAGTGCCTACGCTTCTGGCATCAGTGCGACCGGCTTCTGGGCTGGCATGACGGTGGGTCGAGCCCTTCTTGGCTTCATCACTGAGCGCTGGGGTGAGCGGCTCTGCATTACCATCTATCTTGCCATTGCTATCGGGCTCGAGCTGGTCTTCTGGCTAGTTCCCAAGTTTGTCAGTGGCTATCCATCCATATTCTCAACGTACTCTAACGCCGAAGTAGGTTGTTTCCGCAGTCGCCGTCGCCTTGCTCGGCTTTTTCTTTGGTCCTGTCTTCCCAGGCGGTGTCGTTATGTGTGCGAAGCTGTTGCCCAAACACATGCATGTCAGCGCTCTTGGGGCGGCGACCGCTGTTGCAGGCGTCGGCGGCGCGGGTGTTCCGTTTGCTGTGGGTGCAATTGCTCAGGAGAAAGGTGTCTGGGTATTGCAGCCCATCATCCTGTCTTTAGTGGTGGTTTTGATCATGCTGTGGCTATCGCTTCCGCGGGTCAAGAAGAGGGACATCTGAAACGGCTCATTGAGATTGGGTCAAAGTGAGGATCTAGACAGACGACATTCATGCGAACCGATGTCACTCCAGTCGTACTCGCATTGGCACGGTGCAAACACAACTCCAAACCTGACAACCTCTACCTTGAGAACACGGGGCTGCATGATTCGGCTGCGTCATAGCGTTCTTCAGCCTGCGCTTGCATCCTACTCTCGCAGCCGACACGGGACCTGATGCCACCGACTCTCTCGGACCAGGTGCAAGATATAGAGTGCAACGGCGAGGCTGCAGCGACGATGCTCTAGAGCCGAAGCCGATGTAATACCAAGACGATTTGGTACAGACGGCCTCTCGTCTGATGGTTGTAAGTTTGGTTATAAGTTCGGGCGGATTTACAGATCTAGACCAATTCCAGACGCTCGACAACAGTCTCCATTCTCATCCAAGCTTGACCGAAGAGCGAGTTGCCTTGTCTTTGGATTGGTGTGGCTGTACCCCATCGTCACAGGCTTAACAGGGCTCCGCTTCGTGACCGAGATGAAGCTTGTTATTGTCGATCGTCGAAGTCCGTCATAGACTTCCTGCATCTGAAAGCCCGGATGGCGATGCCCGCACACATTGACTCGCTTCAACCATCATCACTCCCTGCCTGGAAATTTTTCTCAAAGCTCTACGATCGTGCCCAAGCGCTTTGAATCGCAGTGCATATTTTCAGGAAAACAACAGAGTCGGTGCTCTACGTCTAGGCGCCCTTCTTGAGTAAGCTCCACCTCTTTCGAAAAAGTTTCTGGACTCTCGCCAGTCATTCGGACCCGACATTGAAACCGTGCCGAATGGGTGGATTCCCCCAGTGTTAACACCGATCGTCAATCCCCGAAGGCGGCCAGGTTTGATAGATCTAGGGTTATTCTTCGTGAAAACCAAATATAACATTCTGCCCAGCCGCTATTTCAATGCTGTCGACTTCATACAACAGTATCGAAAATGTCCGCAGAACCAGAGAAGGTGGCAATCGACACCTCGCCATCAGCCGCCATGGATTCTGGCCGTCCTTCTTCTCCAGCCAAGAAAGATGTACCTCACGAGGCTGCACTTCCCACCGCCAGCAGTCCCCGTCCTAACACATCATCTTCACTCAGTTCAGTCGACGAACCTGCGTCGCCTGCGTCTGCCGATGGCGGACCTCCAGCTGAGAAGCCCAACTTGGAGCGTACGCAGTCTCAAGCATCCCAGTTCGGCAGGGGTCGCAAAGCTGTCATCGTCTTGTCGCTATGCATGGCACTTTTCCTCGCGGCTTTGGATGTCACCATCGTGACGACCGCTTTGCCCACAATCTCACGCCACTTCAACGCGTCCGCCTCTGATTACACTTGGGTTGGCTCTGCGTACCTCCTTGCAGCGGCATCCAGCGCACCCGTCTGGGGAAAGGTGTCGGACATCTTTGGCCGCAAATACATCATCTTGCTCGCCAATCTCGTCTTCCTCATTGGCTCGCTCATCGCTGGCCTCAGCAACAGCATTGGCTTGCTCATCGGTGCTCGTGTCATTCAGGGCATCGGTGGCGGTGGCCTGGTCATTCTTGTCTACGTCTGCATCGGAGACCTCTTCTCCATGCGCGAGCGTCCCAAGTACTACGGCATCATGGGCGGTATTTGGGCCATTGCGTCTGGCGTCGGACCTGTTATTGGAGGCGCCTTTACAGAGGGGGTAACATGGCGGTGGTGCTTCTACATCAACCTACCCCTTGATGGAATATCGTTGATTCTCCTCTTCGTCTTCCTCAAGCTCGATAACCCACGCACGCCCCTCGTCGCTGGTCTGCGTGGTATCGACTGGATAGGCGTGCTTACCATTGTGGGTGGCGTGGTCATGTTCCTCTTCGGTATGGAGAGTGGTGGCGTCACACACCCCTGGGATTCCGCATTCACTTTGTGCCTAATCATCTTTGGCGTTGTGACCATCGTGCTGGTAAGTGTTCTCATCTCAAGCATGTCCCGGGCTCTATCGGCCCGGGACTTCGTCTTGACCTCTCGAGTGCAGCTCATTGTGCTGTCATCCTCGCATCTTTCCCCCGTCGACCCAAGCTGACTCCAATTCCAGTTTTTCCTCAACGAATGGAAACTCGCCAAATACCCTATCATCCCGCTGCGGCTCTTCCGCCACACCTCCAACCTCTGCGCTCTAGGCGTATGCTTCATTCATGGCTTTGTCTTCATCGGCGGTAGCTACTACCTGCCGTTGTATTTCCAAGTTGTCCTTGGCGCTGGTCCGATCCTCTCCGGAGTGTACCTTTTCGCAATGGTCTTGACTTTCAGCGTCGTCTCTGCGGGCACCGGCATCTTCATCAAACGCACCGGCCGCTTCCGCGAGCCGATCTGGTTCGGCCTCGCCTTCATGACTCTTGGCTACGGGCTGTTGATTGACCTGCCAGACCACGCAGTCTGGAGCAAGATCATCATCTACCAAGTAAGCCATCACCCTTCCCTTGCCCTTTCCCTTTCCCCACTCCCATAACACTTCCCCCACTGACTCCAACCACCTCAGATCGTCACCGGCATTGGCGTAGGCCCCAACTTCCAATCCCCGCTCATCGCCCTGCAATCGCACCTCAAAGGCCACGACATCGCCGTCGGCACCTCCACCTTCGGCTTCATCCGCAACCTCAGCACCTCCATCTCCGTCGTCCTCGGCGGCGTCGTCTTCCAAAACCAACTCGCCAACAAACAATCCGCCCTCGCGCAAGTCCTCCCGCCCCAAGTCGCCGCCGAACTGGCCTCCAGCTCTTTTGGGTCCGCGACCAGCGCCCTCGGCGGCCTGGACGACACGCAGCGCCAGGCCCTCAACCGCGCCTACACCGACAGTCTGCAGACACTGTGGATCTTCTACACGGCGGTCAGCGCGGTGGGGATCCTGATCGGCCTGGGCATCAAGAAGAAGGAGCTGAGTCGGGATAAGGTCGACGTCAAGACGGGGCTGGCGGAGCAGGAGCGCGTCAGGCTGGAGGAGGCCACCGAGGCGCAGGAGCGCAGGGATCGGAAGGCCGCGCATAAGAAGGGTAGTGCGAGTTGGGGCAGGGATGTGGAGAGCGGGGCGGCGGCCTCTGGTACGGGAAATGCGGGCGAGGGACCGCAGCAGCACTCGGCAGCGCTGAGCAATGGGCAGGCGGGGTTGAAGGAGGGAGGGGAAAGGATCTAGATACATCATCTTGATAGCGCGATTCGGCCCGCTGTCAGCGGTGTATACTACTGGCATCGGGGACGGTGCATAGCCATGTCTATAAGCGTTTATGGGAGGCGTCGTGTATAACTCGACTCATCGTCTCATGTTTGAAAAAGTTATGGAAGACGAGAACTGCAGCACAGTGCCTTCATGCGTAGCTTTGGCGAAAGTTGACCTCTGATTCAGTTTTGATTTTTTTTGCGAAGAGTAAGGGACTCGTGGTCCGTGCTGCTACCGGACGAGAGGAATGGCGACCTCGTTGTATACCTCAGTTTGACTGACCGTGATTTGTCCCCGCTGCTTCCATCGCACTCGATAGGAGCAATGTATGCCAGTTCTCCCGTCCTGATCAGTGCTTGACCATGCTCCTCAGGCTCAGTCGCGTTTACCTTCGATCTGCGCTGGAACCCTCGGCCCTCCAAGCAGCGACTGTGGTCGTCAACCTTGCAACTTGCCGCGGAGGCACATGAGGAGTGCCGACACCGTTGATCACCAGCAGTGGGCTCTATGGCATCTTGCGGGTACATTTCTCGAATCGGCGACAGGCTGACCTTGGCCACTCCATGCCGCATTGGCGGCTAGTAGATATGGCGAGGGTAGTATGGTGGTTCTGTAGCTTCGTCGCAACTGTATGAAGCAACAGCTTACCGTGGTAAGACGGTTCATCTCCTTGATTCTGACTCTGTTGAAGAGTGTCTCCATTTTCAGGCCGCAGCCGGGGGGATCCCGCCCATACTTGGTCTTCGTCTCACGAACTCCTGAAGATCACCGCGGGTCACAACCCCGAGGACAAATTTTCTTCCACCATCGGTAACAACGGCAAAGTCTTGTTTACTGCCGGTAGCATATTCGCCGACATTCTCGAAGAAGCCTTCTAGCTCCCACAGTTCAGTCTCGGTTGTGATGACTTGGTATTTGTGGTTGCCCCGACGCTGGAAACGCACCATAGCTTTCGACACTGGATCTGAAGGTTGTAGCTGCTTAGATTCGAAGAGAGTCTTCAATTTCGACACTGCGAGATAACCGAGCAGGGATCGTGTACTTTCGTTGAGGACAGTGAGGTGGGAATAATCGTGGGACGATGCGGACAGCATGGCTTCTTCGAGAGACGTGCTGGGAGAGGTCGATAAGGCTGGGGCAAGATCGAGATCAGCAACAGTAGCACCCCGGTACTTTTCCGCCCATGCTTGTAGCTGTGCCTTCGCATCATCGCCAGAGGGTGGGACACCATTTGTCTGCGGCACAATGTCCGCGGACAATGCGACGCCGTGCTCAAGCTGAGAGTGGGAGTGGTCCATCGCAACGTGAGTGACACTGCAGTATCAGGACTTGTATCGTCAAGATTGAGTCAAGCGCGACAGCTAGCGTGCCAACGCGATGCTCCGGGCTGCAGTACCTATGGTGGAGGACACCAAAAAAACATCGATGAAGCCGATCTGCTTTCAAGCTCTCGGCAAGTGGACCTGCGGTGACGTTAGGCTTGGCAGCAGCTATCTCCGCTCGAGAGAACCTGGGGAAGCGGCAACTATTGCCCAGCTAGCAACCTCACTTTCACCTCCAACCGCCCTCGTCTCACCTTCCTTTGCTCTAGCTATCCTTCCAATATTGCACAGACTTTGTGTGGTCGACTAGAGCTGTGCTCTGCGCAGTAGACCATATTCGTATCCTGGACCCCTGCCCCGCTCACTCTCAAGCATTGAGCTCTGCGACACAATCTCGGAGATAACCAGATAGGCATACCAGAGACATCATGCCTGGACTCTTCCCAAATCAAAGCACCATCTACAATACCTTTCTTCCTACCTCCCCGTTCTACAAGCCGGCCCCTGTAGAACACCCCCAAAAACGCCCGATCTTCTCGTCGTGGAGCTCAGCCGATGAAGTTAAGCAGAAGGCGGAGCAAGTTGCTGCTGACGCTGCAAAGCAATATGAGAAGGCATCCAACAAAGCTCAGGCCAAGGTCGGCGGCATCGAGCTCTACTCGGCCAAGTATTATGCTGTCTGTACCTTTGGCGGTATCCTGGCTTGCGTATGTTCACGAACATGTTTAAGAAATGGGCGTTACTGATAGGTACAGGGCATAACGCACACTGCTGTCACTCCCCTAGATCTCGTCAAGTGCCGCCGACAAGTCGACTCCAAGATGTACAAGGGCAACTTCGAGGCTTGGGGAAAGATCGGCCGTGCAGAAGGTATACGAGGTATCTTCACTGGTTGGGGCCCAACCTTCGTCGGCTACTCTGTTCAGGGTGCTGGCAAGTACGGTTTCTATGAGTACTTCAAGCATCTCTACAGCGAGATGGTTGGCGAAGAGAATGCGGTCAAATACAAGACCTTTGTTTACCTGGCCGGTTCCGCCTCTGCCGAATTCATCGCCGATATTGGTCTATGCCCATTCGAGTCTGTCAAGGTTCGCATGCAGACCACGATTCCTCCCGAGTTCTCTGGTACAGTTCAGGGCGTCAACTCAGTTATTAGCAAGGAGGGTGTCGGAGGGTAGGTCGCCCGGTCGGCGTGTGGCTCCTCGCTAATGAAGTACAGCCTGTATAAAGGTCTATACCCGCTCTGGGGCCGTCAGATTCCGTACACTATGATGAAGTTCGCTTCATTCGAAAACATCGTCGCTGCCATCTACAACTATATGCCTGGAACCAAGGACGACTACGGCAAAGGAGCTCAAACTGCTGTCGCGTTCAGTGGTGGTTATCTCGCCGGTATTCTCTGCGCCATCGTGTCCCACCCCGCCGACGTCATGGTCAGCAAGCTTAACGCCAACCGTCAGCAAGGCGAAGCGTTCGGTGCTGCTATGGGCCGTATCTACAAGGACATTGGCTTCTCCGGTCTCTGGAATGGTCTTCCCGTCAGAATTGTTATGATTGTAAGTCACGCCGTGCTGTTGGTCAAAAGGTTTACTGACAATGTCCCAGGGTACGCTCACCGGCCTCCAATGGATGATCTACGATTCCTTCAAGATTTTCGTCGGTCTGCCTACGACCGGCGGAGGTGGCGAGAAGAAGGAGGCAAAGGCTTGAACCCAGTAGCTCGGGGTCTTGTGTAGACGAGTATGAGTACAGATGGGCAATCGGGAGTCGACTTTGTACAGAAGCAGAGGCGTTCAATCATTTGCATGGAAATTCCGCTCTGCAGGGATTCATTCCTCAGCAGCTTCATTCTCTGAACGTACTCCAGTCGGCCTTGCGGAACAAGCTTGTCCTCTGCAATGGCCCCGGATATGTTAACCCCACTCTTCCTCCACCATCTCAACTTCTCCTTTCGACTCCGCTACACGATCGATGCCACTATCTGGAGTCATCTATACATTAATAGAGCTCTGTGACCAGCGGATCTTTTTAGTCCTCCTCCGCTCGAGGACTGCCAGTGTCCGGCCTGGCCCCCACCACCCCACCATGCTCGGAAATGCTACTTCTAGGCATACGTCACAGACACGAGCAGTCTTATCCATGGGAACGGTGGGGCGAATGAAGTGATGCAAAGCTTTTGCTTGACTCACGCCAATTTGTGAGCGAATCTGCTTGACGGTCCCGCCAAAGAAGTTGGCCAAAAGCTGTGATATGGTCTGACATGTGAGTAGATCAGAGCTTTCTTATCAGAATGATCCGGTTCTTCCAGCGTTGGTGAGCGTGTATATAAGTCGCTCCTGTACTCCACCTCGTGCGACTCCATGTATTCTGCGATTTCCCATCGACTTGCATTGTATATTCTTTGACTATCTCGAATTACTGCAAATAGGTGAGCAACATCACTTTGTTCTCTGTATTGTGCCCACATGGATCTTTAGCGCATGGCCTTGTACTGGCAACTCGATGGTCTTGACAGTGATTGACCCAGTTGGGTCACAAGCTCACAAAGCTGGTCTTGGAGCAATGGTGGCTGACTGAGCTTGCTTTGGCAGATTTGCATTCACACCAATGTCTGGCCAACCAGTTTCACACGGACGTGGCGGTACAGCAAGCCCGCAGATCTCCCTGTCGTCTACTTACTCACCTGACTTAGGTGCTGCCAACATTCGTCCTGACGATACGCCCTACATAGACGGCGAAATAGTCCGCGAGGGCCTCGTGGGCGATCAAGGCGACGGAAAGTATAGCGCTGGCCGTGGGGGTCAAGGAAACATCACCGGTGAGCCGGTCAAGGCTCCCCACGCGCCACACGACAGCGACATGGTGCCTGAAACCGCGATGCGCGTTGAGAAGGAGGAGAGCCACCATTTCGGCCGTGGCGGTGCTGGTAACGAGGCGCATGTCCATGAGAAGAAAGAAGGGGCAAGTTTGATTGACAAGGCTAAGCACGCTCTGCATATGGACAAGAAATAAGAGCTCAGCTACGGATGACTAGGAGTTAAAACATCAGCTGGAGTAGGTCGATAGAAGAGCAAACTTGTTGGAGGGGCGAGCTCAGATTACATGTCGATTAATAAGATACCCACGGCAAGTTAGCAAACAACTTGCTCGACGAACAACCATGAAGGTACTCGAACAATTATTTGTCCGTTACTGGAGATTCATAGTGAGGGAGTAGAGTGATGGTGCTAAGAAACAACTTGCGGGCATACCGGCGACCACGCGACTGTGACGCGCTGCGCGTTGTGGGTTCTCGGCCGCGAAACTTTGTCTGTTCGAACGTTCTCCAGTTCGACAGGATTATTGCATTTGCGTCCCCATGTCATACAATCAATAATTCTAAGCCATCGTCTCTTGCTCCCAAGTCCTGCGCTTTTGGGTCTTGTCGACTCCTTACTCGCTGACAGTGGCTAGTGCCGCCAGCGCAGGCATTCTCGCAAGCTTTTATTGCTTTTAGTCCTTACGGTGCGCGTTTCCCGCGCCACACGAATCCGCCTCTGACAACTGTCGCTGCGCCGTCGCTTCCCTACCTACGTACAGCGCCTGCGGAAACATGACCTCAAATAATGCGTCTAAAAGCAAGAAGTCGGATAAGAAGCGGAAGGCTGCTGAGATTTCAAACGACGATCACTATGCGCCTATACCTTATACCATAACTTGTCCGGCACTGCCTCTCAGTCGTCGCAAAAAGACGGGAAACTATTTCCATGACATCGACGACCCAGGCGATGAGTCGCTCAAGGTCGAGTACACAGTTGAACCCGGAACCAGGTGGAACGACTTGAAAGCCTACAGAAAGATGAAGTGTAAGTGATATTTCCCACAGTGGCTTCCTGCGCGGCTGACAACCTCAAGACGTGGATCATGAATTTCATCAAGGCAATTTCATCTTTGTCAATCGAGCCGAAAGACCACCTGAACCCCCTTCTGAGGATGCGACTGATGACGAGTTGATCGAGTGGCAACGTAAGCACATGTGGGTTGGTCGTATTCAACAAGTAAAAGCTGCGAAAGCCGATGAAGTATTGGTACGAGTATTCTGGCTTTACTGGCCTGAAGAGTTGCCTTCTGGTCGCGCTCCATATCATGGAAAGCACGAGATGGTCCTGAGTAACCATGCCGATATTATCGACGCGACTTCCATGTCGGGACTTGCCGATGTCACTTTTTGGGACGAGAAGGACGACACAGATGCGCCCATGGGTCAGATCTACTGGAGGCAGACGCTCGATTTCACTAAAACTGGGCGCAATGGCAAAGGACGCCTCAGTCCGCTTAGAAAGCACTGCAAGTGCCGCAGCGAATACTGTCCCGATCTTGTCATGTACAAGTGCCATGTCAATGAGTGCGCCATATGGAATCATCAAGAGTGCCTCGAGGAACGCTTGATGCAAGAGCTTGAGGCGAAATTGCAGAAAGGATCTCTCAAGAGTTACCTCGATCGTCGAGCCGAAGCATGGAACGAAGAACGAGAAAAGCAGACATGGACTTTAGGGGAGACAATTGCTGTGGGAGCCGAAAAGGTCGAGAGCCTCTTCCACAGAGCGCGAGATTCCGTCATGCATCAGATCGAGGGCCGCGTTGATCCTTCTGATACGACTGATGACAAATTTGATGCCGCTGCTGCACTGACGCCCCGATCTAAGGCAAAGGCAGCAGCCGATGCAGTGGTCAAGCTGGAGCAGCAGGAGCAGCAGCAGCAGACGGCCGTTCGTACCGAGGGTCGTCTAAGCATCGAAATCAAGCAGACCGGTGCGAAGGCCAGCGTTGTTGCAGAGGTCAAGCTACTCCCAGGAAAAGGACCAACTTCGACAGAGACCAAATCTTGGGAGATCCAGCTTGATTGCTTACAATGCAACAAGCCGTTGGATTGAGCAAGCCTTGATTCCGTGGATGATAGCGATCGCAACGTTGGAGTTTTATCATATTCGACTTTGATCTTGGACGCTCCACTCACTTTGCATGTCAACTCGTGTGCTCGTGAAACGCCGGCGGCATTCGAGATCTTTCAATCAGCATAAGCAGAGCAAACTTGCAGGACCGCCAGCATAGCGTAAGTATCAGTGGTACTACGGGATGATTTTCATACCCGTAGCGTATGCTGTCGGCTTTGATTAGTTGCAAGCGTTCAGGCGCAGCAGGCGGTTCATTTGGCCTTATCGAATACTTCGTTTCACGACAGGAGTAGCAGAACAGTACGTAGTCGAACAGTGGTACACAATCTACAGAATCATGATGGTATACGTTCGTCGTTGGACTCATATGTTGAACACGCCATACACATGCTGCCACTCTCATTCGCCATCTTGATCGGGCTTATTAGACTATGATACTACGATGCAGGATAGAGTCATGATGCAATCTTACATCCAACCCGTCTCGCCAAGGGCAACGTTGCAGCCTGGAGACGCTGCTTTCAGCTGTACGGAGTCCTTAGAGCTCCGTAGTGTGTGCATAAACGAACAGAAAAAGTGCGCGAAACCGTTGTGAGGGCTGCCGACCCGCACTAAGTACTCAGGTTATCGGCTTTGAGAACCTCGGATCCGCGATACAGTATGGATAAGATATTTTATCGATAGCAACGTCGCGGACGTTTAAGACGTAGTTACTCCTCCGTGCTCCATAGAAAACCTCGGAGATGTGGTGGGGCATATGGAGGACCCTGGAGTCTCACAGCCGGAGGTCGTGAGAAATTCTCCCTAAAGATAACAGCGAGCAGCACAAGGATCAATTTGACCCACTAAGAATGTCTTTGGCTTGTGGCTGGGAACTTCAAAGCCGCAGAAAGTGGGATAGCACGCATCGGCTTCGCTGACAGGGGTCCAACCGCGAGCAAGCGTCAGACGCGCGTCGGGTGGAGTGGCGAGAGCACAGGCAGAGTACTGTGTACGGAGTAAGAAAGAGGTGAAACTGCAACGCTCCTGGAGTGATAGACGCCAACGGCTCCAGGACACTGCACTTATTCAAGAAGGATTGACATGGACCGAGAAACAGCAGTGTTGATCTGTCTCTGTTCCGCGAAGTTGTTGCGCCGTCAGCTTTCATGTCCAAACGTCGGAGGTTCGGACTGCAGGGTTCGAGTTTCCGGCGGCCGTCCTTCGCCCACGCTGCGGCTAACAAAAAGCTAGCTTAGGGTCCACGACCCTGAAAGGCAGCCCTGAATGGTTCGAGGTGAGTCTAGCTTAGCGACAAAGGGACTGGCGCCATCGAAAGAGCAGGCCAAATGCTTAATGCTGCATACCCAACAAAGTTGATGATAGACGTAGATATCCATATTTCGCGAGAGGGAGGGCGAGATTGAGAGAAAGCAGAGACACAAAACCTGCACTGCCACATCCGCTTCTTGGACTCGTCTGTGTACCTGAATCTTCCTTCCACCTATCTGCCGCGTGTAAATTCCAGTTGCCGGCCAAATCGCAGGCTCGTATTCATCATCTGAAACAGCACAATCGCCGTCCCTTCCCTGGCCCCCCGCCACAACCAAAGGCTCATCTTAAAACCACGGTACCTGCCCCGGCCTCCCAGCACAGCACTCTAGTTGTGTTCCCGCACCGAGCTTGTACTTCTGATTTGATTGCTTTGATATCGCTCAGCCACTCGCTCAACGAACCGAACCGCCACGTCCATTTCCTGCCACCCGCTACTTCGGCTACCTGTGACGAACCCGCGTCATCCGCTCTTTGTTCATCACACGTCTCCCTCGACACGCTCGCGCTGAGCTCACAAATACTCTCGACTCTGTCCCGTGCTCTATCACCAGTATTTGCGCGCCGTATCACACAAGATCGCCACCATGACCACCCTGTCGCCTCCCGCCTCCCCGCAGCCTGCGCAGCTACACCCCCAACGGCCGCGCGCAGTTTCCTCCATGAGCCATGCCTCAACCAGTTCGAGGAAGAGCAAATCGTCGAACAAACTCGAAATGCTTGAGAGTCCCCGCGACAAGAAGAGGTTCAACGCCGAAAGTAAGGCAGATCCGACTGCTGCGCTCAATGAAGCCACTCCAGGTATGTAGAGGAAACGCCACAGCGCTGAGTCGTTGCTGATGAGGTGCAGGTGAAATTGCTCAACAACATTCGAACCTCGATAGTCTGCGGCGTACACAATACAAGGATCAGGATGGTAATGTTATCGGTATGCTTGCCCAACTTTTGAGGATTCGAAGATACTGACCACTCTACAGCTGATCCTGACCGGTCCAATCCCACACGCCCTAGATTGGAGCGTCCCCTCGACACTATCCGGTCATTCAACGCGGCTGCAGAGGGCACTGCATCGCGTCGAAGCTCATCATACGGCAATAGACCTAGTAAGTCTTGTCAGTCCACTTTGCAAACCGGACACTAACTGCGACAAGTCTCACAATACGGCAGTCCTGACGCCGGTCACTCACGTCAAGGAAGCTATTACAGCTGTAAGTCCGCCGCGAGGACACCATTCACGTCCATCAGACCTAACCGTCAATCAGCCCCTGGATTTGGTCCCAGAAACTACAACTATAATCGCCCGACTCCCGGTGGTGGATACTATCGGAACAATTCGAATGGCTACCTCAATCAACAAGGGGCCTCATTCGATGAAAATGCCGAATATCAATATCAAGACCACTACCGCCCACCCCCGCCCCGCCCTGGCCCGGGCATGCGCAATATGAACGGCGGCTCGAACCCGTATTATGGCAACGGTCATCCTACTGAGCAACCCATGTCGGTCCACTCCCATCAGCAGTCTTATGAGACCATGACATCCGGATCTGATGAGAACGGCAAGTCCACGAATCCCAGTTCGCTTAACAGCTCGTATGATCAATTGCACATGATGCATCCCCATCTTCGCAAGCAGGACAACTATTCGCAACAATATCAGTCACAGTACGATAATGAGATGAGCTTTGCGCCAGTATCGCCGGTCTCTCCACAACTGCCACAAAGCTCTTCCTTTAGCAACGGCAATATGACCGACAGCGCCGGCCCCGGATATTACGGCAATGGTCATCAGAATGGAGGGAACTACTCCTCTCATCAGCAGCAGCAGCCCATGCCCCCACCTAAAGATTCACAAGCTGGCTTTGCACGTCGGCCGATCAACTTGAACTCTCCGCCAGCTGCGCCGAGCAGCGGCGCGAATGGTGGTAGTGGAAGTCCGAACAAAGGCGATAGCACCAAGAGGCAGAGTTGGCTGAGCAGGAAGTTCTCCAGGAAGGAGAAATAAACCAGATCTCTGGTAACAAAAGCAAAATTGAATGGTCTTTTCGATTTACAGATTACGGCAATACACTCCTTTACGAGACGAGAGACGACAACGGCAACGACGCGACGGCTTGCAAACTTGGTGGACTATGCTCCATGTACCACTTGGCATTGATTGTGTTGGGATTCGGGCATGATCTGCCAAGCACGATCCTTGAACATAGTAAACATAATGAAAGAAGATGAACAGGGATCGCTGATGAAGGAATCCTCTGCAGATAGAAGAGAAGGAACCTGGAGCATGGCGGACGCTGGAGGTCTGAATTGCGTCACTACCTACAACCGGTACCGGATCTTAATGCTAATTCTTGCTTCATCCTGCAACAAATGCCTGTTATCTTAAGACTGATCTGATCTGTGACCATGTTGACCGTACCAGGTGCGTGCTTGTTAGGGATGTGTGCCGGTTTCTGTACTGTACATCTCCCCAGAAATCGGTACTCGTTTTCTCTCTTCAAAAGAGCTATTTCGAGATTTCGAGCCCACACGATTCTCTACGGCTCTGGACACAACGTGGCGGTGTCAACGAACCAGTAAGAGCGAATCGGCCGCGTAACTTTGGAGCAGGTGTAGGCTGCCGGCAGCAGAGTGTCGCTGATGATGCAGAGCACAATGAAACAGTACGAGCAATGCCCGTTTGGCGCGGTAGGCGCCTGCTGCGCCAAACACAAGATTTTGAGACTTTCCCACCGCTTCAGGCTGCGACGACAAAGCACGGATAGTCGGCGATCACTGGGCTTTCTTGCCTTTCTTCGCTCGCTCCGCCTCCAGCTTGTCGCTCTGATCTTCCCGCATAGCAACGATCACATAGCCGACCAGCACAACATTTGCCATGATTGCTGCAAAGCCACCGGCATAAGTTGCATTTCCTGCTAAATGTCAGTCACCAGCAGCCAATAGCCACCTCTCATAGCCAGGCTCATTAGTCTGCCGCCACGCTGGGTTCAGCGAGAGCCCACTAACCTTTGAATACCGTTTTCAATGTGAAGAAGTAGCTCCCAATAGGGAAGACGATCATGGCGAGCGTGAATCCCAAGAGCTTGTAGATCACATCGGCTGGTACGGCAGGAGATGTGTCCGATGGGCCAGGATCTGCGCCACCCTGGGAGGGCGTTACCGTCTTCTCGGAAAGGCTCGAAGATACGGTGCCACGATGTGAAGCCATGGCGCAAGACTTACAGGACTGTGCTGAGACGGGACGGGGTAAAGCAGCGTCTTGAGGTGGGTTAAGCAAGCAATTGGGGACCTACACGTGAAGTCATTTGTAACGGAACGTTGATACGAGCCCATACGTATAAATTACCCCTTAAGCCCATTTGTTGGGAGCAAAAGCGTTCGACCAATACAATATCGTCATGACGCGCCTCGCGTATGCCGCAGAACGGGGGATACGAAATTTCTGGGACGGCTTCAATATCGCGCCCCATTGGAATACTTGCGCTCTCTAGTGATATTGGAGTAATTGGGGCTGGCCTCGAGGGCGAGATGAATCCCAAATGAACCAGTAACAGCATTGGATTGGGTGAAGACAGTTGATCGCCACCTAGCACACTGCTTTAAACAATGACTACATATTCCGCGACCGCGTTGGGTCCCAATGAACCCTCTTCTGACCCTATCAACGATTCGGACGACGAGCTTTTTAACCCTTCCTTTCGAGCACACGAGACTGTCGAGACAGTACCCTTGCCTCGACCTACATATGACTCCAGCGACAACGATGAGCACGAGACAGTAGTAACCCTTCCTCTGCAGCGTCCTGGCTCGACACAGCAGCAGCCTGGCGAGACTCTGAGCGGGAGAGTCACGCAGCCGACCCAGATAATACCACGGTCGCCAGTTCGCCCAGGCAGCAACGCAGCCATGCCATCCTCCTCACCCACCTCAGAATCGCTTGTCCAGGTCACGGCTTCTTCGCCCATGGCAACGCCTTCTGCACCACAGTTCAAAGCCCGCCCTGGCGGTTTCCTCGCGAACGCGATGGCGCCTGCAGGGACCTCCTTCCGAAGACCAATGTTTAACCCTCCTGCGAAAATCAACAAGCCCATCGTTATCGACGACGACGATAATCCAACATACAAAGGTGGCTCAAGTGATGAGGAAGACCTAAGAAACAACCAAATCAAGACCACTGTTTTTCAACGCACCAGCGACTCTGGCTTTGTTCCGGAATCGCCGGCAAAGAACGACGTTAACAACACACACTTCTCCTCGTTTGTCCGTGGTTTCACACACGACCACGCAGCCCCGCCAAAAGTGAATGGTGTGAAACGTTCTGCACCAGCAGACGGCGACATGGCTGCTTCTTATGGCGCCTCCAGCAAACGCTCACGCTCTCTTATCGCTCGCGCTAAAGACGTGCGTGAGCGTCAGCCCTCCCCGGATATAGAAATCGATGATATAACCGACGCTAATGACCGTCGCAAGGTCAGAGAAATGCACAAAGTCATCTCTGATGTTCGCATCAAGAGTCTCTACGCAACTCTTAAGGCCAGGAAAGGCAACACTGACGATGCGATTGACGCAATCCTCGCTCAGAAAGAGAAGCATGAGGCGCAAGATACGAAGGGTCCGATCGATCTGACCGGTTCGGACGATGAGCTCATGACTACCCCAGCGGTGCAGAAAGGCACGAAACAGCAGGCCAAGAACCCTCACAAGTCAATCGCCGACAAGTGGTCGAGCACGCAGCAGCCACGAGACCAAGCGAAACAGCTTGATGCATTCTCACCACCAAAGCCTGCGCCAAAGAAAGGTCGCCGCCTAGTAAGAGGCCGTAAGGATCGTTCGTCGCCTGACTTGCCCGATATTACTGAAGAGCAGGTCCAATCGCAATCTCGTATCGGGAAGATGATTGTCATTGATGAGGATGACGATGACAATGCTGTTTCCGAAGATGAAGCTCCTAAGAGCCGCAACGAGACGTTCGAGCAGCGCTTGCTCAAGTTCTTCAACACTTGTAGTGCTGCTGATCTTGCTGACACCGCCAGCATTAAGCCCGCACTTGCACAGTACTTTGTATCTCAACAGCCCTACCGGTCAGTCGCGGCCGTACAGAAGGTTGATGATCCTGAGCGCAAGCCGGTGAAGGGCAAAGGCAAGAGAACACCCATTGGTGAAAAAGTATGGGACACTGTGCAGGAAATGATTACTGCCTATGAGGCCGTCGATTACTTGGTCAAGGAGTGTGAGGCCATTGCGAAGCCGTTGGCCAAAGAGATGCGAACATGGGGTGTCAACACTGTTGGTGCAGGTGCTGGTGAGCTGGAGATGACCAGCATATCTCAATCTCCAGCACACGATTCAGGCATTGGGACGCCGACCGACGATGAGAAGGTGGCTCGACCGAAGAGCTATATCAGCCAGCCAGCGATCATGAACTTCGAGTACCAGTTGAACGACTATCAGCTTGTTGGCATGAATTGGCTCAACCTCTTGTACAAGCATGGACTGAGCTGTATCCTGGCTGATGATATGGGCTTGGGCAAAACATACCAAGTCATTGCGTTTTTAAGTCATCTCTACCAAATCGGTGAGAAGGGTCCACACTTGATAGTTGTGCCATCGGCTACTTTGGAGAACTGGCTCATGGAGTTCAAAAAATTCTCACCACTCCTACGCGTTGAGCCGTACTACGCTCCCAACCCGAAAGAGCGTGCCGAGATGCGCTTTCAGATCGACAACTCCAGCGACATCAGTGTCGTTGTCACCACCTACACCATTGCCAAAGGCAAGGAAGATGCCCCGTGGCTGCGTGAGTTTGGCTTCACCTGCACAGTCTTCGATGAAGGGCATTACCTCAAGAATGCAGAATCTCTGGTTGCACGCTCATTGTCGAGGATTCAAACAGACTTTCGAGTCTTGTTGACAGGTACGCCTCTACAAAACAACTTGAAAGAGCTTATGAGTTTGCTTGGGTTCATGATGCCTGAACTGTTCAACGAGAAAGCAGACGAGCTCCAGGCTATATTCACCCACAACGTCAAGACCATGGATGAGAACCATGAGGCTTTACTGTCTGCGCAGCGTATTGCACGAGCTCGGAGTATGCTCACACCTTTCATTTTGCGTCGCAAGAAGAACCAGGTGGCCAAGAACCTGCCGCCTAAGCTACGCAGTGTTGAGTGGTGCGACGTGAGCCCGGAGCAAGCCGAGATTTATCAGTTCTGGCACGACAAAGCTTTGAGCATTCGCGCTCGCCGTGAGGCAGGTGAAGAGTGCGGCAATGACACCACTGCCATCCTCATGAAATTACGCCAGGCGGCGATCCACCCTTTCTTGTTTCGGCGACACTACAAAGACAAGATGCTCCCGAAGATCGCCAGGTCTTGTCTCAAGGATGAGCAATGGGCTCTGTCTTCACCGGACCTCATTGTGACAGAGCTTGAGCATTACTCTGACATGGAGGTTCATTCATTGTGTTCAAAGAATGCTGTGTTGAACAAATATGCTCTTCGAAATGACGAGTGGCTTGCCAGTGGCAAGGTACAAAAGATGCTGGAACTACTGCGCCGCTTCATGGCCGAGGGCAGTCGTACGCTCATTTTCTCACAATTCGTCATGGTTCTCGACATCTTGGAGCTTGTGCTTGAGAATGAGCGAATCCAGTACTTCCGGCTCGATGGCAATACCAAGGTTTCAGAGCGTCAGGATCTCATCAATACCTTCAGCGAGGAGGGAAATGAGACTCCGGTCTTCATGCTCTCAACTAAAGCCGGTGGTGCTGGCATCAACCTTGCCGCTGCAAACAAAGTTATTGTGTTCGACAGCGGCTTCAATCCACAGGATGACGTTCAAGCCGAGAACCGTGCCCATCGAATCGGCCAGGTCAAGCCTGTGGAAGTGGTCAGATTGGTGACCCGTAACACTGTTGAAGAGGCCATCTACAAGATGGGCCTGACCAAAGTGGAACTTGATCAGCGCGTTGCGGGCAGTGGCCTAGAAACCCCGCCCGGTGAGGTGGAAGTTTCTGAGGGCAAACCGGAGACTGCTGCGGAAGAGCAAGGACGGCAAGCTGTCACTAAGTTGTTCTTTGAGAACCTTGATGAAAAGCCGATTCAGGCCAAGATCGAGCCTGCGGACAACAGTCAGGAGACAAAGCAAACTAACGAAGTCGAGGCGGAAGACCTTTCACAGCCCTCCAGTCCGATCAAGGGTGGTCAGGAGGTCAAAGCCGAGGATGTAGACTTGCCTGCGCGGCCGAAGCGAAAGACGGCCGCGATGTCATCTCAGACCTCTTCGACTGCAGCTTCTAGGACCTCGCGGAGTCGGTCACGTAAGTGACAAGATCACCATATTCCGACTTGAGTACGTTTACGCTGCCAAGAGATATCATGACTTGATTGCATACGACTCGGTCAATCAACGACCTGGAAGCTGTACCTGTTGGCAGTGAGTGTTGCTGGCTGTGCAAGCCTAATGCTATGAGACGACCTGACTGGAGACGATGACCAATGAGTGTGAGCTGACAGTAACGACACCTTTGGAGAGCTTTTTGCTAGGTGAAAATTGATACGAGATGTCTCTAGCCACGAGGTACCTGGGTTAGGGTGTCTCTCACAAGAACGGTTAAAGAGGCGAGGCTGTATGCCTGCAGTTGTTGTGCTGGAACATGCACAGCCGACGCCTCGTGGGCGACTTTCGGCTAGTCTGGCGGGAAGCTCCAGAAGATCATCCCCGTAAAGAACACACACGATCCCAAAAGAGATGCCGTATGCACTCAAAATAACACGAGACTTCAAGCAGACCAACCATTTTCCGGCAGTGGGAAGCCGAATGAGGCATGGCCTGTGATGGCGCAGCTCGTGTAGCCACTGAGCACTTTTGTTCTCTCTCCCCACCTTTGCAGCCCTTTACAGCTTATGCACAGCTCTGATGATTACGATGCTTTCGCTCCTGCTGACCTACTCAGCCCTGCCCGTGTTCCTTTGCTTGGTGTTCTTTTACACCCCGACTCGTTGCCGCAATGACGTTACGGGCACGCCTAAGGCCAGTTTGACTCAGACGGCTGCCGGCAATTACGGGTGGTCCTTTGGTCACCACCGCCACCACCCACTCCCACAAGCGAGATACCCAGGCCCTTGTGTGAGAGGCGTTACATGAGCCCTTCATCCTGGGATTGGTCTTGTGATGGTGGAGGCAGTTCTATTTCGCACACGTGGGTGGGCTCAAGGCTGAGGCCAAGGGTGAAGTATGCAGTACAACGCGGATCCATTTGTGGCACAGACGACAGGTGAGATTGCAACTCTGCCAGGTATAAGTACCGTCCCCCCCTTCCCACTGAGGAAAGACTCGAAGTATACAAGCAATACAAACACACGGGAAGCACACGAGTCCTTACTGTCTATCTCCTACAGTCATTCACTCACCCAGCACACCTCTTCAAGCGACACACACCCACTTCCAATCACCCATCTACAAATCCAATAACCATGAAGACCGCCGCATTCGCCCTCTCCGCCCTCGCCCTCGCGGCCTCCGCCTCGGCCGCGACCATCAACAAAGCCCGCTCCGCCCAATCCGACGGCTCCTACGCGCCCGCCCCCTCCGGCAGCTCCCCTCCCACACCCGCCCAAGGCCAGCCGCAGCAGGGCCAGTCCGACTCCTCATCCGTCCCGTCCTACTACCTCGACTTCACGACCCAGCAGCTCGGCGCCGACAGCCAGTACTCGGACGCGTCCGGCACCATCGACGTCTCCATCTCCGGTGGTGACGTGCTGATTTCCGTGGCCGTCGTCAACCCGGCCGACAACGCGGCGTGCTTCGTCCGTGACGCGCAGGGCAACCAGATCCGCGCGTTTGGCGGGCCGGATCAGGATGTCGATAGCGTGCAGTTCGTCGAGGCGGATGGGAAGCAGGCCCGCAGCATTCATTGCCAGCCGGCTTAGTAAGGCCCATGTGCGGAGGAGTGCTGACGGTGATGTGTGCCTGGATGAATTTGCATAGCGACATGGATGCTGGCCTGAGAGCCTTGGGCTTTGCTGTTCTTGTTCTTATAGCATAGCGCGCCTCTCTGGTAGGGCGAGGGGGGGGGGGTTTCTCATTTCTTTTCAAGCCTATATATAACACGGCTTTTCTTTCTGTCACTCCTTCTGAGGTCAATACATTATAATTGCTCGCATGATGAGACGCCAATTGCAACACCAGGCAGGCTTCCTCAACTTTCCTTGTTCTGCTTGAAAATCAACCATGGACCAAATGGGGGGGTTTGCAGTAAGGCAGTAAAAATCTTGGCATTCGCTCCCGAGCATTTTTACATCACGACGCTGAGAGGGGGCAGAGGCGGTGTTGTCTGCACGGGAAAGCTTGGTGTGCAGACTCGGTAAGTTGCCTTGAGGTACGTCGAGATGTTTTCAAACATGCCTCGTGATATGCTATGTAGCACCAATGCTGTTACGTGTCGTGGCTTTCATTACCACCGACTGGCTGCTTTTTTCGGTTCCCAACGTTGTTGTCTCTTCAAGGATCTGCAAGCCGTCCAGGTTGGAATGGTTACATGGATGTTGATGACGAAGAAAGATGGCTTAGCTGTGAGCCGCTGTTACTCTCTTCAGGTTTCAATGATGTATGTGGCCTGTGGCCTCGGATCTGATTAACCTCAAGACAGAAGCGATGGCTGGGTAGGAAGCACAGCGGATCATCTCGCAGCGATGGAGCATTCGACAAGCATCTCAAAGGACTTTCCTTGGCACGGACGGAATGGTTACGAGTGTTGCTTCTTTCTAGAACGACTCTGATACAACAAGAAGAATATATGGATGATAGAGAATCTAATAGAACAATAGTACTACAATGAAT